CACCCCCCGCTCCCTCGGCGAGGTAACCAATCGAGAGCTGACGGTTCGGCTGGGACTCGAGCCACTTGAGCAGCTCCAGCGTCTCCAGCCCGCGAGCGACGCAGTAGGAGGACACGCGGATCTTTATCCGACGGCGGCGAGCCGCGGCGGGCCGGTCCAGGTTGCGCCGGAGGCGCTTGCGGCCCCCGCGCTTGGGCATGCGGTTCGTGCGGAACGAGTCCTGCCGGGCGGCCTCCCCCAGGGGGCGTTGCCGGCGGCGGCTCCCGTTACGCTCGGTGGAAGGCTGCTCGCCCTCGCTGCGGTAGTCCCCCCTCTGCAGCCGGGAAAACGAGGCACCACCGATGCCGCCTAGCGGGCGGGGTGCCGGGGGGATCGCCCATGCCCATGTCGTTGCTGCTGAGGTATTTGAGGCAGCGGCTCCTCTGCTTGAGCTCGGTTGCTGCTGCCGTCGGCCGCCGCTGAGCCGCCCTTGGTCGTCCCCGCGGGCGGTGCGGTTGCCGCCGGTTAGGGGCGAGCCGATCGCGGACGAGTCGGAGTCTTCCTCTTCCTCGCCCGCCTCCACGAGAAGAGGCGTGCTGTTCGCGTATAATTTGGTTTTGTTTTGAGGCAGTGCAACAAAAGCAGTCAGTCGAGGAGGAAGGGGGGGGGAAATCTACACTCTGTTAGTAGCATAAATCCATTTGCGGAAGGAATAAAATGGGACTGGAGGACCAATGTTTGCTTGCACAAGAAAGCGCGGTGTTAAGGAAGCGTGATGTTGTAGAGAGTGCATGCATGGGAGGTGTGGCGCTGTGCTAAGATATTTAGACTGTGAAAAGAGGTTGGTCAAGGGCGCGATAAACCGTGGCACAAGCGCTGTTTGTTCCAGCTATGTACACTAGCCGAGCGAAATAACTCTCGACACGCCTCTGGCACACATATTGTGTAGTTGGGGTTGCGTACTGGTTCACCTACAAAGAACCGACGAACGTTGGGAGGCCGGGAGGTGGGTGTCTCAGGTCGGAGGTTCTGCTGGGTGTTTGTTGCGGAGCTCTGTTGCGTTCCTTCGAACCTTCGTTCTTTTTTGGTGTTTGCAGTTGGGATGTTGGGATTTGAAAACTGCCAAGTGATGAGATAACTCAAACCGGTCGGGGAAACCCTCTGTGTGACCGCGGATTGGGCTCCTACGTACCGGGAGAACGCTCAAGTGTGGGCGCTGATGCAAAGTTATGACATAAAAAACTGCAAAGTTATGACAGAAAAAAGCTTGTGGTAATCGTCAAACATTTTTTTTCCCAATCATGTATACAGTAGTGTAGTGGTCCCGGTATAATGCCGGTCGCCCGGTATAATGCCGGTGGAATCGGCCGGACCGCACGGAGCCCGGTATACTGCCGATACAGGCATTATACAGGCAACGCCTCTATTACGCCAGTTCGGGGGTCCTCTGGTCCATGAATAATGCCGGTTCTCAAGAAAAAACTTTGCTCACGTACGCAGCGCATACAACATAATGGTGTTTGAGTTTGTCGCGTTGTGTCGAACCTGACAACGCCAAACCTACGTGGAACAACGTCACCAGTAGTCCGATGTTTTTTTGTTTGGATACATGGGTGCACTCAGATGTTTTTTACTCCGGAGTATGTTGCTTGAAAATATACATGAGTGTGTTCAGATGCTTGGCTTTTTGCTTTGTTTGTTTTCGATGTTTGCGTTACGACTACCACTTCGTATGTAATCTTTCGTGTGTTTTGCGAGTCAAGGGACGGCATCCGCACTGGGGATCGCAGTTTTCCTCTTCAAAAATACAGGAAACGCCCGCATATCTCAGTTTTCCAAAGTCTAACTCCAGTACGACACTTCAATCGCAAATTAATCGTCCACGCACCCCGCCTGTGTACAATGTTAGTATCTGAGATTGTAGCGCTTGCGATACACTGCAGACTAGCGGTCTGCGATTTTCCAAACGATCCTTCTATCATCGAGATCGGTGAGCTACAAGCAGAATTTTTGCAGGTGCTGTGCGGTCCGATTTTGAAACGCTTCAAGCATACAGCAACGGCGAATCAGCGCCTGTGGGAGTCTGCGGGGCCGCGAACTTCAGCGCAGCTCTTCCCTCACATGTTCTTCTCGTCGCCACAGTCGATTTGCATGCCTGCGGTGATGTATGTGTAGGTCTAGCCAGAAGCAGAGGTGCTTGAAGCGTTTTTGAAGCGTTTCAAAATCGGACCGCACAGCAGCTTCAACAATCCAGCTTGTAGCTCACCGATCTCGATGATAGAAGGCTCGTTTGGAAAATCGCACACCGCTTGTCTGCAGTGTATCGCAAGGGCTACAATCTCAGATACTAGCATTGTACACGAGCGGGGTGCGCGGACGATTAATTTGCGATTGAAGTTTCGTGCTGGAGTTAGACTTTGGAAAACTGAGATATGCAGGCGTTTCCTGTATTTTTGAAGAGAAAACTGCAATCCCCAGTGCGCCCTCAACACGTCAGGAAGAACTTGTTTTGTGCACAGACGCTGCTGTGCATAAACTACAAAAGAGTGCAGCAGACCCACAGATACATTGAGTGATGAGGAACTGTCCATCGATGCACGCGTCTCTGAATGATGCTCGACCGCGGCATGCTTACCAAACCTTCTGACACGGCATTCACCTTCTTCCCTATCTCGTGATGCTTGGGGTAACTACAACATTCTGGCGTATGCATATTATCACGTTTTCGTCCTGAATAACGAATAACTCGCTCGATGATTCCGTGAATAGTGCCGGTACCTCAAGTGGCGAACTTCTCAGCTTCTCAGAACCTGAAAAATGCCGGAACCGGCACTATTCAGGCCGAACTTACATAAGGTCGGTGAGTCGGTGACCTCGGCCGGACGCACCAGCATTATACCGCGACCACTACCACTGCATGTAGACCTAGACTAACCCGGACATTTGAATGGAACGGTTTATGCGGCATAATGTATGCTACAGCAGTATCACTATATTTTGTTGCAATGCAGATACTTGTGTGTGTCATGGACTTTTGTAATGTTTACCAGTTCTGTTACAATGCAGATACACTTACTTGTGTGTGTCATGGACTTTGTAATGTTTACCAGTTCGTGGAACGGCCGCTCACATCTGTCGATCTGTCAATACAGGAGTGAACAGCCTAACCACTGCTACATTTTCACTAAATAAATCCTGGTCTAAGTTGGAAGCGACGCGCTGCAAAGCTCGTTGTTAGTAAACTAGATCGACTTCATAAGTCGCGAGGGAAGGGATTGCTGCACCCTTCTCGCGATAAAAACATCTCAGGCAAGAACAGCCGGAGGGGGTCCAACCCCCCCCTCCTATGTGACCCCGGTTGGGTCGTCTAGCTAGTAGAAGTGGAGGATGGGGGCCAGAGGGGCAGACGACAGAGTCCAGTGATTGGAGGAAAAAAATAAAATACACTGCTGGTCCGGTTTTCGAACTGCCTGTACACATTCAACTCACACAAAGAGCTAGCCGAGTTTCTCAGGGCGTATGCATACATATCTCTTCCGCGAAAGACCATTCCAGCACAACGCTACGCTGGATACTGTAGTTTCAGTACGTAGGCTAGCACGTCAACCTATGCTGCTGTTGCTGCTGAGCTCTCATACATGTAGTCTACCTCTGCTGGCCATCATGCCACCTCTTCTATTGCCCGCTACTCCGGCTCTCGTCCTGTCTTCTTGCCCTCCGCTGTAAACTTCACCACACTAACCTCAGAAGATTTCGCGTCCCCTCGCCCAAGACCAGGTCATGCGCAGCAGCTTTTCTCATGCTGATGATCCTACCCGACTGCTGTGAGTGTGACCTTGGGAAACAGGCGTGTCGGTGAGGAGCCGAAGGTACATACGAAGGTACAAGCACCGTCTCTTGTTCTTTTTTTTGTTTTTTGTTCTTCACTTCAAATCAGCGCTCACAGCACTAGCTAGTGCCGTTTATTCCGACCCGTGGTCACACAGAAGAGTCCCTCTCTACCCTCCCCTCCTGCGGTACTTTGCCTACGATTTTTAATGCGAGAAGAGTTCAGCACTCTCTTCCCTCTGTTCTTGTGATTGTACGTACAGCAGTACCTTTTTCTTGCTCTGTACATTGTACCTTTCGGGGAGTTCAGAAGTTCAGAACCCGTGAAAATGTGTTCTTGGTTTCGTTTCATGGACAGTTTCAACTGGTCGTCAAACACAGGCCACAGCCAGCCTACCACAGACGTCGTTGCAGACGCACAGGGTTCTGGACATGTCGGTGAAAACGTGCATGTACTTGGAGCATGATGTATGCAGAGTGCTGGACATGCCGGTACACATTCATACACATGACGTACAACAGCAGTGCACAATAAATAGTCTGTTCCGCGTCCAACACAAGAAGAGAAAAATATCCTCTCCGACGTTTTTTCTGTAACAAGGGCAGAGGCCCTTTGTGTCAGGTAAACTGTGTCAGGTACCCGGAAAGGCCCTTGATGGGTGGACACGCACGTACCACGTCGAAAACAGTCGCTGTCCTCGCTCTGTACAGCGAGCATTCCCTCTGTCTTGAGTGGTCACATTGCATCAAGGGGGTAAGCACGGCGCCGGCAACGTGATTCCAGCGGATGGAGGGTTGGCGTCGAGATCCAACAGCAGCGCACTCTGTCAGTTATTTGCTGTGCTGCCGGTGTCTCGCCACTACTTGCAATTGACTTCTATCCGTTCTATCCTTGCCTACAGAGATGGAGGGCCTTCCACAGAACTACCGAGACAATATCACGATCGACAACGGGGTCGAAATTGTCTGGGTGAACCAAAAAGGACAGGTCATCCCGAAAGACAAGGCCGGCGCAGCGTCTTCCGCAGTGGAAGATGATGCGGACGTTGTTGTCGGCATGCCTCGCGTTGCGAGCATCAGGAAATCGGCGGTAGAGACGGAATTGAACAACAGCAGCCTCCCAGCCAGCCCTGGGGGCACGCGCCGCACGTCGGTCGCTGGCACCGTGTCGCCCTCCCCCCAGCTGATCGGAGCGTGGTTTACTAACGGGACGGACACCGGAGGCGAGGGGGCACCAACTTCTCCCGCGGGCTCCACCGGACCACCGGACACCGAGGACGACGACGCCGACCCCGAGGGCCATCCCTGTATGGCCCTCGAGCCGTATGCCCGCGAAATGTACAACACCGTTCGGAAGGGGCTACTTGGGAAGAAAAGGACCCCAATGGAGACGCTGCTGAGCTGGAAGGGAAAGCAGATCACGGTTCCGCTGACGATCGCGTGCAACCAAGCAAAAGCCGTGTCGAGCGAGTGCGTGGCGTGCTTTGGGGATATCATGGTGTATATGGGCGACAAGAAAGCCAAGGAATCCGGAATGCAGCTCATCAAGAGCCTCCACACGAGGTTGTTGGCTTCCACGCAAGAGTTCAGAGATGAAATTATCTGCCAGGTACCATCTTCTGAAGCGCAGCGGGCGGAAGGGGGCGCGTAGCATAGGCGCGACGCGGTTATCGGTAGTTACATACCTTAGTTGATAACGGTAAGACCCGCGACTTTAACGCCCGTGCGGTGCCACAACATGGTGCGGGTCGGTGTAATGCCCGCCTGGCACGATTCAATAACGGATATGCGTGGGGAGAATATAGATGTGTTTTCGGATGCTATTTCTGCTCGTGAAAACGACATCGCTCTTTTAGCTGGGTTCGTGAGCAGAGGAATTGCCCAAGGGGGAAGTCAAAGGAAAAACTCTTGGTTGGTCCGTTTCATCGGCAGTCCACATGTACCAACTGCTGCCTCGGAGTTGAGGATATGCCCTTGTTGGTTCCCGAACACGTTTCATTGTCTTAAAACTCGATCTACTCGAAAACAAACATGAGTACCGGTGACAGAAAATCAGACACCGGGACGAGATATCCGCGACGCAACTGCAACCAAAAGAATGCCGGATCGTAGACATACCTTCTTGACCCTATCTCAGGCTTTCAGAATCTCGTCTGAACTAGGGAATGCATTCATGATAGGCGAATAACTCCCACTCTCGACACCCATCAAAACTGCTGTCCTGTCCACAATTTCTGCTCCCTCCTGTTTTGATTGATCAGGTATGCAAGCAGACCACCTCAAATCCAGACGCCAATAGCGACCTGCGCGGTTGGCAGTTGATACTGTCGATCCTGGCCGTGGCGACGCCAAGCAAAGGGCTGATTCCTTGCTTCAGAAAGCATTGTGAGCTGGGACCTGTGGGCTCGATTCCTCAGACGTATGCGCAATACGCTCTGTCGGCCCTGCACAAAGTGGGTAAAACAGAAGGCCGTAATTAGCCTGCCATCAATAGAATGGGCAACGTTTGATTGTGCGCAGTGTCAGAAGCTGAAATAAGCAAGTTCTCTGGCAGCCGACCTTCTTTTTTCCCATGCACTAGTGCATAGCGTGTCTTCTGCTACACATGTACGTAAGGTCATCAGTAGCCACGGTCTCTGCAGAACGTCACTCTTCAACGCGACTCTCCAAAATCCGGGCTTTGCCCTGGACCCCTCAAGAATCCCGAACATGAAGGCCCCAACGATTTTCTGGTGGGGTTTCCCCTTTTTCCTGTTAATATTGTTTTTCCCGTGTCCTGGCTATTGGGGTTTGAAAGGGAACGCGTACTACTGTAGCTGCAGAATGACAAACAAGCCTGAGTTCGTGTTTTCAAACCGATGCGCGCTCTTTCTTGTGATCGGCTCCTGATCTCCCCCCCCGGACCCCGCTGCTCTGATCTATGTAGGAGAGTTCTTTGGCACCTCGAAAGGCAGCGCCCTGCGACGTCGAAATCATGGCGCTCGCGCAGCTGTCGGCTGTTCCCGTTCTAGTTCGTCTCCAAGACGGGAACAAGGTGGAAGTCATGGCGGACTCGTGGACTTCCGTAACAGACCTGGAGAAACAGGTAGGTATTGGCGAGGCCCTTAAGACCGGTTGTAGGCATGCATGGAGTACTATGTTGTTTCTTGTTTTCCCCTGCGGTTGCTCGTCGTGTTCTTACCTACTGTACGTCTCTGGTCTCCTTACAACTGCGAGAGACCCAGTACACTGGAAATGCAAGCAGTGTTCACGAATTGTTTGAAGTCACCGGCAAAGGCTGATTTGTGGTGGAGCATGCCGTACGCCGAATTGTGTTGTGTCATCGATGTCCCCTAGTTGTATCAGCTCCCCAAGCGATCTAACCCATCTGTAGTAAGTTTGTCCGAACACGCGTGAGTTGAGTGTTTCCTCTACCGTAGCAAGTTGCTCGGTTGCAAACTTCTACTTAACAGCCCACCACTGATGAAATACACCTCGTGCGCACGACGGCCTCATCTTGATCCTTGAAACTCTCGACGACCTCCTTGTAAACAACCGCCAGATCGCATCCAAGATCGGTCTAAAATGCTGTACTGCTTTCACGGTGTTTGAGGCCACCAACACGGACGGGCAGAGAGCCCTACGAGCTAAGGAGCGGATATTGGATACGGTGAGGGGTAGATAGCATTCGGCAACACAACAAAGTGTGTGTCTATGTCTTGATTATTATTTAATAGCATTTACCGCGCTACCCTGCTGACCAACGAGAATACATCAGCGTAGTATGTGTGTTGTCATCATCACATTTTTCTAAAGGTATCTGTTTTACAGCTTTCGTAAAGAACAACCAGCAAACAAGTTCTTGGCAAATAGACTTTAAGTTTGAAACGAACTCGTTAACACGTGCTCCAAGCAGCAACATGTCCTCGATTGCTGACAGCTTCCCCCGATGCTATTGTCATGTTGGACGGAGACACGTTGAGGTTTGAAGTTGGAGAACAATATCGCCGGAGCTCTGCGTGGCATTTCGCAACTAAAGCAGACAGTATGCGGTGTTTGCATGCTCGAGACTTCGGCGAGTAGCGTAAATGTGGGGGTCACGACACCAGGGTGCGATAGGTTTTGAAATCATTCCTATCTTATTTTTTTGGCACCCCCCCGAGTGCAATATCTTCGAGGGGCGCGGAATGAAATTTCACAACTAAATGATGCCGTCCTTGCTTTTTAGCGCGACCGTTGCAATAGCCCCAAGGGGTGCGAAACCAACGAATGGGGCAAGTGCGAGATAGGTGATGGCGTGTGCCAAGGACAAACGCTTTTTCCATACGGAATTGTGTCTTCCAGCTTTTCGTTGGCTTGTGCGCTCCCCTCTGCCAGCGTTGTCTCTTAAGCGGTGGTACCAAAAGAATCCCTAGCTTCCTTGTACCGTAGATCTTTCTCTCTCTCTGCGAGCGGCCACTGAAATCTACATCCCCGTGATATGTGCATGTGTGAAATCCGTGGCTTGTCCCTTCTATTTGCTGCCGGTCCTTTCCATATCTCTTGTGTCTGTCCCAGCTGCTCGTCAGCTGGCTATCAAGCTGCTCTCGGCCTCGAACGATGCCCGTTATTATCATGTCTCATCGAACTGCCAAACCTTTATCTTAGAAAAACATCCGCCCATCTTCACACGCCCTGCACAGGTTGCTCAGTGGAGAACCCAGGCCGCCGCGACCTCGGGGGTGAAAAAATTCCAACTTTTGTTCAAGGTGCGGCTACACTTGCGTCCCGACGACGATGACTTGGCGGGTATCAAGCTCACTTATCTGCAGGTGAGCGGATGTGCACCACACGCGTCAAAACACATCGTATACTGGATTCTACAAGCAGATCGTAGAGGTTCTGTAGGGATTGATTACAATAATCGGGGCCGGTGCGCCAGCTGAAAATCAGTAGGAGTGGGTGGAAGGCTTGGAAATGGCTCGCGTGCGCGTGGGCGATGACGAGAGCACCATACTAGCGGCACTGACCATCTATCGTCGGACGGCATTTAGCGCGCAAGGGCGGACGGTGTTGCTATCCCAGCGAAAACGGCGGAGCTGATGAGGCGTGGCGTTATGTCTCTCGAAGCTAGACACGCCCACCATAACGAAAACTGCGAGTGGAAACAGTACTCATAACTTCACTTCACAACACACCTCCGCCCCCAAAACGCACACTTGACCGTATCGAATGAGCGCATGCACGAAGGCTGTTCAGGACTTGTGCGACGGTGTCTACATGGTGAGTACGGAGGACAGCGTGCAGCTGGCGGCATTTCAGGTATGTGGAGCGAGGTGGCGCCCGATCAAAGACCTTTTGCGGTCTTCATACTGCCAATGTCATACCTCGTGTTACTGTAAGGGCTTCGACACCCCAAAGAAGCCTTCGGCTGTTTTCCTGGATACCCAGTCTCTCCTGCGGGCAGATGAATCCACCGTTTTCAGAGTCTCGCATACTTTGTGTCAATCGTGAATGGGACCCAAAACACTCTGCACGTGTTGTGTTCTGGCGTGCGCTCCTATGTGAATGAGACAGTTGTCAACACCGGGGCGTTCGACGGGCACTTCATTGCTGCATGTTTCCCTTCCTTCCCCCCATCGTAGATATCAGTGAGGGGAAGAAGAAGATGGATGGCCATCGGTTCATGACGTGTTGGGGGTTCACGTGGCAAGGTCTACCAGCCTATTTCAGATGTAGTAACTCTACCAGCCTATTTCAGATGTAGTAACTCTACCAGCCTATTTCAGATGTAGTAACTCTACCAGCCTATTTCAGATGTAGTAACTCTACCAGCCTATTTCAGATGTAGTAACTCTACGATGGGGGCGCGCCGCAGTGGCGACAAACAGACGAAACAAGGGTAATCTCCAGGCCATGCGTCGCTTCTGAAAACGAGTTCGTGCCGTGTTGTCTTTCATCTGCCGTCACGTCGAATGCCCTCACGTTGATCGATCCTTTTCCCATCATCTCTCAGAAAATCAGCGAGCACACTTCTTGATATGCCCCCTTCTCTCCGTCGTATCGAACGGCAGTTACAAGCGAGCAGAGGCGACTACGACAAGAAAAACTGCACAGCTGGCTCTCTCGAGAAAGAGCTTACAACTCTCGTCCCGCCGCAGGTTCGTGAGCAGGCAACAAGAGGTGATAGGGAACCGAGGTACGGAGTTTTCCTCGAAAACAAAGGCACATCGTGGCTTTGGTCACTATATTTTGGATCAAGTTGAAATAGCAGTTCCATACATACCACATCGGTGTTTCGAGGTCGCCGTTCCCCACCTCCCGCCACGTCTTGTTTGCATGGACACCCTTGCGGTAGATTCTAGCCCAGCCCGAAGGGGATGAGTTCAGGGGGAGGAAGGACCTTGCCAACAAGATCCTGGCGTACTACATGATGAGCCTGAAGGGTATCAGCAAGAAGGTAAACGAGAAATAGAGAACGGTGCGGAAACAGAATGGTGAGACGAGGATCGTTCAAAGCAATAGAATCTCGTGAAGAAACATCATTGGTTCAAGTGGTCATGAAGTACTGACAGCAAGTCAGTAATAGTCGTGGGGACCAAAAACCCTGGCAGCCCTTGCAGGCGGGGACGGAGTTCGTCGGGTCTTCATCACCGATGTTACGGGGGCCCGGTTATTCCAGCTGCCTGTATCCAACAGGCTGGTAGGGCTAAACATCATGTACGTTCCCGATTATCAATGTCAGCACTGATAGTAGTATTTGATATTCCGGGCTGGACGGACCCACTGCCGACCGAAAAAGTTGGTCGACAGAGCATTATTGTGCGCATCGCCCTGCGACGTGCAGCACGTTTGGAATCTCCCAAGAAAGCCAGCTCTTCGACCTATGGCCGAAAGTTAAGCACTTATCCAGTTTAGTGCGGCCGCACTCGTCACCTAAGGAAAAATAACACCTACATATGCATAGAAAGTACGGGGAAGACCGGCCTGCTGTGCGCCCCCCTCACGGGGGTCCGCCCCCGTCGTTATGAAGTTATGGGGGAGTCAACCAATATCAAGCCAACATCAGGAACGCGAGAACCGGCGGTCGCTCGTTCTTGGAAACAAACGGTCTGCTTCGAGTCTCATTCTTTTATGTTCGTCTTGAGCTACGAACCACTGCTATAGTATCTCTCCGTACGATATTCCCGGCAAAGAAAGGTGACTGCACATCGGACGGGAGGTTACGGGAGGGAAAAAAAGCTACAACCCCGAAAGAGCGAGGATATTCACAGCTTTCACCACCGCGCTTTCTCCAGCTGTATTCCAATCAACGAAGGATGTGCAGTCAACCTATATATTGGATATTTGACCTGAGTAGAATACTGTCTCGGCAATGTCCCACAAACTTGCGACCTGCATTCCAATTGTCAGTTCGTCGCTCTTGATTGTCGTTTTCTTCGTCATGAAGGAAGCAAGAGCCCTGTTCATGGGCCTCATGCGCGAGAATCCCAGCTTCGGCCGGGCGTACTTCGACGGGCTTTCACAGGAAAAACCCGTAGTAGTCGGGATCGGCGCAGACGGAGTGCAGTTCCTCGACGCGACCGACGGAGATCGCCCCGTCCTGGCGGAGTACGGGTTTGACAGCATCGGGTCCTTCGTTTGCTCGGACGAGGTACACACACACGATATGTACAGCACATGAAAAATAGAACACACGATATATATCGGTGTATATGTGTGGTGGTTTACGACGAGTGCCCGCCATGTTGGGCATGCGTCTCTGTCGTTGTATGCTGACTGGATACGTCTTGTTGTTGTTGTTGTGGTTCATGTTGACTTCGTCGTTTGGTGCTTTTGGCGTTATTCCGGCAGAATAACCGATCTGTTCGAAAGCGCTCGGTCTAGGCGGCTGAATTCGAGCTGGGCAGAATCGCTCGCTCCTTGTGCTCTTCAAGACACGAGCGTTCACATTCGGTGTATGATCTTGTTTTTTTGTGTCAGGGGTGTCCTGACGTTGTGCAAATCTTCGCAGAGCCTGAATGGTGCTGCGTCATCGCCCGCTTCAAGATGTTTTTGGGTTCCGAGTAATTCGGGTACCGACGGCTACTCGTGGGTTCCATGAAGGCTATCACGAAAAAAGAAAATCACAACTAACTCTGTGGAGGTTACAATTTATTATCAACAGGTGCCCCCACCGCAATGAAAATAGTTCACTTGGTTTTCCCCACAACTCAAAGTTTTCCCCGACTCCCTAAACGAACCACCACACCCACACCCGACACAGGAGACGGCGGTGATGACGCTGGCGGCACGGGAAGGAGAACAGACGAGCTTCGTGAAACCGACAGCCATCCTTATCCAGTCCGCACAGGCGTCCCAGATGAAGAGCCTCGTGCACGCTTACATGGTCCGTTACATCCTTCCGAGGAGAAAGAAGAAGGAGGAAGGAGAGAAAGCCAAAACTGTCAATAAGGAGACAGACGTCGTCCCGTTTGCGACTGATGGAGCATAGTGGTGTATTCGTTGTGTTGGCGGTGTGACGGTCTTTGCGAAATGGTAGATTTGGCGTTGGCGTTGGTGATGAGCCACAAGCTCTCGAATGCTCTTTGTTGTTATCGTGGCGCCTGCGGCTTTGCCCAATTTCTTGCGCCATTTTTCACGTTTCCCAAGAATCTGGGCCTCTCTTCTTCTCGATTTCTTGTGAGGATACTTTTTATTAGCGGGCTTACAACTGTACATCGTCTTGGAGCGACAACGAGACCGGGATCGTTGTTTCCTGCTTCAAATATTGTCCTTTGTTTTACAGCCGGCGGTGGCGAGAAGTACGGGGTGACAAAATGGTCTTGAGAATCGGAGCGAGAAATGGCGGTCCAAGGCATTGACCACGGGAGGATGAAACAGAGAAATAACGGATACTAATATGACGCATACAGGGTCCAGTCTTGACTTACCCTTTCTTCCAAGATATAGTTTGCGTACGTCCTACATCGAGGGGTTGGTTGCTCTCGTCCAAAATGTGACTGAGTTGCAGACCCGAAATTGAAATTCTAATTTCAGGGCTGCAGCTACCCGCGTGCAACGTAGTTGTCGGATCTGTAACCTAACTACTTGTTGTATAGAAGGTGAAATGCTTTTATAAAACGGAAAAGGGCCGAAAACCCAATTTTTCGCGTTCTATGAAGCTGACGAGGTAGCCACAGCGGTGAAAAATACTACATCGTAGAATAGTTCGGTGTCCGCCTCCTGTGTGACCCTGGCTGATGGTGTGTCAACCAAACATTATATACCGAACGGTGTAGACTGGCGCCCAATAGATTGGACGAAAACACACAACAAACACACCATATAGTATTATTGTAGTATAGACGACACGGGGCATCTTGAGTGTTGCCTTCGTGCAAAAAGAAAACACCACGCCCCACACGGATCCCATACACAATACCACATAAGACTGCAGGTGCGTAGTCTAGAATAGTCGACACGCAGTTTGTGTATGGGATCCGTGTGGGGTGTGGTGTTTTCTTCTACAGGAGGGCTTGACGTGGATTGCCTTGTTCCCATCGGAGGTGACATCATGTGTTATAATACGTACGACGGGCTGTTTGAAGTTGGGCCACGTTTCTTGTTCTTGAGGTCTCCGTTTCCGCACACACACGAGTTCAAGCACGAACCGGAACATTTCATACAACTCTTATTGCACATCAACAAGTCAACAAGCACCACCATCACCAGCCTGCATCATACAGCTGAGGGGGAAGCACGTTGTCGTGGGTAGCGCGGGCGCACCTGCTATCGTAATAACTAGCAGGGCCCACGTGTGATGTCCCAAAAGAAGCGGAGATGAATCAAAATTAGGAGCATGCCGCAAGCCGCTTCTATATTCGCTTGTCCGGTCAGCTAGGCTGTTCAATTCAACTCTGAGTACGACCTCGAGGTCGTTTATTTGCCGCAGCAGCTGCCCACACCATCAATCACCCACAGTCGCAGTCGACGCACCCCGCTTGTTGCTCAGCAAAGCAACTAATCAGTACCACACGCCGTGCGGTAGCTTGAACTGATCTGTCGGCGATTGCGGCAGGTGAGATTCTTCCGTATCCACACCTCGAGAGCAAGAGCAAGCCAAGTGAAGTGTCTGTGTCGTTCCTACTCTTTCGTGCTTCGGTGAAGTTAACATCATCGCCGGGTGCGGGCTCGTGGACACGTCACGAAAAGGTGTGATTTGATTTTCTGCCAACCCACAGCACCGTTCCTCGGCACCCTCGACACCCTCGACACACTCCGTGTGTGGGTCGATCCGGCGCCAGCGTCAACCGACGCGTAACCGCTTGGGCATCGTTGCGGAGAGGCCGCGAGAGCGAAAGCGGGGGGGAAGAAGCGCGCCACGAACAAACTTTATTAAGTTGCCCATGGGCGTTGGGCTGGAGTGTAACGATGGTAGGCAGCAGCAGCACCACCATCTACGGCAATACCAACAGCAGGAGCCGCGGCACAAGCCGCAGGGACAGCCGATGCAGCACCGCCACCACTCTCCATGGCATCCCGAGTTGGAGGTGCGTAAAACCGGGGGCCGTTCTGGTATTCACCACGAGAGACGGCCGAAGGTTGTGGTCGTAATAAAAAAATAGGCCGATCTGGCGATGTGTGTTTTTTTCAATATTCGATGGTAACGGAACGGTTTTGAATGTGAAGACAACACAACAGCAACAACAGAGAGAGATCAACAGGAGACGGTGTGGCGGGCTGGCCTTTAATGGCGGCTAAACCCGTGTGCGTGTAGTGGTGACGTTCAGCCTTCTTGTGGTGACGGGTTGGCACACCTTGAACCATTGCTCACCATCAGCGCTCCTCGTCCAGCTTCTACTGGAGTGTAGATGACGTCAACGAATAGACCGCAGACGGTCGTGGGATCGGGATCTTGACGTCTTGAAGGGCAACAAAAAGTGAAAACTTCATCTCCGCGCGTTGATTGTCTACTGCTGTACCATGTGCTCCACGCTCGCGCTCGTGTTGTGGGCCCGGCGAGACCTCATCATGCCCTTTTGCGTGTGACAGTACCCAGTACAACCACAGCTCTGATTGACGTACAGGACAACAGCGAGCTACGAGCGTTGTAGGGATTCTCGAACTCTCGAACTCTCGTAGAATGAAGAAGGCGCGAATTTTTTCGGCGCGAATATTTTGGTCTGATTTTGGTTTCTATTCCCATGGGGCAAGCAACCAGCACACCCGACACACACACACAGACCAGCCAGCTGCTGGTGCTGGAACGTGGATCTCCTTGAGCGCACTCTGTCTAAGGTCTCAGCCAACCGAGCTGCAGGCACCAGGAATCTCTAGGCAGTACTGTTACACTATATAAGCCTTTTACCTCTTTCTGTTTCTCGTTTGATCGCAAGATCTCAAGATCTCCCTTTCTTTCTTGGTGGGCATCAGAGCATCAGAGCACACGGAACCGTACGTACTTGTGGTCGTGCAGCGCTGTTTGAGTTTGTGCAAGGTGAAACTTGACACGATTTGCGTGCGATAGGTGCAGTTCTAGAACAACCGCGTGAAAACTCACGGTAAAAGAAACGTCTGTCCCACTTTTTGTGGCGTTGGTTACACAACTGCCGTGGATGCATGTCATGTATATGTACGGTAAAATTTTCCGGCAAACATGGCAAGCAACCACAAACCGAAGCTGGAACTTTTTTTTTTTTTCGTTCGGTCGGATGCATCACTCAGCCGGCGCACTGAAAACAACTGCTGCTGTGAAGATCATAGCCGTGGAAGGTTGGTGCTGCAATGGAAGTCCTGACTGTGGTAGAGAGAAAAATAGCAGTCCGGAACGATTTTTCGGCGTAGAAATGCGGCGACGTAAAAATGCGGCGGAAAATGCCGTAGGTAGCCACACCCGTCCGTCGGGTTGCACCCATCTGCCCAACGTGCCAACGGCTTGTTGCTCACAACCGTCCGCAGCCGCTTTCGGTTATCCTTTCTCTTCCGCTCTCTACTGTAGTCGCTGTGTGGTACTCCCTCCGTCGTGCCCGTCTGTCCGTCTGTCTAATTGTCTGTCTGCCAATACAAATGCCATTTCTACAGCACTGCTGCTGTAGTCTAGACTGCTGCTGTATTCTCGACCTGTTTGCCCTTGTATTTACTTGTAGTCTTGAGCAGCAGCCACCTAGCATGTTTTCCGTGTGTTGTTGAGTGTGTGAAAGAATCCCTTTACGCTCTCCGCTCTTCCGTTTTATTTCTTCTACACTGCTGTACTCCGATGATGCTGTCCCTCCTCTGGGCGAATGGCTCCATACATACATACGCCGACAGCCAGGGTTCTGGTGCATGCAGCAAAAAGACCTGCTGCTGCTGTAGGCACCTGCGGCAGCCGCAGTAACTTTGTCCACCGACCTCGCTCTGTATGGTGTATGTACACACGGATACGTAGTCTACAGAATATGACGTGCGGCGCTGCGAGGGTTTCTTACCTGTAATCCTAATAACAATACGATGGGTTTTACGCGAACCCGATCGCGAGGCAAGGGATAGTGTCATACTTCAACAACGGCAGTGCAGCAAGGCTCAAAGCCTTACACCAAGGTGTGTTGACGATTGGGTGCGGGCTATGCTAAGCAATGCATAGTCAAGAGTGCACGAGACGACAGAAGTTTTAAATCTTCACACGCAGTCTAAATACGTAAAAACTGCACTAGTCTAATCAGCAGGTAATAGTAGGGTGCATTGTGGTTGAGCGCGCTGGGATACCAACCTGTCTTCTTGTTATGTTTACAGCAGTAGACTACACGTACCCCCTGCTGCTGTCCTACTACCGTCCGGCGGCCCTCGCTTCCCATTTCGTCTGGGGAAACCAACAGGGGCTACAAACCTTTCGGTTTTAGTGTCGGGGTGAGGTTCGAGGTCTTGTTTGGGACAATTTGGACCCACCCTCAAGTTCTAAACTCCCAACCGACTTGAGTGAGTGTTCCATGTTGAGACTACGGTCTACATAGACGATTGTGATGGATGATCGGCAGCGTGGGGCGTAACCGACCACTGTCGGTACAAGTAGAAGGGTGTCGAACCTGGGTGGGTATGCTCTCTCGTGGATTCACCTAAACTCACTTTGAAAAGCGTTGCTGGCTTCGGTAGCTGATGGAGTGACAACCGAGCATCATGGATGAGGCGCTCGCTCGGAAAATCCACCAACAACCAATTCCAAACTAAACCATGCTTCAACCGTTGAATCCTGGAATGTTCTCATGTGTGCAGTTTCACACCTGTCCAATGCGGACTCCCAAGTCCTGGAACACAAGAAAGATATACTGTGCAGTACACGGGTATGACGGCAGATCCACACCTGTCGAATGCTGATACCCCAAAATCGTTGAACACAATATCTCGAAGCAGCAGTAGCTAGCGTTTAGACCGCCCACCCTTCATTAGCATGTGCTGCCATTTCTCAAAATGTCATGTAAATAGTGCACTTTCTTGGGTGAAGCCTTCGACCAAACGAATATTTATCGGTGTATTTTTCTCTATCCTAACAGTTGGAAGAAAGCTGTTCAAGTCAAGGCACAAACAGTATAGCGCCAGGAGGCGGATAGAGGTTGATTTTTAATGTTTCTTCCGCCGTTGCATGGACCTGATGCTCGTTTGGCAGCAACAAGACATTCGCGCTGTGGTCAGAAGCGGCCGCAACAGCAAACGGACCTGCATCGACGATTACGAGACCGCGAGGCCGATCGGGAAGGGAAAGTTTGCGATCGTGTATCGGTGAGTTCACAAGATATTACGTTGGCTAACGTCGATAGTGGCGGGTATCTAAGATTGATCGAAGTCGACGCCATCAATTGTCGATGAGCAAATCAACGGTATTTTCGATGACGCAATAATAACTGGACCTGACGAACTCAGGGAGGGGGGGAAGGACCGAGTTCATCACGTGGAGGGACACGAGTGGAGAACGAGAATACGGGGTGATGCTGCTGTGCGTATTGTCGGAGACCCTTGACCCTGAGCGTCCGACTCCACATTTTCTTAAAAGTATTTCAGTTCAAGCGAAGCACAGAAGGAGACAAGCAACAGAAAGACAACGACGATGGAAGCGCATGGCTGCTCCGGCCAGACTATGACAGATGAACTTAACATGTCGCGCTCCCCCTTTTCCGAGGGAGGTGAGATAAATGGAAACCACTGCTGCCCCCCGCGTGCGGCTAATGCTTGCAGTAAGCAATACCCTGGGAGAGGCGACACGATGCGTTATTGGTGTCTAGGCGAAATTATTAACGGCGTCGCCCTCGGTGCAACCCGTTCGGTGATGCTTGTGTGTGTGCCGGCCCCCGCGGGTGCTGGTGCTTGCTCGCTGTTGCCGTCGATGAAAACAGAGCCAAGAGGAAGAAGGACGGGAAGACCGTGGCGCTCAAGAGAGTTTCCATGTCCGACATGGGCGAAAAGTTCAGGACCAAGTGCATGCGGGAGGTACGAAAAAATGTACTATGAAAAGCCTTAGGCAGGTGATCTCGTCATTAACAGCTTTGCCAGTGGCGGTCCGTTTGCCGCACTAGACAGTCGTGCAAGAAAACGCACTCGAGAGCTTCATTATTTGTGGATGTGGTTGTTGTTGCTGCTGCTGCTGTTGCTTAATAAGCGTCCGCTCTTCTCAATTCCGATGATGTGCGCCGTCATGCCGTTTTATTTCTGCTCCAAGCCGTACTGCTACTTCTTTTCCCGGTTGGTTGATGACGTTTCGTGGTTTCGTGCAATAGGTGCGCCTTCTGCAGTCTTTGGATCACTGCAACATCATCCGCTACCAGGATTCCTTCCTGGACAACAATGAGCTCGTCATCGTCTTAGAGTGGTGAGTGTACAAACCGACAACAACGATGGCGACGACAGTTTCAAAGAGCAACCACCAACATCGACAGATGAACGACGAATGCAAAGACGACTGATGATGTGGTGTAGTAGGAAAAAGGCGTCAACCCAGCCGGAACACCCATCGAAAAGAGAAGGGCGATTGATAATATGAAGGAGAGTGAGACGAAACAAATGCAGTGACTGCCTCACAACGCGCGTTACGGACGAAAACGTAGCGAAGAAAGACGGCAGCGACAGAAAACAAGGGCATGCCACCTTTCACTGTTTACTCACTTAAAAATTGAATGGTCAAGGAGGTGCTGTTGTCGTTGTCGAATAAAAAATAAAGCAGTTACCGTACTTCTTTGAAGAAACCCGGCCCCCTTGGGCTACTTGAGACGACACCTCCGTCTTTCTCGGAAAATCTCTCCGGAGAAGCCTTACCCAACATCATGAATGGCTATACTTGCCCTTGGGTGTATTTCCGATCGTGGAAGGTCACCCCCACCAAGAGCGTTTGAACGCATCAGAACGTCAATACACACCGTCGTGGTTTGTTGATGGCGTCCTGGCGTGCTTGCTGTTGCCCACCACCACTGCGATAGAATACCGAACGAAGCCGAAAAAGAAAAGGAGGCAGCAACGACAATAATCCATGCCAAACAAACTGAAAACATCAAGACCAAACCTCGAAACCGCTAGTCGCAAAGGTCGTGAGTTCGATTCCCCATGGGGTTAAAAATTTACACAATATGCAGGTGAAAGCGAAAAATAGCTGAAAAGGCTCTCGTGAGTACCAAACTTCGACGGTAGTACCGTTGGCGAGGGAAAGGCACGGCTGAACCCTTCTCGCGATAAAAATAAAGTTCAGCACGCACCGCAGGAGGAAGGTGGGGCACGAAAATAAAAGAAAAAGAAGAAAAAAAACTCCCTGGTGTTTACCTCCTCCTGTGTGGCCCTGGATGGTTGTAGTTGTACGAAAGAATACACTGAAAAGTGCAGTACTCTACATACACTGAAAAGTGTAGTACACGTCTCACCACGAAAAATGGGGGGACTGTCGCCAAAATAAATAGGACGAAAACACACACGCACACAACCCCCGACGCTTCGAATCAATCGCCCTCGTCAGGGCGGCGGCGGGAGACCTCAAGAGGCAAGTGCGGAAGGCGTTGGAGCGTGCAGTGCATTTCGAGGAGCGCATCATCTGGGGATACTTCTCGCAGGTGGATACAATCTGCCTGCGATAATTTAGCGACTAGGGGCGGCGAGCGGGGAGGTGCCTGTTGTGTTTTTTGGTGGTCTAGTCTTTTCGTGTGGCTGCGCGTGGTCTACGCGCCGTGAATATTTTGAGGAGCGCGGAAAACACCATTTTGATGCGCGTTGGAATCCAAATGATGACAAAATTAACCACTTTTTCGTTTTTTACGACTGCTGCTGCTGTTGCTTGCTATTCTTGTTCGTTCTTTCGCCTATGGCTGTTTTGGTTTCATCGAAAGTCTGTCACTGGTTTGGTGTCAACCAGCACACGTCTTTGGCCCTTCATCAAATTGGCCTTGCCCCCAAGCACGGTATATAATGTGAACCGACCATCCGCAAGTCACAAGGGTCTCGCTCTGATACCGCTCTCTATCCCTTAGTTTTTTTCCCCACCTCATTTCTGCGTCTGTCTCTCTGCCTGTTTGTTATCTTGATCTCTTTTCGTGCTCTCCCCCCCGCCCCCCCCCGCTACTCCGGTGCACTTCCTGCTTTCGCCTTTTACCTGCTGCCTGTGTCCGGGTTCCAATTCCATCTTCGTTATTTACACTTTGATCTTGCACCTATCTCAAGATATGTGGTGCCATCAGCTACATGCACAGGATGCAAATCATGCACCGGGACATCAAGCCCGCCAACATTTTCCTCACCCTGAAGGGACAGGTGTGTGGGCGTAGAACAAGCAATAGGCAAAGTCAAGGTGGCGGTTTCACACCACGCCACGCGAACAACACCATCTCGGCGATAGACACCATCAGCAGCACCACCATCAACAGCAGCAACATCAGCACCAACCACACAACCGCAAGCTACAACCGCAGCAACAGCCGCAGTATTAGCAACAACGAACCAATTGTTGTTTTTCCTCCCTTTAACGTCTTTCTTCGCCTTCGCCGGAACACGGTACAGGTGTGCCTACAAACGGTCACACACGCAAGGGCAGGCTGCTTTTTGACGTTTCGGTGAATCGGGTGAACGATACTGTCGTTCTCTATTTCGTAGAAAGGTTGCTGGTTTGAGCCCCAGTGGACTTTTGCTGACGTACACCAGAGCAACAATAGTTTATCTTCTTTCCTACGCTTTCTCTTTCAAAGAGCAACGCGCCCCACACTCCGGAGAAGCACACACGAAACTTGGCCTGACCTGACCTGACCTGACCTATTCAGACAAGCGAAGCGAAGCCGTTGCTTTCAATAGTTGCTAGGTTACGGTAGCAGTCTACAACGAACGCTAGCACCCTCTCTGCCTCAAATCACACCGGAAGGAGTTTCCGGCTGCCATCGTCGTCCATGCAAGGCGAAGGTTAGTGGATGATTGTGATATCTGTCAGCAACACCCACTCACCTATGAAGCTGGATGAACACCTCCTCTTTGATGATTTGTCTGGTGGTATAGACTTTCCCGCTCGGCTTCTCTTGCACAGAGAATTCGGTGTATCGGGAGAGGGCCGAATTTTTTCTTTGGACTTTAAGCATATGGCACCGAAATAGCTTGAAACAAGCTGCATATGGTGCCCTTTTCGGTTACAGGTCAAGGTGGGAGACCTAGGGCTGGGCAGGGTCATGAACGCGGACGACGAACTGGCCTACTCCAAAGTCGGCACCCCGCTCTACATGTCCGTCGAGGTGCTGGGCGGCGGCGGGTACAGCTGGAAGAGCGACGTGTGGTCCCTGGGCTGCGTCCTGTACGAGCTCGCCATGCTGCGGAGCCCCTTTAAGAGCGAGAGCCTCAGCCTCTACAGCCTCTACAAGAAGATCAGCAGCGTAAGAACAAGAACACTATGCTCTTACCTTCATTTTTCCTGTATCGTACTAGTTAGATTTACCTACCAAAAAGAGGCGGACAGCAGCGGTCTACGCATACGTGCATTCGGAACGAGCACGTTTCTCCACAATACAACGATCACGAAGTTATTTCCTCCCAAGCGACGAAGAAAAAAATAAATCAGGGTGCATCTAGCAGACACTGGTGAAGTGGTGGCGTGATAGGACCCGGGACCTATATATTGTGCCTTGCGTTGACCCATTGCCGACCGGCACCAGCGTATCAGGTTGACGGAGGTGTATGCCTCAATGGGACATGTTCGGGTGGAGCGTTTGTCACTTTGCCTCTGGGTTGCCACCATTGTTCGTCCCTGTGTTTGCTGAACAATGACCCGGCCTGTCAGAATGCCTTCGCCATCAGCACGACGTTCTCGCTCTTTACGCCGCCAGTCATCGCTCGTGCGGTAGGGAAAACCGGGGTACAAGTGTTGTCAACTACCCTTCGCAACAATTTTCGTCGAGTCACCGCCGGAACATGCATGCATATGAAAACCCGCTGGGGGCAATGATAGACATGATGCCTTGTTTTCCTCAGTCGAAGTAACACGTCTCGCGTGTGCTTTCCAACGAAAACCCAACCATCTACGTCGTATCGAGAAAACCGAAAACCAACCGAAAACCCAACCCCACCCATGTGCGATTTGATCGACTACAATGGGATCCACGCTTACCCCTTTCAGGGAGACTATCCACCTATGTTGGCGTACTACTCAGAGGAGCTGAGGGCGCTGGCGACGGGCATGATCAACACCAACCCGGACGAGAGGCCCAGCGTGCACGAGGTGAGCCCTGGGGGACCGATTAGCTACCATGAACCACGGAAGAGATGCGAAGAACCATTTGGCGACCGTTTGTGACCTTCGGACGTCTGTTTGCGTTTTGCTGCTTCGACAACATATCTTACAGTAGTACGGCACCCGCGAAGAAAGTGCCTGTGGGTACATAGGCACATGTACGCACAAAAATATGTTATCCAAGCGTTCACCGACAGATGCTTTGTGCTGCACGAAGAATTTTTTGTTGGGCTTTTCTGTGAGACCGCTCGAAAATCATCGAACCCATCTTCAATGGGCACAAACCATTAGCGATGTGTTCCCACGACCCCCACCTGTCGTAAAAGCGGTACCGTTCAGCTGATGTATTGTGCAACACAGAAATTTATGACTTCAAGGTGCGACCGTTTCGAAAACACCCCATGCTTGATTTGTTTCCGCCGCAATGTGCAAGGACTTCGATTCCCGCGCGAAAATCCAGACCACGCTACTGCTGCATATACCGATACGGATGGAGTACAGAAGTCAGCCAATGTACTGTAATACTCTCAATGAATGGTGTTTGGGCCTAGTTTGCTGTTGGAGGTGGCCACATATCCGCACGCGCGCGCACACCTGGCTGTTGTATAAATTGGAAGATATGTGAAGGCCAACAATGGCTGCTGAAACTTGAAACAAGATTGTATCCAGCATGCCTTTGACGCCAGGTAGTCTTAGCCCGAACGTGCACCGCGTCAGGCGGCCAAGTGTTTGATCTTGGTGTGATCTTGGACTGTAGAGCGCACCCGACCACTGCATCACTCAGGAGAACGCCAATGTTCTCTCAGTTCTCACTCTCGAATTCACAAACATTAGCTGTCCTCGGTCCCTCGCTTCAGAGGTATCAACCGACAAGCAGGAACCATTTCAACACCAAATTTCAACTGAAACGTGCTTCAATCCGATCATGAGCCCGGGCTATGTGTTCGCATGTTGTTGTTGTTGTTGTTGTTGTCTTCACATTGTTAACGGTTCCGTTCTCTCTGCTCAGTACCTTCTTCTGTCCGTACTAGTCTAACACTTGACGGGGTCGACTCCCGTGGTCACAGGCTAACTTCCCCAAAAAAAGGTATATGAAGATAAAATGGACCCGAAGGGTCCGCAAGCCAATAAAAGTCAACGACAGATAGTCTAGGCCACTCCGCTCGCCTCTACACGCTATTCGAGGTAACCCTAGATTGGAAAAAGAAAGGAGATTGCAGATGGAGAGAAGCAAAGGGAAAGGGAAAGACACGGAGAGAGAAAGACACACGCCGTAGCGACAGACAACAAACAAACAAACAAGCATAGCAACACAAGACAACACAAAACCACACAACACAAAACGGGCCACCCGAGCCAGCACATGCACGTCATCGCTCGCGGGGGGTTGGTGCAATGGTGCGGTGCCGGAGGGAGGGGGGGGGGGGTTGTCATGCATGGAGTTCAATTCGGCACAGTGTTTCGCGTCACTCGGTCCGCCTCTTCGCGTTTCCTGTCTTTCCTCGCCGTCTTGTCCGCCTGCTGTACCCCTCCCGCCCCCGTGGTTGTTGCCGTGTCCCTGTTGTTGCCGGGTTTCTTGTTTCGTTTGAGCGCTCGTTGTCGGCTAGCCTCCTCTTCCTTCTTGTGCCAGGAGGCCATGAACCTCTTAGCTCCCTGCAGTACCCCTGTATGCCACGGTACCCCCCGGTCCACCTCCGCTGCTTCCATCCAAGTTGTTTCCGGGACCCCGAAGAAACATGTCTCGGCGTCCATAGACCCGTGCTCTGCTTCGAACATCTTGAGGTCGTCCTTCAGGCACATCTGCCAGTTTTTCTCCGGTTTTCCCCTGCCTGGGCCCTCCCCCCCCACCAGCTCGCCAAGCATCACCCGTTTCGGGAGTCGTCCGCCTGGCTCTCTTGCCAGCGCTCCCGCGAACTGCAGGCGCCGTTGCCGAATCGTGGTCTCCACGCTCTGGCACCCTACCCTCTTCAGGGTCTGGGCGTAGGAAAGCTGCCGGTAGGTGCCCTTCTTGCGTTGGTAACCGACAACTCGCAGGAGCAGTCGGTGGCGTATCGTCCGCAACGTCCGGTATTGGTCTTGACGTGGGCATGCAGCCGTACAGCAGTGCCTCCATCGCCTCGGTCTGGAGCAGGCGAGTCTTGATCGGAACGGTGCTTTCGGCCTGTCGAAGAGCTCCTGGCCATATCTGCTGACGCATGCCCACGCTGCTCTGCTCCCGTAATTGACCTCCCGGGTGAGGTCGCCATGTTCGTTGACGAGGCCCCCTAGGTACCGGAATTCAGTCGTCTGGGCGTACCTCTGCCCTGCTGCCTCGATGATCAGCGGTGGTGGTGATGGTGGCGGTGGTGTTGTTGTCTGCTTCTCCTTTGGGCGCATCAGGAACGTCTGCGTCTTCTTCTCCGATACCGTCAGCCCGAACTTCCCGAACACCTCCACGATGACGGTCATCATTCTCGCCAGTCCTTCGGCAGACCTCAATACGACGCCTACCTAGACATGAAAATAGCAGAGATCTACTCCCGCTATCTGGCCAAACACGGGCACGCAAAAGCTGAAAACCATTTGTCAAGTTGTCATTGGGCGCTGGTTGACGCGTTTTCTGGGCTTTCACCGCCACAGCCGCTCCATGATGGTGATGTCTGTCGGTGGAAAGAGATCGAAGAAGAGGAGTGGATGCACATTGTCTAGACGCTGAAGCAAACTCATACCGACCCGTAGCTCCCGCCTACGCTTATCTCCAGTACGCACGGACGATGGTACTGTAGGTCGGATCCTATCGCAGAACGCATTAAATAAGCGGACGGGTTGGGGTGTGTCCTGCTCGAAGACTCAAATGAAGTTCTGGCGATATCTGCCGCAGAATTCACTGCTCTTTGGAATCGGAACCAAGTTCAGGTAATCGTCCACCGTCCGCTTATTCAACATTTACTGCGATTTGCGGTCTTCTCGCTTGGCTGAACCACGTCCCACAACACCCAACGTAGCACCTCTCCACCCCGTTCGGTGCTCTTGATGTAGGCTCTGTCCTTGTTTGTTTTGTCTCCTGAGCCTTATTATTATGTACATCCTGCACATCATGTATCCAAAATCATTTGGAACCCTCTGCCAATACGGGCAAAGGAAGCTTTTGAATGCCGGCAATATTAAAAGGCACTGGCCGGCTTTCTGTACCGTCCATGTGTGTCACCCCACCAATTGGGGCACAGTGTAGGCCTTCTGGATTACGTAGATCAACAGTGCGCCATAAAAAATGAAAGCGTACCGAAACCGCCTAAGACGGAGGACAAGGGGAGTGATGGAGAATGACAGAGAATGAAATGAAATTTGTGCAGCATCGCTATCTGCTGTTATGGTGGTATTCACGACGAGAAAGGAAGCAATTGAAACAGTTGCAGTAGGAGTGCTCCACGAGCCGACGGCTTTCCCGTTGAGACTGCCCATGCTGGGGGCGCGTTCAAGCCGCCGCTTGCGAACTGCCGAGCAAGGAAGTCGTTCTTTCTCCTGCCCGCATTCCAAGAGAAGGCAGGGCCGAAAATTGAACGTCGCAAGTACAAGCAAACTGTCAATATCCCGATAACTTCTTATCATCCGAGTAGCAGTCACCCGCGCGCAACGGCACACAGCAGGAGCAGTCTTCCACAGAGCCAAGTCAAGCATGCGAGAAGACCTATTTGAGGTAACCAGGCCACCCTCCTCCAAGGTCGGGCAAAGGGTCGGGAGATACAAATGAAACTTCTTCCACCAACCCAGGATGTTGACCCAATGTGACTGAACACCTGAACGCCTAGTAGCTATAACTTGAGAACTTGTATGCTGAACTTGTCCTTCCCTTGCTTGGCGTTTTTTCTGCTGTACGTCAAAGGCGCACTCAATCGCCCTTGCCATGAAGCGGAAAATGGCCGGGAAGGGGAACCCTGCCACCCTTCCCCCACAGGTAAACGCCCGTGTTCAACGTTTGGATTGCGAGAACGCTCACAACAAGACCCATCAACTGTTAGCCTGCCACCGCGTAGATATCCCTCGTATTCACGTTCTTCCATGTGTCGTCGACACTTTTACAGTATGGTACGATTCGCACTCAATTTCTGACAACTTCTTTTTTCAGGTCTTCCGGGCCAATATTCAAGGTAAAGTGAAGCGAAGCGGTTGTTCTCTGCTGGTTCCATTTTAGATAATAGTCTAAGTGGTGTTTCTCTCAGTGCAAGAACAATCACAGCGACTGGGGCCATGATGATCTTCGAAAAATACCAAGTAGTGGTGAAGTCACGCACCAATCATCCGCTCTAAAACTACACATCCCGTGCCGTCTTCATTTTTATTCTGTCTCCCTATGGTTCTACCCCCCTCCGCCGTTACCCAACCGCACGCCTCCAGATCGCTCGCCATCTGAAGCCGAAGAACCCGGCACCCAGAAAGATTGCAGCTGCAACACCAGCAACACCAGTAACACCCGCAGCGGGCAAGCTGCCCCCGTCGCGACGAGCTGTGACGAGCGGAGATGAATGTCGAGGCGGCATGGACCCCTGCAGAAATGGGCCTGCCGGCTTCGCCCTCGACTCGGGCACCCCTGCTCTGGCTGAGGGAGCAGCGGTGGTTCCTCCCTCTATTGACCACATTGGCGCGGTAGTTGAAGCCACCTCTGCCGCGATCCGGACAAGAACAAGATCTCACGACCTCCGTCCCGAACAGACCGGCGAAGCGGCGACCGCGGGCGCCCTCGCCCACAGACTCGGTGGGTACAGCAACAACGGCGAAGACGACGGCCTTTGCCATCATCTACAACAGCAGCACCACCACCACCACCACCACCACCACCATCGTCGTCAGAACAATCGCCACCACTCCTGTCATCACGACAAAATGGAAGGCAAGAGCAGCAGCCACACCCGCCGGGAGAGGAACGAAGGGGTGGTTAGAAACGAATGGAAGCATCAGCACGAGAACTTGAAGCAGCAGCAGCAGCAGCAGCAGCAGCAGCAGCAGCAACGTCATGCCATGTGCGAGCCCCGGCTGGCTGGAAACAATGTGGATCATGGTGTCAGCAGTGGCCATAGAGACAGCAAGAATACTATCGTAGAAGCGGCGGTTCCGACGCAAGCAGATGGGGCGGAGGGGGGCATCACCACAGCCTCCGTGACCATCGGAAACGAGGAACGGAAACGGACCCACGGCACTGCCACTTCCATTCTGACGTCTACTTCTGCGATGCATGCCAGGGCGGACGCGACGAAGAATCATCACCAGCATAACCCCGAGCAGCACCCGGTGGTTCTCGCTGCTCCGTGGTTCGAGATTGCTCAGAAAGCCACGCCACAGCCGCTCCCGGTAGGGGCCGTAGTGACGGCAAGCGGCATTGTGTTACCAAGGGTAAGGGCCGGTAGCCTAGCCGCGAAAGTAAAGGCAGCTAAAGCGGCGGCGGCGGCGGCGGCGGCGACAGCGGCAGCGAGGGAGAGCGAGGGAGCGAGAGGAAGTAGTGCGCGCTGGTCGCCTTCGCCGCCGCCACCGTCGCAGCAACCGCCGCTGGGACCAGCCGTCGTGAGGTTCAATGATGCCACGCCCTTCAAGGTGAATGGGGTTGATCCGAGATGTGACGAGAGTCAGGCCATTGTGGTTGGAATGAAAGGAGAGCCGGCTTCAAGAGCGCCTGCTTGGGAACAGCCAACTCAATCACGGCAGCGAGAAGAGCGCCCCTCCCGTACGACCCCTTGCGAGGACGACACAAACAGCCGCGCCTCAACAGTACCAGCAGCACCGTCGGTGACAGCAGGCGATGGCGCTAGAGGCTCGACTCTTCCGGCTGTGGTCGTCGGAAGGAGAGCTAGAGCCACGAGCGCGAACAAGTCCAAGTCCAATTCGGGGACGACGGCGACATCATCACCGTCATCATCGTCAACGCCGTCGTCGCGTGGCCGAGGAGAAGAACTCAGGCATGAAAGCAATAGCAGCAGCAGCGGCGGTACCCGCAGCCGCAGCGGCGGGGATGGAGGGGCGATAGAAGGAGCACGAGAAGGGGGAGGAGGAGGAGGAGGAGGAGGAGGGGGGGGGGACAGACACGACGACGTCGAGATGATGATGGCGGCTGAAAACAACGACGACCGCGACGACAAAGAGTGCGGCAACCGTCGCAGGACGCAAGAGAGGCAAGAGAGGAGGGAAAAGAAGAGCGACCACAACAACAAGCGCGGCACCACGCACAACTCCGAAGCCGGAAACGACAGTAGCCGCTCCAAGTCGGTGTCTTCGTTGTCCGTGCCGTCCTCCCCCTGCCTTCGACCGGGAGAGAGTGCCGCCTGCGTTGACGCCGAAAAGGAAAAGGACGTAAAAGAAGCAAAGGAGACGGAGACGACGACGGCGGGGGCGGCGGCGCCGTCCGGGCGGAAGTCCCGAGAGGGGAAGCAGCGGCGACGGCGGCACGGCAGGTCGGCTGGTCCCGCTGTGAACGCTAACGCTGCCGCTACTTTTGCCGACAATGCTGCCACGACGGCTGTCGAAGCCGCCGCCGCCGCGGCCACCGCCCCTGCTGCTTCCGCTACACCTGAGAGAGGATGGGAGGCGGTCGCAGCCTCAGCGGCTAGAAGCGTGCCGGTTTCAGGTACGATAATCCACCCCGGCAAACGGTCGTAATCAGCGGCCCCCGTTGGCCTCGCAGCATGACCGTGTCATCCTAGCTTGACTGTGGTACCCCAAGAGCTCGGCTAGCGCCCATTATGATGCCCTCCCTGACCTCCGTCCCGACCACCCAGAAACACAGTCAACGGCAGAAGAAAAATGATGAACCTCCCTCGACTTCCCCTCCATATTTCCTGACCACGGCGCGTACATTCTCTTAAATCTCTCCCGCAGGGGAGAACCTTGTAGCCATGGAGGCACTCTCGGACCGCTTGTCGATCTTGGGATACGACAAGAACCTGCGAACGAGAAACATGCCTCCGCTCTCCAGGTATGCCGTCTCGTTCGGGACGCCCCTCTCCCGTTTTTTCAAGAGGGGACGAGGAGGTCGATCTTTTGAGCAATGGTGGCGATGTTTGATTTCTTGATCGTCTTGTTGTTTTAAGGGTGTGTGTGGTTTGGCCCCACCTGGTCTCTGCACCAGTCTGCACATTTCGGTATATGCTTGACGCACCAGCGGGATGTTTGCCGCATTCCTTCTCCCCGCACGTCGTGACTCTCAACGTGTGCCTCTTGCCTCCTTCCCCTCATGAATTCTAAACTTGTCGTCGTTGTTTTCGACGGGCGACGAATGCAACCGGCCCATTCGCCTACCTTACTGCCTACTTCCTCTGGCCAAGGCTCCACTTCGCGGTTCCTGGCGCCGATAGTGGCGGCGGCTGTGACGATGGCGGCGAGCGGGGTAGCGACCGGCCGCTGTTCCCTTCCTGCCAGGAGCATTTCCTCGACTTTGTTGCCCTGTCCAAGTGGTTACTCGAGCAGCTAGGTGGTGGCGGTGGCGGTTACGCTGGGTTCGAATCTGCTGCTACGGACGCGCCCGTCGCCGTCTGCGCGGACATCCTCCAAGCGTGTCAGGTTTGTCCGTTGGGCTCCCTCGGTTGGTTGATCAGTACGGCGGGTCGTTCGTGATTTGAACAGGAAATCTTAAATGTTTTAGATGCACGCTCGCTTGCTCACCTACACCAGGACGAGCGGATGAACTATCCAATGTTTCTTCCTGTTTCTGAGGGGAGAGAGAGATGAGGCGGAGTACATGCACGACGTTGACAACTGAAGGGCTGAATAAATCTAGAGAAATATCCTTCCTAAATCATGTTCTCATAATGCTGTCGTGTTACCGCTGCCCTTCCTCCCTCCATCATCGCCACCTGTCACGCTGCTACACACAAAACAAACACCAAACTCGATAGAGGTTGGGCTTTGAACCATCGCAGCCTGACGAAGAAGTAGGAGAAGCGGTAGGAACGGGATCACCATCTCCATCAGCAGCTTCACCAGCAGCAGCAACAGTGTCTCCGACAAACCTTGCGGTTGGCTCCGGGACAGCGGTGCTAGAGCTTCTGGGCTGGCTCTCACACGCCGTGCTGATCAAGGTGAACACGACGCTGTCGCGGGGACTCGGGAACCGAGAGGACGAGGGGAAGTGGGGGCAGGAGGCGAAACGACTGACCGACTACAGCGACGAACGAGGAACGCAGGACGAGGAGGACGGCGTTGTCGTCCGGCGCCCGGGCGAGGGCCGGGTCAGGGCCACCAAAGGAAAGTTGGGAGAGACGACCATAGCCAGCCGGGCGACGGGAGGTGACAGAGCCGAGGCCGACAGCATCGGCAGGCACGGGAGGAGCGACTCCGCTTCCTCGAATAACAGCACCGCCGCCGGTCGTAGACGCGACCGCGTGATCCATCTAAGCAAGAAGGCGAGAGCTACCGAAGGTAAGGGCGATGAGAGAACCATCGAGAAGGCGTCCGTGGCGGCGCCTGCTGCCGGTGCCCGCGGGAACAACAACAGCGGCAGCGGTGCTGGCGACAACGGCTGGCGGCGCTTCACCCTGCTACCGGAGCTGGCGTCGATGATGGCAACGACGGCAGTGGTTTCTTCCTCGGGCGGGTACACGTCCTGCTGGTGTTCCTGTTCCTGTTCTTCATCTCGCTGCTCGTGCTATACATCGCAGTTCGGCTCGTCCACGGATGATGGACACGTTGGCGGCGGCGGCGGCGGCAGCGGTGACTCGGAGGACGGCGAGGTGAGCAATCACAACCACCGGAAACTGCTCGCCACTTTTGCCTTATGTAACGGGCACACTTCTGGTTGGGATACGCGTGTGAAGTGAATGCGGAGAGCAACCTTTCTCGCAAGTAGGAAACCGACGGTGATGATGATGACGCACGTTCCACGTTCCGATCGTTGACTGCTGACGTGTAAATATGCCCCTCTTCTTTCGTTCCGCCCTGCTCGAACAATCGCTGCACAGGCGGTCTCGTGTCCGTGGGGAAAGGGCTCATCTACCGACGGCCTCGCCTTCATGTGAGTGTGACAGCAATGGGATTGCGCGCTCGAACTTGTGCTGCGTGATTTATTTTTTTGTCGATACGCGTTTATTCGAGCGTGATTGTCGTACCTTGATGTTTGTGTTCCCTTTGGTTCGTCGGTGTGTCCCGTGTCGCGATATTCCAGGGGAAGCATGATCGAGCCTACCGTGGACCCGGCCGAGTGGCGCGCAGAACAAGAGAGGGTGGCGCCCAGGCTAGCAAGGGCGGCACCACCAGCGGTAGGTATTCGCACAACAGGGACTAGAGCATGCTGTGGTGTAGTTTAGGCCCCCCACAACCCCGTTGATGGTTCTGCTCTTCATCAAGTGTGTTTGTCCGAAAGTGTGTTCAAAGTTCGGTAGCCCTATTTAGGTGAAGCAGATACCGGGACCGCCCGCTCGACTTGATGCGTCTCCGAGCAGTTTGTGCTAGGCACTCGTCGGCCGACTACATACACGCCTTCAGATTAGAAACTTTCAGTTGAATCTTTCATCGGATGGGCATGAGTGGCTGCTCGGCATGCACAGATAGGGCTCTTCCTCTCACTACTCGAATCCAACCCTGTCTCTACGCCCCTCCACACACCTTGTTCTGGGCCTCTTTCCTCTCTGTCTCTCTCTCATTTTTCTCCCCACGCGCTCTTGTCAATTGCCTGATGCCTGTTTTGCTGAATGCACAGGGGTCGCTAGAGGTCGGGACATATTCCTGGGCGTCTCGTGTTGAGGTTTTCAGTAAGGCCGCTGCGGTAATCTCGAGTGCCACTGCCGGTGGTGATTCTCCTCCACAAGCAGTAGCAGCAACACCACGCTCGACAACGCCAGGCGGCCAAGGCAACGGCTACGGCGATGGCTACAGCAGCATCGGAGGCAAACGTGAGAGCAGGGGCCAAACTTCCCGTGCCATGACTACTGCCTTCGCGCCCGATATCAACGCATCGAAAGACCGCAAGGACTGCTTAGAGTCGATGCTGGTGCGACATAGAGGCGAGGTGTTGCAGCAGCTCATGGCAATGACCGCCGGAGAGCAAAGAGTCAACAACTTGCACGGGGGTGGCAGCACCGGTGGCGGTGGCGGCAGCGGCAATCTGCCGTGCTTCCAGGAAGAGGCTCTCCTGCTGAGGGACCAAGAACGCGCTCTCCTCGAGGAGCTGGAAGAGAGGAAGGCCAGGGTTGCGGCGCTGACCATAGAGCTGCGTGATGCCGAAGCCGCCGTCGATGAGGTATGGCAATGGCTGCTTGCACGTGCAGTACGGAGGGGAAGTTAGAAGAAGAGAGTTCAACCACGGACCCCTTTTTTCTCCAACGCGTTAAAGTATTTGCTTCCAAGGGCAGGGGGCTGGTGACGTCGTTGTGACCACCATATCTAAGACAATGGACGGTTACAACCCCTCACACGCACCCCTCGCCCCGTTCTGCCCCTTTCCCGTGTCACCGTTTGACTGCTGCGCCTCGAACCATTTTTCATCGCATTACCAGACAGAGGTGGAGGTCAGGGAGGCAGCCGCCGATTGCTCCGACCCCACCAAACTGTTCAAGACCAAGTCGGCCATTCGGCAGCTCAAGGCTGACGTCAAGGCCATGGATGTGCTGATCGGGGCCAAGTCTGCGACCTTTTTGGGCAAGCAGCAGGGGGTGCAGCGGGCGGGTAAGAACCAAAGAGATTTTCTGTTGTTGCCCGCCACCCCCCCTCGCCCCTTCGCTTCGCGTGTTGCGTGTGTTATGTGTTCTTCACTACTTGCGTAGTTCTGTGCGTCGTCGCCCTCTCCGTGCCTGTACCTGTATTTTGGTCTCGCTCTGCCCCCCTGGCCTTGTTGTCACGCTCATAGCGTCGGCCAACCATCCTCAGAACGCCGAACCCCCCCCGTCACCGGACACGAATCGTACACCCCTTATCGACCTCCAGCGCGAGAAGCAGAGCATTCTGCACCGGTTGGCAGCCGATGGGGCGGTCTAAACTCGCGGGCTGGCGGAGGTGAAGGCGGCGGCGGAGGCGGAGGCGCAAGAACAACCTTGTCGACTCCATCCCCGTCCGTATCGCCTGCGTTAGTCGCTGGCAGTTCTTCCACCGAAGCCACAACCAACACGGCTAGCACCCCCTCGAGTGGCAGTAGCCGTGGCGGTAGCGGTGGCGTTGGCGTTGGCGGGGTAGTCAGACTCTTGGGAAAACCAAAGGCACCCGAAGTCGGCGACGGGGCAGGGGGTCCGAGGCGGGGCGGTGTTTTGATCCAAGCGGCGATGAGGCTGTTGGCGACAGGGCAAGGCAATGCGACGGCAACGGCAACTCAAGGGCGGGCAGAGGCGGAGGCTGAGGTCCAAGCGCAAGCATGGGCGGAAGCAGGGGCAGGTGGAAACAATCAAGATCACCAGATGCTTGCCGGGAACAACTGTATCCACGGGGACGACTGGCTCGACGAAAAGGAACGAGAATAAGACGACGAGAGCGCGTGAAGAGAGCGGCGGCATCAGCATCATCAGCAGCAGCGCCGCGAGCGGGCAGAGCACGGTGGCTTGGTGTCAAGCGGTTGCGATGAGTACCGAGCCTTGAGTTCTCCTACCGAGCGGAGGATGATTAGAAGCCGGCCGACGGCAGAGAAGGGATTGGCGACGGTTTCGCCGACTCGCCTTGATACAGCGGGGGGTAGAGAGGGAATTGTCGTGGTTCGACTGCGTGGTGATGGGAAATGGAGACTTTGTGCCCGCCCGGACAGAGAGAGAGAGAGAGAGAGAGAGAGAGAGAGAGAGAGAGAGAGAGAGAGAGAGAAGGGGGGGGGGTGTGACGAACGGCGAGATGGGAGCGGGGAAAGAATGGGGGCTTTTGCGGGGGGGGTGCACCATAGACGATCTACACCCGGTGGGGATCGCGCCTGTGCGAATGCCTGAAATCAGGCACGGAGGCACTTGATTGATTAATGCCTTGGTATCGCAGCTTGCCTCGGGCAACCGTGCTGGTCCTCTGAGAGATTTTCGTTTTTTTTCTACGGTGGTGTAGAGAGCAGTGAAGATACAAAGATTTTGCACAAAAGTAGTGTGATAAATCTTGTTTCATCCTTAGGTCGACGGTCAGGGCAAGAGAAAAACGTGAAGTATATTTTAAATGAACAGCGCCTAGCACTCAGTCTGATGTAGAGGGAACAGGCGAGGACATGCTTTTCTGTGCTGCGTGCAAAACTACGCGAGTTGGGTTGTTACGAAATTGGAGAACAACAGCTGTGACAACCCGCATGCCTTGGACAGAGGGAACGCGTGTTTTCCATGTCTTCGCACGTGTCCAGAATGCAAGACTGTTCGGGAAGGAGAGAGATAGAGAGATCGCAACGGTTTTAATGTGAAGACAACAACAACAACAACAACAGCAATCCAACCTTTCTTCGCCAACTTGGAGGTCACCATGACGCTAGGGTTCGAATCTCCTTGTGGGCACATTTTTCTTCTTACTTGAACGTTTTCCCATGGACATTAAAGTGTGTCAGTCCTGAGAGCACCTGTTGGAGTCGATCCTACCAAGAATCTGTGACGCTTCTTTTGAATTTCCGTAATTTCGAAGAGATGGCACCGGTCGGGGAGATGGCACCGGGGATCGCACCGGGTGCGATCTCTCGGACCCCCAAATCAAGATTGATCTCTTTTTTTTTCAGCTGCCGGAAATAGGCACGTGTACGTATCCTTTACGTGTACGGACGGTGTCAGAGCGCCACTCCTATTGTACGCAATATATGCATATAAATACATTTGTCTACACTTCAAATCAGCGCTCACTGCCGTTTACTCCAACCCGTGGTCACACAGAAGAACCCCGCTCTCTACCCTCTCCTCCTGCGGTACTTTGCCTTCGATTTTTTTTTAATGCGACAAGAGTTCAGCACTCTCTTTCCGCTGTGTACACACGAACTAGCGCTATCCACTAGGCGAGGAGCGGAAGCGACAGAAAAACTCACTTTGAAAGAAAAGCTCGCTTACGCCGGGATTCGAACCCCCGACCTGGCCTCTTGAAGGTTTCGAGGATACCAATTAGACCACCGGGGCCGACCGTATGCATGGTCGCGGTCCACACGGGTTACCACAGTTGTTTTCATTTATTATGTGTTGGTATGGAAGTTGCCAACACTCAACCAAATAACATATACAAGCCGAACTACCCCACCTTACACAACGAAACTTGTTCTGGTACCCGTAGAGGAAGACCGAAACGAAAACGGGAGACAACCCCAGGTGGAAACGACATCGTTTGTTGTCGTCACGATATATATATAATTGCCATCTCCCCGCCATTTTTGCGGCTCAGATAATATGCGTGTGTGTGCAGAAGACCATGTGTGTGCTTTTATTGTTGGCATCGACCGCTAACCATGGCCATCCATGCCATGTGTGTGTGTGCGTGGGTATGCCTCACCACACATCGTCTGCTTGTAGACACCGGTACACTGGTACCAATCCTATGGTACCGGTCGGGGAGATGGAGATGACATACACCACCTGCGTGTACTTTATCGGGGATCGCACCGGTCGTAGAGATGGCACCGGGGTGCCTTGAAAAAGATACACGAAATTATTGAATTGCATTTATTTCCTCACCAGGGTCGGAGAGATGGCACCGGGGTGAGATAAGAAAACCGAGGGAAAAAACATGTTCAAAAAATGCTACCGGTGCCATCTCCCCCCCTTTTACGGTACCCGTCCTGGCCCCAACGGCTGCCCAGTTGAGGGTAACATGTGTGGGTGGAGACTGTTAAGGACCCGACTCCTAGGGTATCCGTCGAGGGACTTTTACCATAGTCGGTAATCCTTCGCACATGTGAGTTCTTCATCACCGGTCTTCCAGATTGCACAGCGCGTGGGAATCCCATTACACTTGGCGTCGCAGAAGAATGCGAAGCGTCAACCCAGACGGCAAACCCGTCGACAAGAGAAGGGGGTATTCTCATAGGTGTGCAAGGGAAGGGAGGGTGTACTCACTGTCGTGCATGCCGTAGTCGTTAGACCATTGACCTCGCATCCCTACAAAGCCGGGACGGAGCACGCCGGGTTCTCCCCGGACCAGGCCTCACATCACCAGGCGCGAAGCGCCGTGAGGTATTCGGCGAGTCGCATGAAGGGTGCGCTGCATCCTGCTAAGGGTAAAATGAAGACACGAGAGCGAGACGAAACGAAAACGACGAGAGTATTGAGCGAATACCTAAAAACGTGCCAATACTTTCTTAAGTATTCAAAGGAAGAGTTGGTGGAGAACGACAGCAGTGACGGAAAGAAAGACAGTTTCAGTGTTAATTCGCCTAAAAGGAACGAGCCAAGAACTTGTTGGTGTTGCTGTTGCCGTTGTTGACGACACGCCCAAAATTAGTCACCGTATACTTTTTGCCAGAAACCCTCTCAACTCGAGTTGTTTGAGACGACTGGCATCCAAGGACGCCCCATGATGTCTCTGCAAACCTCTCTCTCGACAGGCAAAGTCTATCTAACGACGCCCTCTACTCAAGATCATGAATGGTCATGCTTGCTTGCCCTTAGGTGATGCCGAGCTTTGGAAAGCCACCCCCACTCAGAGAGAGAGAGAGAGAGAGAGAACGCCGTTTGTTGATCGCGTCCTGGGGTGCAATATCTGAAGATGGCCATCTCCACAGCAATGTTGTTAGTTGTAAACTCGACGGCGACCCGAGGACAGACCGAAATCAAAGAAGAAAAAACAATAGGAAGAAACAAACAGCGAAAACAATAATCCCACACCACAAATCGAAACTCAATATCAACCCGCTGACGCTGGAATCAATCGCCCTCATGAGGGCGGCGGCGGGAGCCCTCAACAGGCCAGTGCGTAAGGCGTTGGAGCATGAAGTCCATTTCGAGGAGCGCATCATTTGGAGATACTTCTCCCAGGTGAATAGGATGTACCATAGATGCGTATCAGCTAGGGGCGAACGTCTGGTGCCTGTAGTACTTTTGGTGGTGTTTTCTTGTGGGTACGGGTGGTCGGTGCGCCGGGAAATTTTCAAGGGACAGAAGGGATGGCTTTCATGCGCATTTAAGAGTTCATAGTGTGGCTTTTGCGACCGTCCTTGCTGGCTAGTTTCCCCACATTGTTCGCCTATAGCTGCTTCGGTGTCATCCAAAGCCGGTCTCTTGCTTGGTGTCAACAAGCACAAGCCCTTTCGCCCTTAAAAAAAATGACGTTGCCCGTAAGCACGGTATGTATTGTGAGCCAACCACGCGCAAGTAAGTCCCATGTGTCCCCTCCCCGAGCATCCTCTGATGGTGTCCCCTATCCCATCTCACATTCTCTCCCGCCTATTTTCTGTCCGTTTGCCCTCTGCTCTGCTCGTTGGCTTGATCTCTGTTCACGCCCCCCCCCACCTCCCACCCCCCGCTTATTTCCGCAACACTCCTGCTTCTACCTTTTGCCTGCTGCCGATGTTGTCCCGGTTCCGATTCCACGTTGTTTGCACTTGATGTTGCACCTTTTTCAATATATATCGTGCCATCAGCTACATGCACAAGATGCGGATAATGCACCGTGACATCAAGCCCGCCAACATTTTCCTCACCCTTAAGGGACAGGTGTGTGCATGAAATAAAGGAAAAGGAAAAGCTAAGAAAACGGTTTCTCACTATGGACAACAACAACAACAACCAACCGCAAATTGCAACCGCACGAGCGCCGCAGAAGTAGCAACAACAAACCACATTGTTGTTTTACCTCTCTAACGTTTTTCTCCGTCCTCGCCGGAACGCGGTACAAGGAAGTGTGACTACAACCGTGCAAAAACCGCACACACCAAAGGGCAGGCTTCTTTTCGACGTTTCGGGGAATCTGGAGAACCATATTCTTGTTCTGGAGCAGTACAAAGTTGTTGGTTCTAAGCCCCAGTCAACATTGTTGTACGAAGAACCGATTATCAATAATTTGTCGTCTTTCAGGTCGCCAGCTGTCTCTTTCAAAACGCAACGCGCCCCACAGTCCGAAGAAAGCAAAACCGAAAGTTGGCCTGACCTGACCCGAACTATTCAGGCCAAGCGAGGCGAAACCGTTGCTCTCCGTCGTTGCTTAGTAGGTTACGGCAGCAGCTACAACAAACGCTAGCCCCCCTCTATCTCTCTCTCTTCAACGCAAACCGAACAGAGAATTTTCGGCTGCCATCGGCGTCCATTCCAGGCAATTGTAAAGTGGATTATTGGTTCACCTACACGCAAAACTCACTCGCCTACAATGTGAAGCTGGATGAACATCCTGTCTTTCTTGATTTGTCTGGTATAGTCTCACCTTCTAGGTTGCTCTTGCACAGAGAATTTGGTGTATCGGGAGTGGAACGAACTCTCTCTACTTGGAATTCCAAGTGTATCTCGAACCAGCTTCAAACAGACTGCGAATGGTGCCCTTTGAGGATGCAGGTCAAGGTGGGAGACCTAGGGCTAGGCAGGGTCATGAGTACGGAGGACGACCTGGCGTACTCCAAAGTCGGCACCCCGCTCGACATGTCTATCGAGGTGCTGGGTGGCGGCGGTTACAGCTGGAAGAGCGACGTGTGGTCCCTGGGCTGCGTCCTGTACGAGCTCGCCATGCTCCGGAGCCCCTTCAAGAGCAAGAACCTCAACCGCAACAGCCTTTACAAAAAGATCAGCATAGTAAGAAATTGTCTTACCTCATGTCCTTTTCTTCTTTCTGTCTTCTTCCTTTGTCGTACCAATGAGATTTACACACCAAAACACGACGGACAGCGGCGGTCTACGCATACCTTCAAACGTAGTGAACAAGTTCTTCCACACGAAAACGATCAACCAGTATTTTTCCGCCGAATGATGACGAGGAAAAACAATTTGGACGAATCCATGGCAGGCACAGGCGTATGTCGTGGTTGCAGGTTTGTTTTTGTTTTGCGTTTTTCTATGGCTTGCGTCGATCATGTGCCACAGCAGGAGTCAGGTTGATGCTCCCCGCCGCTCGCGCGGCGAGAGTAGGGGGTGGGGCAGCATGCCTCAACGTGTGGCACATTCAGCTGGAGGAGCGTTTTGTTGGCCTTGCGCATGCCACCATTGTTCGTCCCTGTGTTTGCTGAACAATGACTCGACCTGTCATAGCACCTTCATCACCAACACGGCTTTTCCGCTCTTCATCCCACGGCAGCCATCGCTCGTGAGGCATTGTAAACCGGATTACTGTCGGATCTCTCAAGCCTGTATGTTGTTGTCACCCTGCCTCGCAACCATGTCCCGTCGAGTGTTGTCGTCGTACGTATGGAAGTCCGTTGGGGGCCAAATATACTAGGTTTGACACCGCAGAGGTGGTGCTGTGACGTCATTTTGGGCCATATCTCCGCAACCACCGGTACCTATGAGACGAACGACGACTTGCGCACCAGATGAGAGCCGTAGGAACACAGAAAATGTGGTTCTGAAGCTTTTGTGCGGTGTCGTAAATACTACTTACGACACCGGTGTCATTAACGTAATGTTTTTAGTGCGCTGTTGTCAATTGCCCTTCCGAACATTTTCGTCGAGTGTCGTCGGTATAGGAGTATGACATATGTATGGAAGTCCGCTGGGGGTCAAAACCGATGGGCTGTGTCCTTGCTTTCCCACTCCTGTAGTCCTCGCAACAAATCTCGCTTGTTGTTTCCAACGAAAACTCAACAACGATGTATCGAGCAAGCCGAAACCAACCGAAAACCAAAACCCACCCATGTGCGATTTGATGGGATGTAATGGGCCCGTGCTCATCCTGGCAGGGAGACTACCCGCCCATGTTACCCTACTACTCAGAGGAGCTGAGAGCGCTGGCGACAGGCATGATCAGCACCAACCCGGGCGAGAGGCCCAGCGTGGAAGAAGTGAGTTCCTAAAGCAGGGTGCACACGACCGACTCCATAGCAATTCAACAACCAACCCTGTTTGTCGCCTTGAACATGCCATGACGCGGCTGTCTGCGTGGTGTATCTCGAGGATAAATATCCAGCCCGTCCATGCCGGCAGTTACTGAAAGAAGAGAACTTGTGCGCACAAGCCAAAGTACTGCATTACAGGTGATGCAAATGAATGGGTGGGGCTGCGATTCCCTGTTCACGGCAGTTTTTACCTGGTTGGTTTTTCCGGCCGAAGTGTTTCTGGCTTCGAAGCGATGCGCATTCCACCCCCACACAAGGGGATGTGCGTGCGTGCTGTTATGCACCACCATCGCCTCAGGGCCAATAACTTGTTGGCAGTCTCTCGTCTCCACCACTTGTGTGTTTCGGTCGGGCAACGCGATCGATCGGGACCGCCATCCCCGTCGTTGGCTGGGTCACACAGACGAGAACATTTTCGAAGGACTCTTGGCCCCGCTTGCGTGTGCGTTTGGGTGTTTGGGCATTGTACACTGTCAGAGATAGGCGTTGCTTGTGTTTCAGCAAGTCCCAGGGCACTGTTGTGGAAACGTGAACCAATAGGGATCACCGACCAAACCACTGTAGGCGCGTACACAGAACAGTTTGTTTGGGATATATTTCGTGGTGCCGGATACAATAATAACAGACTTGGTAAATGAAAACGTTTCGACTCGTTCCCCACCTTGCTTGATGTCTGTTTTTTGGGTGTCAAAGGCCCACTCAATCGCCCTTGCCATGAAGCGAAAGATGGACGCCATGGGGAACCCTGCCACCCCTCCCCCAGAGTTGAGAACACTTCGATCTGTCTTCTTCTTTTGGTTTCCGGCAACACTCTCAAGAATAATCCCATCAACTGACGTCTACCGCCGCTGATACGCCCAAAATCGCCGTTCCGCCATGTGTCGTCGATAATACTGTGGAACGGTTCACGGACAGTTTTCTGAAAACGTGCAGATCTTTACAGCTCTTCAGGACCAATATTCCGAGGGGAGCGAGGCATTGCGGTTGGCTTTCTGCTGCTTCAATTGCTATGAGTCGTGCTTGATTATTTGCGCAACAATAGCCACAGCAGCGCGTGCCAAGAAGGCCTTCGAAAATGAGCAAGTCGTCAAGTCAAACGCCAGCCATCCGCTTCACACACAACGCATCCCACGCCTTACTCTTCCTCTTTTTCTTTGGCTGCCCCGCTCTGTCTCTCCCCTCCTCTGCCGCTCCCTGACCGCACGCCTCCAGACCGCTCGCCATCTAAAGCTGAAGAACACGACGCTCAGACCACAAAAGCAGCAGCAACAGCTACAGCTACAGTAACACCCGCAGCGGACAACCTTCCCCCGTCGCGAGGAGAGGCGACGAGCGTGGATGAGTGTCGAGGCGGTGCGGACGCAACAACAAAAACAACAACAAAAACAACAGCTACAGCTACAGCTACAGCTACAGCAACAACCGCAGCGGACAAGCCGGCCCCGTCGCGACGAGCGGCGACGAGCGGGGATGAGAGTCGAGGTGACGCAGACCCCCGCAGCAACGGGCAAGCGGTCGTCGTCCTCGACTCGGGCACCTCTGCTGATCTGGCTGAGGGAGCGATGGCGGTTCCTCCGTGTATTGACCACATTGGCGCGGTCGTTGCCGCCGCCTCTGCCACGGTCCGGACCAGGACAAGCTCTCACGACCTCAATCCCAAACGGGACGGCGAAGCGGCGACCGCGTGGACCCTCTCCCACAGACTCGGTGGTTACGCTAGCAACGGCGATGGCAACCACCATAACCATCATTAGCAACAGCACCACCACCGTCATCAGAATAATCGCCACCACTGCTATCACCATGACAAGATGGACAGCAACAGCAACGGCAGCCACTCCCGGCGGGGAAGAACAGAAAGAGTGGAGAGTAACCATCAAAAGCATCATCACGAGCAGTTGAAGGTGCTGCTGCAGCAGCAGCAGCAGCCACAACAGCACCATGTCATCGTTGGCAAGCCCCAGCCGGCAGGAAACTCGCCGGATCGTCGTGATAGCAACGGAATCAAAGACGGCAAGAGAACTGTGGCAGAAACGGCAGTGCCGGTATACGCAAAGCGAGATAAGGGAGGCACCGCCGCCGCTACCACCATCGAGAAGAAGCAACCGAAAAGGACCAACAGCCCTGCCACTTCCGCGAGCACCGCTTCTGCCGCTCTGAAGTGTACGACTTCTGCGATGCATGCCAGGGCCGACGTGACGAAGAATCGCCACGAACACAGCCCCGAGCAGCACCCGAAAGTTCTCGCCGCTCCTTGGTTCGAGATTTCCCAAACAGCCACGCCACAGCCGCTCCCGGCAGGGACCGTGGTGACAGCAAGCGGCATTGTGCTACCAAGGATAAGGGCCGGTAGCTTTGAGGCGAAAGCGAAGGCAGCACTAGCGGCAGCGGCGGCGATGGCGGGAGCGCGGGACGGCGAGGGTAGGAGGCGAACTGGGTCGCGGTGGTCATCGTCACCACCGCCGGAGCAGAAACTGGTGCGTCTGGGACCAACCGTCGTGAGGTTCAACGATGTCATACCCTCCAAGGTTAACGGGGCTGATCCGAGGTGGGGTGAGAGTCAGGCTGTTGATATTAGAGCGAAAAGCGAGCCAGCTGCACAAGCGCCGGCTTGGGAAGGCCAACTCGCTCAAAGAAGCAAGGCCAGCGGCCTCCCCGTATTACAACTCGCGAGGCCGAAGGCTCAAACTGCCGCACCCCAGTAGAACTTTCGGTGGCAGCAGACGCTGTTGCTAGACATTCGAGTCTTCCCACTGTGGTCGTTGCAAGGAGAGCAAGCACCACGAGCGTGAATAACTCCAAGTCCAATTCGGGGACGACGGCGACGTGGTCACCGTCATCATCGTCAACACTGTCGGCGCGTGACCGAGGAGAAGAACAGAGATATGAACGAAAAAGCAACACCAGCGGGGAAGGAGGAGGAGGAGGAGGAGGAGGAGGAGGAGGAGGAGGAGGAGGAGGAGGAGGAGCGGGAAGCAGGCACGACGACATCGAGATGATGATGGCGGCTGAAAGCAAGGGCGACCGCGACGATAAGGAGTGCGGCAACCGTAGCAGGACGCAAGAGAGACAAGAGAGGAGGAACAAGACGAGCAACCAGGACAGCAAGCGCTGCAGCACCCACGACCAGCCCGAAGCCGAGCCCAACAGCGACAGCTCCAACTCGGCGTCTTCGTTCTCCGTGCCTTCCTCACCCCCCCTTCCACCGGCAGAGACTGCGGCCTGTGTTAGCGTCGAGAGGAAAGTAGACGTTGGAACAGAATCAAGGGAAACGGAGACGGCGGCGCTGTCCGGGTGAAAGGCCCGAGGGCAGAAACAGTGGCAATGGCGGCGCGGCAGTTCAGCAGCTGATTCCGCTATTGCGAATGCTACGGGTGCCGCTACTGCCGCAGTTAGTTGCCGTCGACGCCGATGCCATTACTGGTGCCGAAGCCTCAATCACCGCCTCTGCTGCTGCTACCGCTACACCTGCGAGAGGGGGGCAGGCGGTCGCAGCCTCAGCGGCTAGAATGGTGACGGTTTCCGGTAAGAATCAACCCCGGCGAACTGTACTTTGTTGAGACACCCGTTGACCTCGCAGGATGACCGTGGTTGTGGTTGTATCATCCTCGCTTGACTGTGACACCCCGAAGAGCTCCGCTACCGTCCCAATAAACTATGTCCTCGCTAATGCCTCTCCCGACCCGGAAACAAACCCAGCAAATGCAGCAGCACTAGCAGCAGCGGCGAAGGGCACGCGGTGAACCTCCCTCGACCTCCATCTTGCCTGGCTGACCCCAGAGCACCCTTCCCCCGTCATTGTCGCAGAAGACAACTTCGTAGCCATGGAGACGCTGTCAGGCCGCCTGTCGATCCTGGGATACGAGAAGGCCCTGCAAAGGAGAACCAAGCCTCCGCTCGCCAGGTACGCCGTTTCTTGCCGCACACGCCTCTTCCGTAGTTTCAAGCGGGGGCGTGAAGGTCGATTCGTTTGAGAAATGGCGTAATCAGTTTCGCGATTTCGTGATCACCGTGTTAGTGTTGCGTGTTTGTCTTTTCGTTCCATTTACTCCAGGGGACAGTCTACAACTTCCGGTAATGTTTGGCGCACCAAACGGGGTCGCGCAGGACGAAAGTAAATCACTGGAGTATATTTTCTTGGTGATAAGTTTGCAGCGGTAGCGCGCCGGGCTGAACCGCTCTGGAGAGCTTACCGCAGGTGCTCGCTGAGAAGCACGACAGCCTGCTCAATGCGAAAGGTCGAGCACGACTGAGTGCTGTTACGCAACTCGTTGACCCTCTCAACGAGGAGATAGAAGATGTTGTTGCTACTGGCTGACCCCAGGGTCGGGTTCGGATAGTGAAGACGAGAGTGAGTGAGAGAGAAGCGCGCGGACTAGTTCTCGCACACTAGGATGGGGTCCTATGAAAACTATTCAGACCGATAGCTGACAGTCCAGTACAGGGAAAACGTGGCATACAACATGTGGTCTCTGCTCTACATGAACTGCTGTGTGCTAGCTACTGTGGCCAAATGTTGTACCAATCCGCAATATACAGACCGCCCGCACTCATGCAATACTACTGTCATAACTTGGGGTACTGTGCCGTAGTCTAGCCAACAGCTCAGAACGGATAGAACTAGGCTATTGCTGTCTACTTGGGCACGTATACATCCCTGGCATAGATATTTCTCTATGTAGACCGAGCGAGCGCGCCTTCAATTCTCAATGTGTCTCCTTTTTCTCGAGTTATACACCTATTCTCGAGGAACTTGGTGTCAACACGCGCCTCTGCTAGTCATTTATCTCTACATAGGCAGGCTACGTGATGAAGAGCCTGGGTGCTTTGTCGAGTACTCTTTAGAACCTCACCTTACGCGGCTCTTTGCCGAGCTCCTTCTCCGCGTATTCATGACACTCAACGTGTCCCTCTTCCCGCATTCCCCCGATACTCCCTGGGATTCTCGCCGTTGTTGTCGATGGGCGAATGTCGCCGGCCCACCAAGGCTCCACTTCGCGGTTCCCGGTGCTGATGGCGTCGGCGGCAGCGACGGCGATGTTGACGGCGAAGGAGACGGCGACCGAGCGAGCGACTGGCCGATGCGGTTCCCTTCCCGCAAGGACCAATTCCTCGACTTTGTTGCCCTGTCGAAATGGTTGCTCGAGCAGCTCAGTGGCGGCGGTGGCTTTACGCTTGCTGCTACGGGTGCGCCAGTCACCGAGTGCGCCGGCATCCTCCAAGCCTGTCAGGTTTGTCCATTCATGGGTCGGTTGGTTGGTCAGTGTGGCGGCATGGCTCGGTTGCGATTCGAACACGTAACGTTTACTGTTTCGATGTACGCTCGCGAAAGGCGACAGAACCAGTATTTACTTATGTTTCGAAGAGGAGGGAGAGATGAGGTGGTAACACACTATGAGGCCGACAACTGAAGGGTTGACTTATTCTAGAGTACGGTCATTCCTGTTTCGCGACTCTCAAGAGAACTGTCGTGGTACCGCTGTCCTTCTCCCGCCCCCCCCTCCTCTGTCACCGCCCGCTGTCGTGCTGCCACAAACTCGGTAGAGATTGGGCTTTGGACCGTCGCAACCTAGAGGAGGAGTAGGTGGAGCGGTAGGAACGGAACCACGATTTCCATCAGCACTAACACCTTCACCAGCAAGAATTTCTCCAACAAATCTTGCGGTCGGCTCCGGGACGGCTGTACTAGAGCTTCTGGGCTGGCTCTCACACGCCGTGCTGAACAAGGTTAAGACGACGCTGTCGCGGGGAGTCGGGGACAGAGAGGACGAGCGGAAGTGGGGGGGGGAGGTACATGAGGCAAAGCGATTGACCGACTACAGCGACGAACGAGGAATACGGGACGAGGAGGGCGGCGTTGTCATTCGGGGGGGCGAGGGCCGGGTCGGGGCCACAAAAAGAAAGCCGGGAGAGACGGCCATTGCCAGTCGAACGAGGGGAGGGAACGGCAGCATCGGCAGGCACGGGAGGAACGACTCCGCTTCCTCGAATAACAACACCGCCGCCGGCCGTAGACGCCACCGCGTGATCCACCAAAGCACGAATGGGAGATATATCGAAGGTAAGGGCAATGAGAGAACCGGCGAGAATGCGTCGGTGGCGGTTCCCGCAGCCGGTGCCCGCGGGAACAACAACGGCGGCTGCGGTGTTGGCGACAACGCCAGGCGGCGTCGCGCCCTGCCACCAGAGCTGGCGTCGATGATGTCGACGACGGCGGCGGTTTCATCCGCGGGTGGGTGCACTTCCTGCTGGTGTTGCAGTTCCTGTTCTACTCGCTGCTCGTGCTGTGCGTCGCAGTTCGGCTCGTCCATGGACGATGGACACGGTAGCGGAGGCGGCGGCTGTGAGATGGAGACGACGAGGTGAGGAATCACAACCACCTGAAGCTGCTCGTCACTTTCATCTTATGTTTCGGGCGCACCTTTGGTGGGGATACGCGTGTGAAGTGGCAACTAAGAGCAACATTTCTCGCAAGTTGGAACTGACGGTGATGATGATGACGCACGTTCCTCGCTCCGACCTTTGACTGATGGTGTATGTCCCCCTCTTTTGTTCGTTCCACCCGGCTCGGACAATCGCTGCACAGGCGGTGTGGGGAAGGGAATCATCTGTGGACGGCCTCGCCTTCATGTGAGAGTGTGACAACGATGGGTTGGCGTGCTGCTGCCTATGCTGTGTGACTACCTGCTCGACTTCCTTGTTGTTTTTTGTCGATACGCGATTATTCGAGCGTGATAACTCGTGCCGTTGATGTTTCATCCTCCAATGGTTCTCCGGTTTGTCTCGTGTCGTGATATCCCAGGGTAAGCATAATCAAGCCTACCGTGGACCCGGCCGCGTGGCGCGCGGAGCAAGAGAGGGTGGCGCCCAGGCTAGCAAGGGCGTCACCACCAGCGGTGAGTATTCGCACAACAGGGACCAGAGGGTGTGCTGCGGTGTAGTTGAGGACCCCTTCAACCCCGTTGATCGGTATTATTGTCAAGTGTGTTGGCCGAAAGTGCGGTCAGAGTTCGCTCGCTCCACCGGAAGCATGTACCGGGGCCGCGCGCTCGACTTGATGTGTCTCATAGCAGTTTGTGCTACTGTAGGCACTCGTCGGCCGACTACACACACGCCTTCAGATTAGCAGTTGCTTCGGCTGATTTGTTTTATCGGATGAGCATGTCTGGCTGTTCGAGTTCGTCATCTTGCACAGGTGGGATACGGCGAAAATAATCAGGAGGAGAGCGACTGCGAGTACGCACCGACCATTTGTTTCAGTACTCGTCTCCAATATCGACCGGCCTGCTCGCCCGCTGCACGCTTGTCTCTATGCCCCACCCCGCTCTCTACCAACATCGTGTCCTCTTTTCTATTTTCTCTCTCCCCATTCTCTCTCCACGCGCTCTGGTCAATTGCTCATGCCTGTTTTCCTGAATACACAGGGTTCGCCAGGATGCGGGACCGATTCCTGGGCGGCATGTGTTGAGGTTTTCAGTAAGGCCGCTGCGGTGATCTCGAGTGCCACTGCCGGTGGCGATTCTCCTCCGCAAGTAGCTGCAGCAGCAGCAGCAGCAGCCTGTTCGAATCCGAGCAGCCACGGTAACAGGTACGGCGATCGCTACAGTAGAAGTGGGGGTAAACGTGAGAGCAGGCGCCAAACTTCTCACGCCGAGGATAATACCAGCGCGTCCGATATCAGCGCATCGGAAGACCGCAAGGACTGCTTAGAGTCGATGCTGGTGCGACACAGAGGCGAGGTATTGCAGCATCTCAAGGCAGTGGCCGCCAGAGAGCGAGGAGTCAACAGCTTGCACGGGGGTGGCAGCACCGGTGGCAGCGGCGGCAGCGGCAACCGGTCGTGCTTCCGGGAAGAGGCTCTCCTGCTGAGGGACCAAGAACGCGCTCTCCTCGATGAGCTGGAAGAGAGGAAGGCCAGAGTTGCGGCGCTGACCATAGAGCTGCGTGATGCCGAAGCCGTCGTCGATGAGGTACGACAATGGTTGCTTGTACTTGCAGTACGGGGGGAAGCTAGGAGAAGAGAGTAAGACCATGCACCCCTTTCTATCTCCAACGCGGAGAAGGGTCTCTGCTTCCAAGAGCTGGGGGCGGGTGACGTCGCTGTGGTCACCATATCTAAGACAACGAACGGTTACAACCCTAACACGCACCCCGCGCCCCGTTCTCCCCCTTCCCCGTGTCATCGTTTGATCACGCCTCGAACAAATGTTTCGCCGCATTACCAGACGGAGGTGGAGGTCAGGGAGGCAGCCACCGATTGCTCCGACCCCACCAAACTGCATAAGACATTCGGCAGCTCAAGGCTGATGTCAAGGCCATAGACGTTATAATCGGGGCCAAGTCTGCGACCCAGTTGGGCAAGCAGCAGGGGGTGCAGCGGGCGGGTAAGGACCAAAGAGACGTTCTGGTGGTGCCTGCCACCCCTTGCCTTCTCCCTTGTTGTATTCTACTCGGAGTATATGTTTGTATTCTGTTCCTCTACTTGTTGAGTTCTCTGCGTCACCCTTTCCGTGGTTGTTTCATTTTTATCGCCCTGTCCCCCCTAGCCTAGTTATCACACTCGTCTGGAATGTCGGCCAACAAACCTCGAACCCGCCCCCGCCCTGCCCGCTACCCCCGTGCCCGCTGCCCCGCTCCCCGGACACGCACTCCCCGTATCGACCCCCAGCGCGAGAAGCAGAACACACTACACCGGTTGGCAGCCGATGGGGCGGCCTAAACTCGCGGTCTAGTCGGGGCGGCGGCGGGGGTAGCGGCGGCGGCGGCGGCGCAAGAACAACTTTCTCGCTTTCGTCCACGTCCATATCGCTTGCATTGGTCGCTGACACGTCGCCCCAACCAACACGGCCAGCAGCGCCATGAATGGTAGCAGCTTGGTCAAACTTGCGGGGAAATGGACGTCATCGGCTGAGTATTCGAGGCCAAAGGGTCGAGGCTGGGGCGGGGCCGTGTCCTGATCCATGGATCGGTGGAGGTATGGTCAACAGGATCGGTTAGACCAACTGCAAAATCAGAAGGGCGGCCAGGGACGGAGGCAGGGGCAGGTGGAAGTCGTCGAGATCAATAGATGCCTTCTGCGCACAACGGTATCGAATCAACGGGGTGACTAATTAGTTCGACGAGAAGCAACGGGAAGAGGCCCAGGACCAAAAGCGACGGCAGCAGCCGCAGCCGCAGCAGCAGCCGCAGCAGCAGCCGCAGCAGCAGCATCAGCAGCAGCCGCAGCGCGGCGAGCGGGCAGAAAGGGTGGCTTAGTGCCAACAAGTTGTGGTGAGCATGGGGCCATGAGTTCTTCTGCCGAACGGAGGATGACGCGCAAACCCGCAGACGGCAGCGAGGGGAGCAACGACGGTTTGGCCGGCTCGCCTTGGAACAGCTGGGGGGGGAAATGGCGAGGTGCGGCTTCGTGGCGATCTCTATACGCATCACCGGGGGGGTGTACTCATAGTCGTGCATGCCGTAGTCGTTAGACCATTGACCTCGCATTCCTACAAAGCCGGGACGGAGCACGCCGGGTTCTCACCGGACCAGGCTCTTACATCACCAAGCGCGAAGCGCCGTGAGGTATTCGGCGAGTCGCATGAAAGGTGCGCTGCATCCTGCTAAGGGTGTTCGGCTTCTTGTGCTTACTTCCTTGCGTACGGATGACAGCTGCGTATGACTTTTAATTTATTTTCTGGTGCTTCCACTTCCAGAGACAGTTGTAAGCACTGTGTAACTGCCTCGAGGATGCTTTACCATTTTAACACAACGTGGTGCGATCATCCCCCTTGCGCGGAGTTAGGCTTCTCAACCCCGCACAACATGATCTACTTGACCACCATTATGGTTACCGCCAAAAAAAAAAAAAAAACGGTAACCTGTGGTTGCCGAGTTCACGAAGTGAATTGGCTTGTTTTACAACGTCGTTGCCAATCGACGAAATCCCAATCCCGATGGCAAACACCGAGGGGGGGGGGATGGGTGGGTGGGAGAGGGAAATAATGGGAGCTTGTGGGGAGGGGTGCAGAACGCACACGATGAGTATTCGGTCAGGGATTGGCACCTGAGCGAACGTCTGAACTTGTGCACGAAAAAACATTTGCGTTTCTGTATTGTCTGTGTCTTCTGGCGACATGCTTGGGTGCGTAGGAAAATGTGGGGTTCTGGGTGTCCGCGGTGGGTTGTTTGCGATCCTAGGGTACAGAGGAGGGTGGTATTGTGTGTTTCCTGCTGCCCGGCAGAGAATAATTGTGCGTGGCGTACGTTGCCGAGTCACGGTCGGTAGTAATATCGTGAACATCATGCGTGTGTGTGTGTGTGCGGAATGTGTGGAGTAACGTAGACTTGTTTTTTTATGTTCTTTTTTGTTGCGCACTCATCACGCTCTGATGTTGTTTTTGTGGCGATGACATTGCTGCCCGGTCCATGTTGTTGTGGATGACTGTGTTTACCTATTTCTCCCTGAAAGTGTCGGCACGCCGTGGTGGCGTTGGCAATTACTAGCTGCAGGACGCCACCAAGAACTGCTCATCGTTGCGTCACAATCCTTGCGGAGTTTATGGATGGATGGGCAAAAAAACTACATCATTGTTGTTGTGACTCGTTGGCGCAAATTAAGCCAAACGCCGATGATCGTGGTTGATCGCTGCGGGAGAATCTTTGTGTTGATTTGTAGGTACGCCGTGCACTCCACGCGGTGTTTCACGATGATGATGGTGGTATTTGCTTTGTTGATTTCCTGCCTTCGTCTCCGCAAGTGAAAAAGTGCCGAGGTGAAAGTGTTGGTGGCGTTGGTGGCATTGATCGACTTTGCCCCCTCTCCCTCTCCCAGGACGAGTCCTCAAGTTACAATTGTTTTGGGCGACGACATGCGCTCAGCCTCCGATGGAGATGTTTATATGTTTGAGGGAACATGAAGATTTTTTTTCTCGAGGGGGGAAGGAGCGAAGAGCTGTCATCTGTGATCGGGAATGAGATTAGAGGGTATGTTTTTGCTGAATGGAGAACTGAATTGGCAGCGGGAGGCTCCACCTACCTCTAGGTGGAAAACTACGGACAGATTTGTTGAAGCCGGATTGTTGTGAAGAGGCGACAACATGTATGTGCATACATACGGGGATCGGATGTGGGTGGGTTGCTGGGGCTGAAGGAAGCCGTCATGACAACAGAACTTGGTGAAGTAGTTTATACGTTTATGCCCACATGCTCATCGCGTTGCATTGGGTACTACTACCGTGTGCGGTTCCACGAACAACACGTTTTTCAGCCTGTGCACACCCTTTGTATTACCTGTACGTCCATCCCATGAATTTACACGTCTTGCGCTGTTTACAAAAGATTTGTGTAGGTATCCACTGCTGCCTACACACGTTTTTTGTTTTGTTCTCCCGTCCAACCCCGGACAAAAGAAGGCGGGGCCAAGAGCATAGGCATCGATAACTCTAGACTCGGGGGGGCCGCAGACGCGTACCCAAACACCGGCAGGGAGCGTCGAGAAACAACAGCGACAACGATGAGCTGGGGAGTGGTTTGGTTCGATAGAACAAGTGAATTGTAGAGAAGAAGCGCGAAAGGAAGCGTTTTTTCCCTCAATTTGGACACACGAAGTCACCACGATTAGCCACCACGAGATCATCACTCGATTGACTGTCGCACAAGAATGAAAGGAGGCGTCCAGGAGCCATCCTCGTCCCCGTTTTGGTGTCCCTCTCCTCTCTTTGACATCGTGCTAGGCTCATCTAACGCGGCGTCTCCAAGAAAGTGATGACCCAAGCTCCAAGAGAAACGAACGTCTTTTTGTCTGTGAATAATGCATCCCCGGGTCCGCCTCCTCCACGGACAAAACCACCATACGCCCGTGCGCATGTACAGGCACGAGCGATACGACAACGCAACAGGGGACGCACAAGGGGCCGCCACAGGAAAGGTGCCGTCGAAACCTGCAACTGGAGCGCGGCTGCGACTAACCCGGCTAAAGCGTTGTCGGATCACCCCCAAGCTGCGGAGCCCGTCCTCCAAACGCCAACAAAAACGAAACGACACGGTCTAGAATATAGTAAGCCCAGTAGAAGCCAACGAAAAAGACAAGCCCAAAGCAACCAACACAAACACCCACACACACCTCCCCGACTCTCTTCATGGCAGCCCCATCCCCAGAGCACATGACCCCGCTGAAAGCCAGCCGCGTGCCTGCTACCTTTCGTTAATACGGTGTGTCGGCCGAGTCTGATAGATGTTTGTTTATCGTTCCACATTCAAGGACAAGTCGCATCTAGCACACGACGAATGTCCGCAGCGCATGAAGCAAACAAGGAAAAACTCCAGCTCGTACTCCGAGCGAAGACTTGGACTTGCGAGTCAGTCTACCTTGCCACGCATGGCACACGCCAGCCTTTTGGTACAGGCAAAAAAAAGGTACAGCAGTTGGGACGGATAGAATAAAGGGCAGCAACAAGGGAGGCACTAGGCGCTAGGCACCCCTCGCATTCTTAATCAACAGCCACAACACAAACACTGCACCTTGGGGCACTATTTTTCGTGCGGATCGAATCAAGCCAAATCGAGCCAAAGGCACATACCACAGCGGACACGTTGACCGGCCGCCAGGGCCCTCTACATTCACCCCCGACTATCTTCGACCAAGCCTTGCACAACAGAGCCAGCACCAGAGCCTAAAACTCAGAGATCGATGTCCACGTTCAGCTTCGGTTGGAGGCGAAGTAGTGGAACTTTCCCAGCGGCCTGTTTCATTTTTTTTTTTTCGGGGGAGGAGGAGCAGCAGAGAATGCACGGACAGAACGAGAAGGTAAGAGAAGATGGAGGGCCAGCGAAGCGAAGAGATGCGAAAGCGACTAGCCAAAGCGGGAGCGGAGCGAAATACGGAAGCACGCCCGAAAGAAAAGCGTTCGAAGCACGAAATCACGTAGCACAGAGCCACCAGGGTACAGATCCGCCTTGTGCGAAAACATTTGGCGTGCCATGTCGTGGTAGGCATGCATGCAAGGCACGCGTCTGCGCTGCCACCTTCACCACGCCATATGTTGGATGCCGAATAGCGTGCGGGGTAAAAATGTAGACATGTCCGCCGATATGATATTAGGAGGCACTAAATAGCGCGGAACTTGAAACAGTAGTGTGATGGGGGAGTGGGTGTGAAGAACGAATCCTTGCGTACCACACATGCGGGGCGACTCGACATCAACGGCTCGTAGCAACGATGTCAGATACGACACCAATGAAACCTCCGCAACCGAAGACAGCAAGACGGTTGGCTGATACCCAAAACCACCTACCGCGAGCGTTACAGCCACCAGCACAGACACCAACACCACCACCACGACATCAACGGCAGGCTCACTGCTTGCTTGTTACCGCTCGCCCACCCAGCGACATTCATCGGGACGAGGTCACCGTCACATGACACCAACACAAAACACCGATGCGAAAAACACAACAACGAAAAAATTGCAGAGACGACCGCAAGTGTACCCTCTCTTGTCTTTGACTTACCCCTCCGCTAGCGTCCGGCAGGGAGGCGTCGTTGGCGTAGCCCATGGTAATGGTGTGAGGGCCCGCTCTGTAGCCGGTGAATCCCTGCAGGTTGCCGTAGCCTTCTTGTCGCACCATCCCCACCTGGAGCGGAAAAAAAAAAAAAAAATCGGGGCTCGGAACAAGGACACATGACAAAAAAACTCGAAACCACGGACGAAAGCAAAAAAATATGCCTTACGTGTCGGGATTCCCTACCCCCACCTATATCAACTCTTCCAGGAGCACAACAACTAGCACAAAACTTGTACCGGCTGACAATGATGTATCTTCATTGGTCGGCCGGGTAGCGCTGTCGGCGCAAACTAAAGCACACACACACACACAAGCTCACACGGACACACGTAGACGAAATAAGTCAACCGTGATGAACGATCTTTTCCCTTGTGCTGGGTGTTGCCAAGAAGACCCTTGTGCTGGGTGTTGCCAAGAAGACCCTTGTGCTGGGTGTTGCCAAGAAGACCCTTGTGCTGGGTGTTGCCAAGAAGACCCTTGTGCTGGGTGTTGCCAAGAAGACCCTTGTGCTGGGTGTTGCCAAGAAGACCCGTGTGCCAGTGTGGCGAGGCCTTCAACCACACTCTGTCTATCTATTCCAAACGGCATGCGTCGCTACCCACACAGTAGGGTCGATGGCCTCTACTCAGCTCCAAGTGTCCACACAAGCATATTGGGCTACTGTTGTACTCCTGCACCGCAGTTCTTCGCGGTTGGCTAGGGAGGGCTTGTATACCACGGTAGAGAAAGTCTCACCAGTCCCAAGCCGAAGCCCACGCTGCGCTCCCCCTTCGGCTTCTGCACCTTCGTATCTACCTTCTGGACCGCCTTCGCCTGTTTTTTTTGTTTGAGTGAGGACAAGGGGGGGGGCGGTAAGGATTGTTGTTGTTGTTGTTGTTGTTGTTGTTGTTGTTGTCTTCACATTAAAAACCGTTCCGATCTCTCTCTACCCAGTACCTTCGTATGTCCGTACTGATCCACCACTCGACGCGGTCGATTCCCGTGGTCACAGGTTAACTTACCCTAAAAAGGTACACTCAAATAAACTGGCCCCGAGGGGTCCGCAAGTCAATAGAAATCAACGACAGATATTCTGGGATCCTCCGCTCCCTCTTCGCGCTATGCGGGGTATCAACTGAGATTAGCAGTCACTATCTATCATGGGCCGGAGAGAAAGGATGCATCGAGGTGGTACGTGCGTCCGTCGAGAGCCAAGAGGCCATATATCGGACAGCGAAGGGCGGGCGAAACAAGGGAGACCATAAGCTTAGCCAGCCACTCCCCTTAAACTTTACGGCCAGGCCATGCTTCCTACAGCGACCAATCATCCCACCAAAACACGACTTTGGGACGGGGAGCGGAAATACTACGTGCCAACCACCGGATAAGACTGCTAGTACGGCGGAAGGAGGGCGGGGACAGACTGAGATGATGATATTGGAACTGGCTGGTGCTGGTGGTATAAAAGAAGCACACGCCCGCACGTTTGATGTATTGGCACGGCAGAGAGGCAATAAACATGGCACACCCAGAGAGAGAACGAGAGAATAAAGCAACCGATGCAGCGTCAGACAAACCAGGCAAGGGCCAGGCAGAAAGACGGACACGATAGAATTCAGCCTCCAAATTCTTCCCGGTAGGTCCGCCTCCAGCAACCAAGCGCCCACCGATCGTCCGTCAAGGACTACTGCGGCGCAACGACTACAAAAAATATGCTTCTATCTGGTCTGCCTCCGGTCTTCAGAAGAAAACGATGCAGCTAGCCGCAACGCTCCGGCCGAGACTCCAAGAGACTTGGGGGAAGTGAGGGGACCAGCTACAGTCAGCTAGCTGACCTGGGCGGCGGGAGAGTCGGCAAACTTCTCCGAAAATTCCTGCAGGTCTGCCTCGAGCTCCTCGTACTCGTCCTCGAAGCCCAGGGAGAACATGTCCGGCACAAGCGAGGTGGCATCCGCCTCGAAAGAAAAGAGAGTCTGCAAGAAAGAGAGGAGGGGGGGGGGGGGGAGAAATGAAGGAAACACGAGTGCGAGGGGAGAGGATGAGAGACGGGCAGAGGCGGACGCGGGGGTGAGCGAACTGGGGCGAGGGAGAAGGGGGGGAAAGGGAACCGGGGGGGTAATAACGAGCTCGTCGAGCACCAAATATAGTACGGTAGGTAATAGGGGCATACAAAATCACCACAACAACAATGACCACGACCACGACCACCACCACTACTGCAATGGCCACAGCCTTACCACCTCTACCAACAACAAACACTACGACACCACCAACCTGACGCAACACGTTCGCCTCCGACTCCTCGTTGAGCACATCATCCCCGAGGAGCTTCACCAGAGCCGCCTTGTAGCTCTTCAGGGCCCTCGCGCACAGCATCGACAGCTGCCGGGCGTACAGCTCCTTGATGCCCGTCTCCATGGTGGAGAGCAGAGCCGCCCTCTTCGTCGCCCTGGTTGCGCTAGTGCTAAACCTGCACGTTGCAGGCGGGTGAGTGGATAGCAAGGGCGGGGTCCAGACAGAGCGGGAGCGTTGCCTTTCAGAACACGCTTGCACGTAGATGGTCGCACATGCACTTACGCCAGCAATAGCTTGGGTATGTAGTGCAAACGGCACAACGCCCAACACCCGGCAAACGGAGGCCCTACTCGTTCGATGCTCCGCCTTCGAGACTTGACCGCCGTTGGACCGAGCGTCCCACCCGAGGCAACTGCCGTCTCAAGCAGCTGTGTCCCTCGGAAAAAAAAGGAAACGGAAACACATCTAACCAATCGAAACTTGGGAGGCAACGAAGCCAAACAAGACCGCCTCAAAATTGATTGTCCGCCGCCAAGACCTCAAGCGGCTTGTGACACCAGGACCGAGTTGGGCCTGTTGCCTACTAGTCCCAAAAATTCCTGGTAGGCGCATGCTGGACTGCCTCGTGTGATGGTGATAACCGGACTTAACCCGGACCCCCTTTGCGCAGAGTTTCAAAGCTCGATCGCTCCCCACTACTACAGCAAGAGGGTGGTGCCAAGATGCCGAACGAGAAGTCTTCGTAAAACTCTTTAGTGACACATTCCCAACGCCGCCCTCCTCGGCACGTGCACCTTTCCTCCCGTGGAGCAAATCGAGTTTTGAAACTTAGCCCACGAGGGGTCAGGTACACGCGGTCAAGCGCCCCCGCTCCGCCTTCCCCATCTCCCTTCGCCTAACCCCTTGTGGATCACCTGACCGTCTTGGTGTCGAAAGCCTTGACGGATGACCGGTACAGCTTCGTCGACTGAAGGCGATCGAGCGGTCGAATACGAGTTGCGGTGAAGGCGAGGAAGGATCGTGGTTAGCCACGAAGGATGTCCACGACACGTGGTTTTTGGACGCCGGTTAGAGGTGACCACGCCAACAATTGCAGACACCGGTAGAGAAGAAAGAAACACAAAACACGCACGGCAACACACAGAAGGTGCAGCATCTCATCAGATTGGTAAGAGGTCGTAGAGGGAAGGGAGAGGAATAAGAAACTAGAAAACCATGACGGGATTTGCATAGCCACACTCTCCGTGTAATAGAAGCACGCTGTCCTTGCTGCCGGGTGTTCGGTGCGTAAGGTGTACAGCTACAAACACATAGGCGCGAACGTCGGCAAAGCAGAGCAGTATTACCAATGCTGGCACAAGCGCAAACACAGGGGCATTCGTACCCGAAAAAGTCGGCTTAGTCTAGCTCTCCGACATCACGGACCAGGGCAACAGTGGCACGCATACTGACTACACCCAAGTGCTTCCTGTGGCGCACAGCTGTCAGTTCACGCTGGGGTTACGGACTGGCCAAGACACAAAAAATTACCTACACGGCAATACTCCATAGCAGCAATAGTTACCAAGCGTATGCTACAGCCAGGCAAACGCGATACAAGACACCTTGAACAGAAAAAAACACCCCGAACAACGAACCAAACGAACAAAAAAACAGGTGTACTGCTGTAAAAAGAACGACCAACACCGCAGTCAGTTAGCCGTGCCTATCCGTCCTCACCCTCTCGCCGAAGTCACCAACGACCCTGCCCGCCCCGACGGTCTGTCTCCAGGACTTGAGCTGCATGTCAGCACTGCCCATCACCTCTCCGTACGCCGAGTCCACCTTGTAGAGGGCCACCATCTCAGACTGCCGTGATGAAACAAGATAGCCGTCGGGAACGCGCGGCGCGGAAATATTTCGAGGGATGTAGTTGAGCCTAAAAAACATGATAGAGCACATAGCGCTTCCTGACGTGGACCGCCCGTGCCACAGGCTGAAACATCACCAACCGCCACTACTTCAGACCGGCGACAGCTGGCTTTCGCCAGAGGGCGAAAAAAAAAGACAAAGACCGCGGTGGAGTCGCACGAGAGAACACATGGGCAAAAAAAAAACGAGACTGGCGAAGATGGCCTCATCCTCTCCCGATCCAACTCGCTATCGCAATCAAGTCCCACCGGACCGACCGGGCTTCTGCGCACCCTTTCTCTCTCCCTTGTTCTTACGTGCGCAGCTCTGACTTACCTTTGCTGGGATCATGGTCGCTCCCGCATCGCGCACCGCCTGCCAGGCCCTAGTGACCCTGTCGCGGAAACCGGCCGTGGCCGTCGACGCCTCCATGGTCTGCAGCTTCTGCTTCAGAGCCTCGATGGCGGTGGCGTAGGCGACGGCGTGATACCGGGGGTGGGGGATAGCCAGCACCTGCCGCAAGAAGACAGAAAGAAAATAACACCAAACACAAGACAACAGTTAAGGTGTGATTGGACAAGACAAGCAAAACAATATCTAGCCCTCGTCCCGGTCGCATTGATGCCGCCGTTTCATACTGCTTAAATACGATTAAAAGACACAACAACACCAAAAACAATAACAGCAAACAAAGAGACGACGACGACGACCACCATCACCACCACCACGTGCGAAGTCAAGCCCTTTTTTTTTCCTCCTGGCGAAAAAAAAAAAAGCAGCAGGAGAAGCAGCAGCAGCAGCAGCAGCAGCAGCAAAAACAACAACAACAACAACACGACGACAAGGTTCAGTCCCGGAGGGGATCCGAGCCGGCGGTGCAACCAGGACCGAAGATGCAGCAAGAGGAGAAGGCGCAAGACAGACCTGAATGTCGAAGCACTCCTGCAAGGTGGCCCCGGAAGGGTGGTCGACCTCCCGCCATACAGCCAACATCTCCTCCATCACCGCCCACTGATAGCGGGAAAAGGGGCGGAACAGACGAAGCGACACACACAAGAGTCAGAGAGAGAGAGAGAGAGAGAGAGAGAGAGAGAGAGAGAGAGAGAGAGAGAGAGAGAGAGATCAAACATGGGAAGATCTCGATCCTAACGGACGAGCACGACAACCACCAGGCGCGCGACCGTGGAAAAAACAAGGACCGGTGGAAAAAACGAAAAAACAAAGCCGAAAAGCCGGAACAGGCCACGGCAATCACGAAAGAGGCCACGATACGGGCGCCCCCAATAGGCAGGCAGGGTGATGGCGACTTTTTAACCAGGCAGCCCGCACGAAGACTCTCGCTTGCCACCGCGAGAAGCGGTACCACGTTGTGTTCCCACCGAATGCAGAAAAAACAAGACCGTCATGGCGGCAAATCACTTCGTCCCGCGCCAATGTTGACCGTCTCGAACACGTATGGAACATTTGGGATATTTTCCGTCAGCTGGTTGATGTCGGGGACAAAAAAAAGCACCCGGCCTGCCGTGCGCAACCAAAAACGTCTCATCCCATCCCATGTCACCCCGGTGGTCTAGTTGGTATCCTCGAAACCTTCTAGAGGTCAGGTCAGGGGTTCGAATCCCGGCGTAAGCGAGCTTTTCTTGCAAAGTGAGTTTTCTCTCGCTTCCGCTCCTGGCCTAGTGGATAGCGCTAGTTCGTGTGTACACAGAGGGAAGAGAGTGCTGAACTCTTCTCGCATTAAAAATCGAAGGCAAAGTACCGCAGGAGGGGAGGGTAGAGAGGGGCTCTTCTGTGTGACCACGGGTTGGAGTAAACGGCACTAGTGCTGTGAGCGCTGATTTGAAGTGAAGACAAAAAAAAAAAAAAAATCATCCTGTGCAACGCAAGCAACACAATGACGTAACCGCCAAGCAATCAGCACTCTACCAGCAGCGCACTCCATTGTACCGTACCTACTTCAAACAGCCCACAAAAAGACCGAACACACAGGCACACACGTGCTCATCGTCATAATCACCATCGAGCAACGCGGGACACCTGCCCAACACATGCACCTATACCACACTTCATGTCTTCATGTACAGCAAACGGCGGGGGGAGGGGGGAGCAAAAACCGAGCAGGACACGGACCAGGCCAGACGGGAAAAAAGCCACGCCCCCCCCCCGCTTCCTTGTTCAGGTCGCTGGGGGCGCCGTGGTTGCCATCACCACGGTCACGAGCCGCGGCAGTCATGGAGGCGCAATCACGCATCAAGCCCACCCATACAGCTCAAAGGACCTTTCGGCCCTCAATGTCGCAAGGAAGGAGATGACACCAAGAGTCACCATCATGACAACCTTCTAACCCCCCCCCCCCCCCCCGTTCCCCTCCTCCTATTGGTCATAGACGCGGATGATAAATGCCGCTACAACCACTCTCGTGGATGGTTTGGTTTGATGTGGGCGGCAAGAACTGGAGAGGCGTCACGGGGAAAACACGCCTCCCAGAAATAAATCCGCCCCCCTCTCTGCCCTTCGGAAGGGAGAGTTTCAAGAATGCGACTTGCGTATCGCATTTGCTCTTCACAAAACAAAAAAGGCTCAACGGGGGCGGGTTCCCCAGTATAACGGCGGAAAAAATCTAAACACAGCGAGAGAGCTAGACGGCAGCTGCTACACGGGACCCTCGAATAGATGTAGGTGCGCGCAAGACGCGTAAGTCAGCAAGGATCCATGCCTCAAAGGATTCATGCCCAACAAATTGAACAAGACAGAAACAAAAAGCCGTTTTGTGACTTTTTTGTGTTCCGTCTCACGGTTTGCGCGATCCGCTCCTGAAAAACCCCTTACGTCACCACCAACCCACTTCACCTCGTTCGCACGGAAACCACCAGCGGCCACCGTCACACACACGGCAGAGCGTCATGACGTCATGATGTCATGATGTCATGATATGCACACTAAACGAACAATTTCTTGCATCCTCTCGAGTTGTGCCTGCCTACCAGCGGCCTCCAGGACCAACCACAAGGAACGCTACTGCACGCTGTCGGGCTGGCCGCGCGCTCGCCCAGCAAACAACCAACCAACACACGCCCGTGTACGACACCAATACCGTCTTCCTTTGATGTATACCAGATGGTATTGATGTGTAGATCTCCTAAAACACACACAAGCGGCAACGCGAAAAAAGAAAAAAAGTGCCTACGGGAAGGAAGAAAAGCGGCAAGACGGCGTCTGTCTGTGTGTGTACTCGATGTCTAGACTAGGCAGTGGTGTGTAACTGTACCTCGAGAGCATCCGTGTCCGCGCCGGGGTCGCAGTCGTGCACGGCCACCACCACAGGGGTCGGTCTGAACGCCGCCGCAGCTGACGAGTCTACCTCCTCCAAGTCTCCCGTCAAGCCGGCCGCAGCGATCTCCTGTAGCTTCTCGCTGAAGAGAGTCTAAATAGCGCATCGCCAAGCGTTGCAAAGACATATGAAACAACATCAACAACAACAACAAACGAATAGGCAAATGGTTCAGGCTCGATTGTTCAATGGATCGGCAGAGCTTTGCCATTCCCAACATGTTCGTCGGGCATGCTGGCCACGGAGGGGAGCAAGGGGGCCTCGTTTAGCATAATTCACAACGTTTCTGCTTCGTTCCGGGAGTTTAAGACAACCTGTTCTGGGAGCATTTGTTCGGGGGGCTGAAAATAACACAAACCGAAGGAACCCACCCGGTTCCGCCATGAAGCAGTCGGATTATTGCTACCGAGTGGCCTATGTGTGACCGGTCTAAACAGATACAAGGCAGGGTGTATGTACCTTGATGGTGCGGACATTGGATGCCACACTCCTCCCGAGGTCGGACCGCCACAAGTTCATGAGCACCACGTCGCTCAGGGCGGCCTAACAAATATTTAGACACCAACAGAAAGAAGCAGCACCAACGGCGGCATCAGGAGGAGGGGGGAGGAGGCGGGGCGGAGGGGGTCAAAGAAAACGCAAGGCTTCAGGAACCCGGGACTCTCAGAAATAAAAATAGAGATGTGAGAGGACTCATGCGAGAGCCAAGTCCCCGGTTCGGCTGAATGTGGGTGGATGTTCGTGCGGAGGACGGACACGCCACCGTCTGGAAAGAAATGCTTACAAAAAACACCAACATCTCCTTGAAAAGCCCTCAAGTTTGGCAACTCGCCAGCATGTCAAAAACCCTGTCCACGAAAAACAAAACAAGGCAGGCGCAGGGGCTGAGCCTTCTCCCTCGTCCCCCCACAAACCCCTGCAACTCCACGAGAGCCACATCTCGTGCACAAGGCCGAAGGGGCGAAACGACCCATCAGGAGGGCGATACGTTCCCGACGGCAAAGCACCGAGTGAGCAGGCAAGAGAAGACGATTGACACAGCATCCGGCGCCCCCTCCAGAGATACCCCCACACCCCCTCCGCGAAGTTGGCCATCGGTGATCGGTCCTGCGGGAACAATACTCCGTCCTCTCGAGGACGTGTGGTCAATAGTCTAACCTCTAACCTCTAAGGCATGTACAGCATAAGAGTACGCCCCCCCCCCCTCCCCCCCTCCCCTCCTGTTCCGGGACCCCGTACCGAAAATGCAGTGGCCTGTCCGGCCGTCGTCCCCTTTGATATGGCCGTCGGATCGGCCCCTTCCTCCAACCCGTCGCAGTCCAACAAGAGCACTCCGTCGCATTTTGCCGCGGACACGCCTGCTCACAAAACACACACACACAAACAAACGGCAAGCAAACGAATGTGTCACACATCTAAAATTGCAGCGAAATACAACGGCCAGTTGTGATCCCCAACACAACACCCCGAGGTATACATCAGTTGTGGCACAAGAAGTAGGGTTAAATTGATATGGCTGTTGGATGTAAATATTCAAGACATGAGCGCGAGCTTCGCCCGAATGTTTTCAGGGAGTTCCGACCGAGAGCACCCGCTACACTTGATTGACTACTTTGCATATTTATCCATCGCACTTCCACAGAATGTCAACACGGGTATGTACACACGCGCGAACGCCTTGTCGCATGCAGCAGAAGATAACACCAAATGAATAGACCCCCCCTTTTCCTCCGCCTTTGACTCACCCGTCGGTGCTCCCTGGCTCAAGGGCCCTCCCACCGAAAAAGAAGTTCCGAAGGCCTGGTTGAGCAACGTCGATCTGGTCGAAAGAGCGAAAACCACGTCGTCGGAGGGGCGAGGCGGGCGGGCGGAGGAAGGTCGGAAGCCGCCCAACGCTGTTCAGTAAAGCCGCCGCTGCTGCTGCTGCTGCTTAAGATATTTATGTACAGTAGTGCCCTCACGTGTATGGCGCGGGAGAAAAGCCTTGCGCTGCCCTCGAGAACACTGTTGCGTTTCTTTTCTCTTTAGGAGTTTCTACTCCAAGCGAGGCGACGCGCTACTGCCATACTCACGTACTGCTCCCCGGAACCCCACGACGTGAGTACGGCATGACGTCATGATGTCACCAAATGGGCTACCCGCTGAACATTCTGAGGAATATTTGTACGTACGCGCTTGTTGTAGCACTCACTTTCCGCTGCCTTTGCTCCCCAGGACGCCCACGACGTTCATTGCCTTGCCGCCGAACCCGCTGAGGACGGAAAACAAACGGGAAGTCGGACAGAACGTGCATGGATAAGCAGTGACCGTGCGAATGGGGTGCAAAGGGAGGAGACATGCGTGTCGTGAAATTCACGGGTAGCGTTGAGTCAAAGGGTGGAGGGATGGAGGGGGGTAGGAAACCACATGCGAGCAAAGGCCCGCTAGATACCTCTTGGTGGGGCACTTACTGCTTTGCAGTGCTTTGCAGGCGCTGCTGGTACCAGGCAGTTGAGTAATTTCTCGCCGATGGCATGGTCAAAGGGGGAAAGCTTGATCGAATGAGACACAAACATGAGCGTTGCGGGAATAAACAAATAGTGCAATTGCAAACATCCTGCTTGCACTCTCACAGGACGTCAACCAAGGCAAAAACAAAGGTCCAAGCCGATTTGAAGCAAGCAAGGAATGCCAGTTAGTCCAACTTCAGCCAAGGATCGACCCAACTCGAACGCCATCCACAGCAACGCCAAAGATCCACCGGCTTACCCTGATGTGTGTGTACCCCGGACCACGGACAACCCCTACCCCCAACTTACCTCAGCAGCGACGTGATCTCGCTAGCCGACGCCAGCTTCCCACTCGCGTCCACCAGCTCCATGGTCGGCGCTCCCGCCAACGGTGCTGCCGTAGCCGCGCCTCTCGCGTTTACACCCCTAAGCCCAGCCGCTCCCAGCAGCAGCGCGAGAGCCAGCAGCCGAGGCGGGGGCGCAACGGCGGCGGTGGGCTGCGCTCGGCGGCGCTCTCGCCGCGTGGTGGAGATCATCGCCATAACCACGGTCTAGACAAGAGCTCCTGCCCATGTACAGGACGGAAAATGATCACAGGGGGGCATGGGGAGATCCACCACGGTTCATGAGATCAAAAACGATGATGAGAAAAGGGGGCAGGCTGGATATTCATGAACAGCGATCCCGGGTAAAGGCTTTGTGTGACCTTCAGAGTACCTGCAGCATGCAGCAGCAGTTCAGGCAGCTATGCAAACGCTTGGGCAGTAATCAACTCAGACCTTGGCTTGGTACACACACGGGCGCCTAAATGCAAATTCGATCTCCCCGTAAAAAACGCTCTACGCAACGCCCGTCGCTCCGACCATGTCAAGCATTATTCGCCGCCGTACATATACCACCGGTCGCCCCGGTGGTCTAGTGGGTACCCTCGCAGCCTACTAAGGGCCAGGTCATGGGTTCGGTGCCGGCATGAGTTATATTTCTCACTAAATCAATCCTGGTCTAAGGTTGGAAGCGGCGCGCTGCAAAGCTTGTTGTTAGTAAACGACATCGACTTTGTAAGTCGCGAGGGAAGGGACTGCTGCACCCTTCTCGCGATATACATATCTCTGGCAGGAACCGCAGGAGAGGGTCCAACCCCCCCCCTCCTATGTGACCCCGGCAGGGTCGTCTAGCTAGTAGAAGTGGAGGATGGGGGGCAGAGGGGGAGACGACAGAGTCCAATGATGGGAGAAAATAAATAAAATAAAATAGCAAACGGTACTGTGTACAGCAGCATGAACCGCTACTTGGGGCGTTTACCGCACTGCTGTGTTCGTACCGAAAGTCGAGGGTTGCACGACTGGTCAACAAGGGTACTACTAGTCGACAAGGCTGAGCAGATGGAATCTCATCGAGTAGATGGTGGGGTGCCGCGAGAGGAGAGCCGCCGCTAGATCAAACCATATGGTACCAGCTCTCTCTTGCTGTACAGGAGTCCGCCTCCCACGGTTGAAGCGCTCGTTGATGGGCACGTGGCGATATTGAGCTCGTGTTTGCTGCTGCTGCTGCTATTGTTGTAAGCAAGCCATCAAATCCCTTGCCTTGCTGTGTCAAAAGTACAATTGCAAGCTATCGCGCACGGAAACATGCAGCAGGCTTATACGTTGGCATGAACACTGATTGAGACACTGGGGGGTTATTGACATGCAGGCGTTGGGAGGGGCAAGGTTTGGTGGACTCGCAACCGCACGACACTCATGTTGCACTTCTGCATGTGATGCACCATCCCAACACCTGCAAAGTGCGGCTCCTTCTGGATGTCACGAGACAGAGAGTTGGTTGGCACTTCGACACGCTGGATAGAGCCCCCGTCGAGCCCAGCCATGGGGGTGCTCATCTGCTTGTCTGCTGGGTCAAGCTGTGTGCGCGGCGCGCACACACACCCCACGCAATCTTCCCAGCCGGTTTCAATTTTCATTGAAAATGGCTCACCTGGCCTCGCCACAAGAGAACGCACAATTATCTCCAGCCCGGCACACACGACTCCCACCGGCTCCGGCTGCTTCTAGCGTGTTGCTACTCTCTAAGCGTGTGCTCCTGAACACCGAGGAGCAGGAGACCAAGCAACAGCAAGACACGCTCAACTTTTCGGTGCCCCCCCACCCCTCCCTGAAAAGGCTCTTGCACGCGGAGCCTCCAAACGCCTCGCTTGGTCGGGAAAACCCAGATCTCCGCTATATTCGGAGATGGGGAGGAAGGAGTTGACAACTGCACTCCACAACCAGCAACTACTGGCGTCCGTGGCGCTTGTGTGAGAGAGAGAAACGCGGGATTGGGACGTCTCCCTGTGGCTCTAGATTCCCATAAGTGTCATCTACTCTTGTGAGGGGGAAGCGATTCCAGGACTGACGAGTGGCGTGAATTTGCCGCATCTTTCTGGGTGTGGAGTCTAAATAAGCAGCCAGCTGCACACCAATTTTGCAGCATGTCTTCCAAGATAGCCAAGCGGATGATGTCGAGGGTGGACGAGATGGTTTCCAGGGCATCATCAGCCACCAAGCGGGTGAGGGAAACTGTAATATTTAGCTGGCCAACAGGAGGCGACCAGAGTCTCGTATCACGGGCTTGACTCGCGCACTACAAAACAGTTACAAGTACGCCAGTGGGCTGGTGTCCGCGGGCTCCACTGCTTAAAGACATGTCTAAAGAATGATACATCTTACGCTTCGATGTGGACATGTACAGTATCCGCGAAATCTAGAAATATCCGCTGGTGGGTAGAAAACCGCCATGGTTTTGAGTTGTATCCTCGGAAACATCAAAATGTCCTGGTTCAGCAATGTGGGCTCAAAAGCTGGGGCGGCACACTTTTAGAGAGCGCTTTCGTACCTGAAGATGCGAACCGCGATGGTGGGTGGTGTTGACAAGGTAAATCTGAGCTGGTGCGTGCCTTGCAGGATAGCTGGAGTCACGAAGCAGTGCCGTATGGTCCACCACACCGGTTTACTCTAACGTTCCCCCTGACTGGCGTGTGTCCCGTGTTTTGCCACACTGCTTTGTACCTGGCCCCGTCATACGATGCAAACAATAGACGGACCTCTCGACCAGCAAGAAGAAGGCGGCGAAGCGGGCTCTACTACAGGCGCCGTCAAAGCGAAAAGGCAGCGGAAGCACCAGCGTCGCAACTTCGTCTAGCAGGTGCGCCCGGAAGTTACTGTTATGTTCGAACCAGCACATACAGGCATCGCTCATCGTTGCCATTGAGCTGAACTTCAACTTTACCACAACAAACCCTGCCGCCCTCTTGAGGACAGCAGACGGAGTGGCTTTGTTCACCCACACGCGGTCTTCCTAACCATGCCCACACTCTTGCTGCCATGTCTATGTTTCCCTGGCCTGGCGTGTGCCAAGGAGTGTCACGAAGAAGAGCGCAAGGAATAAAGCAGGACGACGGACGATGGGCCTCCTCGACAAAGCGCGGCGGGAGCTACGTGGCAAATCGCTGGTGGCGCGAAACGTCAGTCTGCTGTCGTACAGCTCTCGAGGAGAGGGGCGGGCCGCGGGGGCGGGGGCAGACAGCGGAGCGGCAAAGGTTGGCGGTGGCGTCGCCAGCAAGTCGCGAAAAGCCGTCGAGCATCTCTTGCTGCTGGATGCACGAAAAGCGGCCGGGAGATAGAAACATGAGGATTGCGTAGAATTGCACTGATTTCGCTTGTTTGTGGTGAGAAGGATGAAGAACGTGCACCCAACGGTTGGTTGCCTTTTCAAGGTTGTCGTGCAGGTGGGTTAGTATTTGTCACGGGGCTCCTTGTCTTTAGTAAGGAAAAGTAGCCTACCAGCAGCGGCCGGCCGTCGTCAAGCCTCGTCACCGATAGCTGCATAGAAGAACAGGTGGCCGGGAGGGCTCGCGCAAAGATTGAGTGGCTTCCGCCTGCTGGTTCAAAACTTGCACATATTTTTGTGCTAAATGATGCGTCATCAGTTCAAAAAATTCTTGCGGCCAGCACCACTTACTGGACATGACCTCAAACTGCCGTGTGACGCTTCCGTGGGCGTGTTTGAACATTTTTTGCTTCGGCTACCGTGCACGGCTTTCCCCAATTTGTGTAAGTCGAACCCACTTCCATGGGTACTTTTCAATTGCTTGCCGCACGGGCGGCACCTTTTAACATTTCACCCGATGTTGATGGTGCCGGGATGACCATGCCACGTCGCACCTCAAGCTGTCGGCTCAAGATGGAAAGAGAGCGTAGCGTTAGTGAACGGGCTGCCTAGATAATCCCTCTGTACCATTTTTGATCTCAAATTTTGTACTTTTTTCCGTCCACTTCAAGTCTGGAACGGTGCTCCTGCAGAAACCTACTGTGGGTCTTGGTCGGTTGAAAATGTCGTTATTTTTACTTTCGAGTTGTCAACTTTTCCCGCTGAAAACTGCGAAGCTTCCGACAGGCGCAATGCCGACGACATCCATCGAGTAGTTGCTGTCCTCTCGGCCAGCCTCTCTTTCGTGGAAGTAGAAAGGAAATGAGTGGCTGCAAGTAGGTCAGGGATCGTCACAAACACTCGTGTTGAAATTCTCGTTGCTCTACATCTGAAGGTGACAGCTTGGAGCGGGAAAGCGCCTTCTCGAGCGTCTCGTTCTTCATCACGTCTTGAAGGACGGTCATTGGGGGGGTTTGCTTCCTCCTATGTCATGTCCGTTGGTGCAACCTTGTCCATGCACGTCTGTGCTCCACCGCCACAATGAATGGTCAGGTATTGGCCGTGGTACCTCCCCGACGCCAGCCAGCTACAACTTGGTCCAACATTTGAAAAGGACTTTCTGGGAAGTTTTCAACACCTCGGTAGACGATCGAAGGTGCCGTGCAGTTTACGAAGCAACAAAAAAACGGAATGAGTGGGCATCGTCTCCCTCCACATGTTGAACATCCATCCAGCACAAGCTACCGTAGTCTGCACCGATGATGAGCACTTACTTTCATCGTTTACTCTTCTAACCCATAAGAAATGCTGCTTAGTTTTCGGTCTCAATACAAGAACACCCGCACCGGAATGGAATCGGAAGTTGAAACCTGCTACACAAACAACGCACCATAGGTTCCATACCAGGCAGGTGTTGGAATCATGTGTACAACAATACCCGCACGTGACGGGATTGTATACATACAGGCTCAGCGAACACCGAAACTCATGAAATACACGCGCTTACTCAAGGTGTGGATACTCATTTGGGGGGTTCTCAAAATCATCATGCTTAGTGTTTCGTCCAACGGGTAGGCCGCCAGGCCAGGTCAATCGTCGTCCGAGGAGGAAAGTCCGTGATCGTCAATGTCGTAGAGGTCGCTCGGCTCCTCCCCTTTATCTTGTTGATGTTGTTGTCCTTGATCAACACTGTCGTCGTTGACGTGATGATCATCAAACTGCATCTCGTTGGCCGCAACCGCCCCTGTCGCCGAAGGCAAAGCTGCCGGTGAGGGTTCATCCGTAGCCGTGCCTTTGGGCTCCCCGTCGCCGCCACCGCCACCACCTCCGCCACCTCCGCCACCTCCGCCACTACTTTCATCATGGAATAAATCGGTGGGAACTTTCCCCACGGAGCCATCGCCACCCCCATTTGTGAGGGCCTCACGAGTGGCATATTCCGACATTGCACCATGCACAGATTCGCATCGATTCTCGTTCTCAGCCCCCTCGGTGCCATTGTCGGCTGGCGAGTCAATGACATTCGATTCGATCAAGCTGCTGTCGTCGTTGTTTATGGTGCCAGGGGGGTTGTCCGTTGGAGAGGACGCACAATGCTCGGCTTGTTCAACACGGTCTGCACTCTTGGAAATTGCAGCGTCTGTACGTTTCTCCAACTCTGAGCTGCTTGCCGAATCTCCGGAACTATTGCCAAGACTATAGTCATCGTCGCCGTTTTCTCCATCAAAGTCTTCGTTAGTCGATTTTTCCCCTTGTGGTGGTGAACTGCGCGTAGCTTTCACCGCCGTTTGAGTCAGCGATGATGCGGTAGAGCCGTCGTGGACGGAGTCTGCGTCTTCTGCTGAGTAGGAGTCAGACAAGTGATGGCTGCTGCTGCTGCTTCTGCTGCTGCTGTCGCTTGAGGATCTATCGCTGCTGCCTTCGCTGCTATGGCTGCGGTCCTCTTCTTCGGTGGAGCTACGCCTGCTACTTTCGCTGCTGTCGCTTTGGACGCCGTCATCGTTCTCGTCGACCTTGTCGATGTCGTCGGGGTAATCCGACTCGTAGTCTGCGGCAGGATGAACAACATCGGGCTCAACAGCAACGACCTTCGCAGATGAGGTTTGGCTAAGGGGAAGAGAGTCAATGCCGTCATCTGTCGCTCTGCTGATGCACTGGCTATCGCTGCCGCCTTCGTCCATGTTGTTCGCCTCCGCGACATGATCTGTCGGGGGCGGTGAAACTTGATCGCTACTTCTTGAGCCGGCCACCGCCGGCGAATCACTATCGCCGCTGAAGTCGCTGTCAAGTTCGTAGTTCACGTCGTCTTCGTCCCCGCCAGATAGTGTCTCCACTCCTGCCGCTGCAGCCGCATGACTTTCGAGATGATCCCTGGAGCTTCCCCCTTGGTTGGCAGTCCCCACCGTCGCGAAGCCTCCCTCGTCATCAACCGCGCTTGCCCCCTCCACCTGTGCAGCTTCTTGAAGGCTTCCTGAAGGACGTCTATCACCAATCGGGTCGCCGTTTGCAAAGCCGCTTGCCGGAGTAGGAGCCGACTGGCGAGAAGGGAATTGAGCCCCCAGGCTGTCGGCGCTTGTAGCGTCAGGGTCTGCAGAGTTGGTCGAGGCGGGTCCTTCCGGAGCCTTGGTCGATATCGGTTTGGAGCTGTTTCTTCTGTCTGCAGCATCACCTTCGACTGCAACCGCTAGGTTGTTGGCCAGCGACCTGCTGTCTGTCGCGTTGTTGCCCCGCCCCTTCAAGTGCCTGTCTGCTTGCTCTGTGCCAGTACTGTTTGAGAGTAGCTCCCCGGTGACGCCCTCGGAGCTTCCACTGCCACCGTCGTCGTCGTCATCGCCGCCGCCACCGTTGGCCTCGAATCCCGCCACGACGTCTTGTGACCCCTCCCCCCCCCCTCTCGACGTGTCTTCGTTGTTGTCGGCAGATTGAAGAGTTCTGTCCGTGGTCGACGAAGAGAGTGACAGTGCATCGTTATCCCCCAGACTGCCGAGCGTAGACAACGAACAGCTGTCCTTGTCAGGGTCAACTGGCACACCATCAGACGGAAGGTGGTCACGGTCGACAGCAGAAGGAGGCGAAGGAGGTGGTGGCATAGATTTCGCAACGCTGCCGCTGCCCGACTCCACTGTGACGTTGTCGGCGATATCAGGCCCAGTAACTTCGGTGATCGGAGTTGGTTTCACTGAGTGATTGTCCGCTACACGAACATCAACACCGTTTTCGTCGGTCTCACCCGATGACCAGTCCGTCTCACCCCCCGCTCCCTCTTTCGGCTCCCTGCTCTCTATTCCTTGAGAATCTGAAGCTTGCCCTTGCTGAACCGTATCAATCGTATCGTCGTCGATGACAACAGCGGCGTCTCCATTCAATGGCGCCCTGTCCGTGTTCCCACTGATTGAACCGTCTGTGGTGCCGCCTGCTGCGTCTTCTGTTGGTGAAACGCATTGAGCGCTATTTACACTGCCGTCCCGTGCGGTACCGGTCTCATCAACAGTGTCCGATACGTCATCCCCACCACCACCCACTCTCGCATCACCGAGAGCAGTAGACATTGCAGCTACCGCCTCGGACTCCGATGTCGACGACTCTGCGTCCGCCGCCTGCGCGACCGATGCCTCCTGCGATGGGGTTGTCCGTGTTTTCACAATGCCTGCGGACACGCTGTCGCATGACTCTCGGAAGAGGTCGAGGGGAACGTCCAACACAGACACCCCAGAGGCCACGAGCGTGCGAAGGTCAGACATGGCCCTGTCTAAGACGCCTGCTGGGTTAGGGGGGCCGTCTTCATCGCTGGAAGCTGGAAAAACACTGATAAATCGAAGCACGGTTGAGATTCGTAGGGAAACGGGGAAGGAAATGGGTAGGTGGGTGGGTGTGGTTGAGGGTTCATTGGATCTCACTACTACTCGACTTGGCAGTCGACGCCAGGTTTCCATGCAGTACTTCGTGGGACTGTCTGTCGCGTCAGCTCACCCGTTCACACAGTTCATCCACGCTCGGCAGAGCGTGCTTAATATTGTAATGTGCTGGTGCTTCATCCCGATGAGCTCGGCGGCCTCCTGCAACACTGCCGACCTCAGTTCCGCAGCTATCTGGAACACCGGACGAGCTTCTTCGAGCATCTTGAGCGCCTGCAATAATTTTACTTCGGATTGTCAAGCCCAGAGATACCATGGTCTCGACGTCGCGTCCAGGATTCGGATACCAAAAATTGCCGGAATAATAACACGGATGAGAATTGCAACAACTAACAATAGGCCATGAGTTTCCCAGTCCCTGTGCAATATATTCTTCTTCGGCGGTCGTGCACGGTGGCGGACCAAACTCACCGCAACCGGGTCGCGTGCGCTTATGGCAGAGATGACGCCAGCACACAATTCGGACTCCCGCTCGACGCAGAACATGATTGCCCGCGTGTCAGCTATCTGTTTGAAGGCGTCGCCCTGCTTGCAATTTGGGTGTGGATGCGGATGGCAGTTTTCAGCGGCACGGCGGCGAAACGACGTACCTATTTTGAGGCCACCAACAGCAGTCGCATGGTAGATGACTAGTAGATGACTAGCAGATATAGCGGTGATCACGATTGGAGGAGCGTGCATCCATTTTCTGTGGTATTTCTGGTGGTTGTTGCAATTTACACGTTTTCGAACGACTCCTGGGCCCATGCAACCTATCCTTCACCTGGCGGTACTTGCTGAGGGCCTCTTCTAGGATGCCCTTCCCGCGTTCGAACTCCCTCTCCCGCAGCAGGCCGATCAGCCCCTTGCAGATCTCATCCCCTGCCTCGCGGCTCTCGAACACGTTGATGTCCTTGGAAACCGCCGCCGCTCCGGCAGCGAACGGATCGACGCCGGCCCAAGCCATGCATGCCTCCGCCCCCGAGAGCAACTCCCGCGCCTTGACGGGGTTCTTCTCCTTTTGAATCGCCGTGGCCGCCTTCGCGCGCAGTTGATCGCCGTCGTGAGCCGCCCGTTTCGTCACCAGCTCCTTGGGCGTGGACGATGGTGACGACAAGGAATTCTCCTTGCCCGCAGCGACAGCGACGGCGGCGGCAACCGACGTCATCCATCTTCCCGCCTTGATGGTGGTGTAGTGGGCTTCAGCCTCTTGCAACAGCCGCAGCCCTTCGTCGTATTCTCGCGCGTCGAGCGCGGGTGCTACGCCACGCATGACGATATCCCCGGCCACGCGAGATCGTAAGTTGACAAGGTCATCGAGAATGTGGCATTGTGCCCACGCCCCATCCTGATCGTCCTCTATCCCTGGCAGGACATGACTTCCAACATCACTCCCACCGCACTTTTTACCGCTGTCAACAGTAATAGCGCGACCAATGTCAACGTCGCCGCTAGTGCTAGGAAGTCCTACCAAAGACAGCTGTGCTGTTGCTGTTGAGGTGATCGTCGTACCGTCGGCCGCAACCAAGGTGCTCCCGGCGACCTCTTTCTGAGCGTCGAGCAGTAGAGCTTCTGCTCTATCAAGATGCTCCGCGATGGCCTCGAAGTTGCCTTCGCCGTGCAGCTCGACAGACGTCAGCAGAAGCGCCTCCGCCTGTGTCCGGGCGGCCTCGGTGCGCGTCACCAACGCTTCTTGCGCGAGTCCCGCGTCGTGGAAGAGCTCCGCCGCCGACCGTAGAGTCTTCACCGCCGCGACGTAGTCCCCCATCGCCTTGAGCCCCCTCCCTTTTTCCATGAGCCCCTCGGCCCTTGCTTGCCCCACGGCCGCAGCTACGCTCGTCGTGAGCTCCTCCGCCGCCCGGACGACGGCTTGGCGCCGGTCGCGCTCGAGGCGACGCTCTCCTTCTGCTTCGCTGTCGCCGCCGCCACTGTCACCGCTGTCTTCGTGGTTGTCAGCCCACCACATCAACCTCTCGCGGGCGGAGAAGGCCGCTCGCTCGGCGGCCTCGAAGTGTTTCCGTTCGAGAAGGTCGAGAGCGGAAGCTCGGTCGGCTTCGCCGGCGGATCGCACCCGCAGGAGCACGGCCGTCTTGGCGCCGTTCTCCCCGCCCTGGCACAGCGCGCAGTCCGGCGGGCGGAGGCAGAGCGGCCGCTCGACGGCGAGAGCGGCGCGGACGACCAAGCTCTCCGCGACTAGGCCTTCGGCGTCGGCGTAGCGGCCCTCAGCCAGAGCCCTCGACGATCTCTCGATTAGGCTGACGAGGGACGATATATTGCCCACCTTCGACAGTCGGGCCTTGTCGGCGGAGCGTTCGTAGACCTGCGCTGCGGCGGAGAGCAGCGTGCGGGCGTCTTCGAACTGCTCGTGGTCCACCACCTTCGCGTGTGTGCGTTTGAGCGTGTGGGTGAGCGGTCGGGCGGGCGGAGCGGACGGACGGACGGGCGGACGGTTATGGGTGGTCGTAGTGCGGAGAGGTGTTCATGTTTGTAGGGTGCTGTTGTGTTCGTTTGAGTCCTTTGTAGATGCAAGCTGCCAACGCTCACCGCAACGAATGCTAATGTTCGCCCTTGTACTACAGTCGTGAGAGCCGACAGCTGTCTGTCACCCACGCGCGAATAAACTGGTGTCATCAGCGAGGACTCCAAAGCGCTAGAGTTGCTGCCTAGGCGAGGGTGAGTGAGTTCATTCGTTTGTGTGGCGGGTTCCCCCACAGATGCGGCCGGGCTAAATCTGACATCTGACGAAATACCACATCCCTCACGTTCACTTGAAATACCGCCAGTTAGATGATAAGTGCAATATTCAGTATTCGTTCACAGCAAAGGAAGAACAACAGTTGGGAGAATGCCCACGGCTTTATTGGGGGTGTCAAGGCCTTTTTACCTGGGCAAGGTTTTCCAGGGAGGTATCTGCGGCAAGACAATCCAGGCGCAACTCCACGTAGACAGCTCTCTGGCCATCCCGTCGGCTGGTGGTAGTGGTGGAAGTGCCGGTAGATTTTAGTAGCGGAAGCGGTTGATGATTTGGCGAGAGATTGTATGTATGATGAGGTCAGGCTACAGTAGTAGTGCGTATGCATTTGAACTGAGGTGGTGCAGGAACAACGAGCGGCGTAGAAGCAACGCACATGCCACAGGCGATGTATTGAGCGGTGCATTATGCGTGGAAGGTCGGAGTTCATGCCTGCACGTACTCCTTCTTTTCTTTGCTTCTGGCCCACCCTCTGCCTTCCCCCCTGATGTTAGTGCCTTTTGGTCTGTAAATTTGCCACCCCTATTGATCACCTGTCATAGATCGCATTGATGTTGTCTTGTAGCTCCATCGCGTTCCGAGCCGCCTCGAGATCGCCAGGGCGTTCTTCTAGGAGGGTCGTGACCTGGTCCACCAAGTCCTCATATGACAACTGTTTCGTTGTTGGTTGTTTTTTCCGAAAGTCGCAGCACACCAAGCGCAGAGATAGCAAGAGCGGCACAGCAGAAGAAGAGGATCCAAACCAAGGGTGAGTGTGACCGGGCATAGAACTGTGGCGGTCAGTCACCCACTCCATCATGAAGGCACCGAGCAAAGCCAATCGCCGATTACTTCCAAGCCGCATTAATGTTCCCCCACGTCAAGTCTAGAACCACCTCCTTCCAAGTGCCCTCTCGGGTGGCGAAAACAATCCAAAGAGTCGTCCACCGCTGGAGGGCCCCAATCGCTCTCGTTGTAGCGTTTGCCAATACTGAATGACAAGAGGTCAAATGAGAAGTTGAGAAACTGAAACGAATTTCCTCTTGTATCGCCACCGCCCCTCTGCCTCCACACCTATCCGATGCCCTCGTTCTCCTACCCATGTTCGAGCATAGCTTACAGCTTTTCTGTGCCCCTCGACGATCTCATGCGTGCCCATGACGGTAGAAGCACGGGATTTCACATCCTCGGGAAAAGGTGGCACGTTTGGTTCCTCTTCCACGCCTGCTCTTAATGCAGACAACACATGTACAATCGACAACATCAACAAACATGGGCTAATTTTCCTCGCTCCGTGTTCAAGCGCCAACAACCAACTACCTACAGGATGTAGGGAGCACGAAGCCTTCCCTCGCTCCTTCCCTTGGCATCCTGGTTCTAACCTGTGCACGGTGGTAGAAGGATTTCGCTTCCCGCAGAAATTGCGCCGCGTTGTCGCTCGCCCCTTCCGCGAAGGCCGCTTCGGCCGCCGCCACGGCGGCATCGCCGGAGGCGAGCCTTGTCACCATGTGAATCTGCATGAGCCAGGTTTTGAACAAGCCTAGATTCTTAGAGTAATTTATCTTCCTTAGTTCGAATTGCCGCAACAATCGAATCTTGATAGACACCTGTCGATACCAGAGGATATGAACGGAACACGATTATTTCGTACCTTGCCGATCCCTGTCCTCCAGAGACGTTTGGTAGTTGACACACTTTTGGGTCTGGGGTTTAGAAACTGTCTTACTCACGCTTCTCACAGGCTCCGACATCGCTTGGGTCTGGGTTTTAGAATTGTTTTACCCGCGCTTCTCACAGGCTCCAACATCGTTGTTCTTTCCCCAACCTAGTGTAGGCGACGTGTTTCTATCGCTGCGCTGGATAGCAGGACATCCTCACAGCTTGATGCCCACGGACACGGCGTGCACAATCTGGTCTCTTCTAGGTAGAGCATCGCCAAGAATATCAGGAAAAGCAACGCCAACGACGACGACGGCGACGGCAAAAAAAAACTCCTCCTCCAATCATGTTCACACACGGTATCCACGCAACACAGCAAGCACCACCCGCACCGCAGCGTAGACGTCGGCGGTTGCATCAGCCAAGGCCTCTCGGTCGACGAAGGAAAAACAGCTTTGAGCTTGCTCGCACAGTGTTCTCGACGCCTCCACGTCTCCGCCTCTGACAGAACAGACATGTAGGACGCATAGTACGCCGAATATGATGATCCACCACACACCGAGGTACCATACCACGCAACGATGCGTTGCTTTGACCGGAAGGGCATCGAGGGAAGACACGTGCGGCACGAGCCTGCAAACGAACAGCGCTCATTGCTTCGCGTCCGACAGTAAAATTGAAGTGCCAAGGCGTTAATCCATGCGTCGTTGCTACATAGGCGATGGTGACAAACCCAACAATTGCCTATATTAGTATCGGCCCTCCTGGAAGCAGAAATTCCTGCGGCGGCGTCGCTGTGTCTACGGCGAGCAGCCCGTTTGCTTTGGGCATGGATTGAGGATCTCCTCCTTTGTTGGCCTTCGGTGGCCTTTCCTAGGCCTGTGGCATTCGAATCGAACAAGCATATGATGAACCTGTTGGATTGTACGGAAACTCCCTGAACGCTTGCGTGGTAAGCCTCGGCCCTCGAGCCTCTAGAAATCCTGAATTGCCGCTTGCTGGCGGGTGGACCCTACACCATGTGGTACACGACTACAACCAGACTATGTCAAGAAGATAACGTGTCCCTAGTGACACTAAGAAAGGGTCTTGGCAATCACGTTTATTCGCGGTGTCCCTTGCCTGAGCATTCTGATGGCTTCGTGCTTAAGTCGTTGTCCGTCGCGCATGGCCACCTGCTTCACCAGGCCCAGGGGGTCTCGGGTGCGGGCCAGCCCCTCTAACCCTTGCGGCCCTGCGGCCGTGTAGAGACGCCTCGCTTGATCGAGGCATTCCACAACGGCAACGAAAGCCCTAAACGTGCGGTTTGTGTTTTGAAAGGGGCATCGGAAAAGAAACCAAGTAAAGATGACAAACGTCTTTTGTGCCGCGTGAAAAAAGACAATTTCCGAAGAAACATAGGTACGAGAGTTGCTGGCCACGGTCGATCCATCACACATGAACGTGTACCCCTTTCCGGCTCATGCCGTTTCGGCAGCGTACCCTTACTTTTTTCAATCTACCAGGTGTTTCGCCAGGACACGTCGCATCATGCATGGGCTACCAAAAACTTAGCCTAAATTCTACGCTGAAGCACCTTTAGTAAGACGACACTCTGAAACTGTACTTGTTGTTATGGTTGTTGCTGTTGCTGCTTGTGCTATAGGCGAACCAGCAAATTTCCTCCACTATAAACCTGCAAATCAACAGATCAATAGCACCCATCTACCAACAAAAGTAGTTTCACCTTTTCTCGAGAAGCGTGTCTATCGAAACCATTGCCTCGTCGCCCCTGAGCGACATCTCCATCCTCCTCGCCACCAGTGCACCCATCTCGTTACCAGCTGTTTCGTAGTTTTCCTCGGCTTCCTTTACCGCCGCTCTGGCTGCCTCAAAGTCTCTCTCCCTACCGCCGCCACCACCCACCCCAACGCCGCCATCCCCCATCACCGGAGCCAGCCTTTGCTCGCCGTCGACCCCAATGGCAGGATTTGTTCCTGTTTCGCTGCGTTGTGCAGTGGCTGCGGCTGTGGCCATGGCGGTGGTGGCGAAAGCGGTAGAGGTGGCGGCCGCTGGTGGAGCAAGGCTGGAAGCTTTGGCAAGACAGCGATCGGCGACTAGCCCTGCTCTCAACCTTGTTGCCGGGAGGGGAGGGGTCGAGATCGCGGTAGATATGTTTTTATTAGTCAATAGGTTCGCCAGACCGGTACCTTTTCCCAACCAACGTCACAATCACAAACAAATCAACTATGCATACAACTTGTGCTGTCAACAGAAATGGTCACGTATGGCTGCGGGGCACATGGGTAAGCACTCCCGTCCGTAGGTCCGCCCGCCCTCCCGCCCGCCCGTCCATCGATGTATGGCATGAAACCTTCGTTAACGTCTTGTTACCTGGCCGCCCCGTCCGCCTGCTGCGCGAAGCCTTGCCCGTCGTACGCCTCTTTTGCCTCCGCTAGGAGCCCAAGGCACCTCGAAGCAGTCTCCGGGCTCAGCGCTCCGCCGGGTCCCGGCAGCTGTTGTTCGCCCCCTTCCGTCCCCTTTGCACCTCTGCCCATTTCGCCTTTGCTAGCTACACCGGTGGTGTTCTTGTTGGCACTTGTGGCGTGACTTGCTGTAGTAGCAGTCATGCGAACGGTGACGACGCCCGCCATGGTGGCGCCTCTTGTGTCCACGGTGGTAGAACGAACGTCGCGCTGGCCTGTCTCCGTGCTCGGAGACACCATTGCCGTTGCGGCTGCAGCGGCTGTAGCGGATTGTGCCGAGCTTACTCCGAAGGAGGCCCAAAAGGCGGCCATGAGCTTGTCGCCGCGCTCGAGAGCCTTGTTGCGGGTGATGATGTCTTCTGTCTCGGACACGTCGTCCAGGAGGTCCTTTGGGTTTCGGGAGGTCGAGAAACATTAGCAGAGGAGACGTTCAACGAATCATTAGGATATGCATCACGGTGAGAGAGCTGAAGCGGAGCGATGTGAGTAGTATGCCGTGCATGTTTGGGGCATACTGATGAAGAAAGGTGCGAGATGTGCAACCAACAGGCGCTGAATGAGGTAACCTTTGTGCTCCCGTTGGTATGAATAAATAAATTGCTGCGTATGAACAAACACATCGCTACATATTTTGTGAGTATATGCGACGATCCCCATCAAAACAATTCCCACCATAAACGTACAGGAGCAATTCGATGATCTTGAGCAAGCGACAGCAGCACCTCTCCGGGGCACGTAGCCCCCATCAAGAACATACAAAACCACGTACGACGACGTCCTACCTCAACTCGATGGCGAACGCCCAGGTGAACAGCCATCCTTGGCTTCGGCTTGGCGCTGCAATTATCCGGGCTGGCGGGGGCCGAAGTGGAGCGACGGACCTTGACGAGCAACGCCTCGCCCTCGTTCAGCTCTTCGACGGACAGAGAAAACCCCGTGACGTCATAGTCATTTTTCTTGTCATCGCCAATACTAGCGGCAGCACCAGCACCAGCGGTGGTACCTCCTCCGGTCGCTGAGGAAGGGCTGCTGCAGCAACGGACGCTACTACTGCTCTCGCCGCCGCCATCGCCGCTCCGACACCTGCTGGTTGTACTGCAGCAGCGTGCGGTAAACTCAAACACCTCTCGGGCGCTCACGTTCAGCTGCTGCGCTTTGTCTAGCATGCCCTGCGTCAGGTTCGGTTTTCGAGTCGGGGACGGGGAACGGGGGGGGTATGTGTGTATGTGTTGTCATTCCCCTGCTGAAGTTACCTATACTCGCTACTTCACCCATATCCAAAACAAATAATATGGTTGCTCATGTGCGATAGGCTCGCCGTTACCGATATCGCAGGTGTATCTGAAGAGTTATTTCTGGTAGGTAAAGAACGACACGGTTGGTGTACACAGACAGCAACAGTTATTTGCACGAAAGCTTAAGCTTCACACTTGACAACACTTCCCCGGTGTCCTTTCTTGCCACCACCGGCATCCCGCGAACCCTCTCTCATGTGTCCGCAGAAGCGCGTTGAGCCGAACGAGAGACGACACCGAGCCAGTCTAAATTTCGAAAACACCCCATTCGGTCACACTTGTATGGGTCTCGCCTGTTCAAGGGCCCGAATGGATTTGGTGTGGGCCTTCAGGCCGTCTAGGGCCGCCAGCTCCGCCACGATGTCGACTGGGTCCAGACCACCGGGAGGCGACAGGACCTTTCCCGCGCGCGCCAGCGACGGGCTCACGAAGGGGAGGCTTTCCGGCAGCATACACAACCACGCAGAAAGGCAGGCACACCATCCCCACAGCATGCGAATGGGGCAAAGGGACTTACGTCATGGACGATCTCTCAAGGACAAACAGCCAACACCGAGGAAAAGGGAACAAAATAGCTATAAAAAATCCGTCAATAAGTGTCGTATCTCATCGAAATTGGGCATTTAACTCGTATGACTCGTTTGCTCTGTAGAACCCAAACACACCCTTTCGTCGCGTCGGAGATGAAGCGCTTGGTTTCTTTCATGAGCTGCGACGCGGACGCGTAGTTCCGCTGCTTGAGCGCGTCGGTTGCTTGCATCCACCGCTGCTCGGCCGACAGCACAAGCTCCAACGCGGCCCTCACTATGCACACCACCTATTTTCGCATGAACCGCAGGGGCGGAAGCGAAGGCACAGAAGCAAACACACACGATGCACGATAAGAGGGGAAATGGGAATGGCTGGGGCATCGCAATACACGTTAGCTCGAGCCTCGGTGGGCACCGTGTGTTACTTGCCGAAACCTGCAAGGCAGAACACATGACGGTTGCATCGATGAATGCATGCTTCCGAACCGCCGCATACCTTTTTCCCGTCTTGATCCTTGGCGACCTCGTATGCCGTCGCGGCCTGGGACAGCTCCGAGAACAGTCCTGAGTAGTCCTTCGGCGTTAGAAACTGCAGCTTGCTCGCGACACTCTCCGTCAGGCGATCCCCGCAGGTGGCGTTTTCCCGCATCTTCCAGTGGGCGGGGGGCACGCAAAACCAACGACGAAAAAGCAGGAAATGAAAAACATTTGAATCAGAGACGTACCGAAAAAAAGGCACACGTATACGCACAAGATCCTACGGCGGCGAGTATGACAGGAGTCCTAACGACTGAGACAACCGCATTTCCATAACGATGGCATTTTGCACCTTGATGCTACGGAAGAAACTAACGGGTTCTCATTGGTGCATGCGCGTAAACGTAGCCAATGCAGTTACGGGAAATTCACTCTTCACTTACGTCAGATTGTTTCACGGTTCGGTAGAACCTGCAAAGCACGACCACAACCATGCTCCCTCTCCTGTAGGTCCATAGGAAACGTCATCCGTCCCATGTCTACGGCAAATAGCAAGTACATCTGCGATGAAGAAAAATCGCTCTAATACAACGATCGGATGGCTATAAACTGCTGTCATCATCACCTCGACTTCAGACTCAACGCTGGTAAGCTTCCGCAGGTCTTCCTGCGCATCTCCCGCCCAGTCAAAGCACCGACGAGCATCGTCCAGCCGCAATCGCGCCTGGGCGTACTTACGCTTCTTCGCAAGTGCCGCCGCCGCCTCCCGGGAACTGCGACCGTCTTCCAGGGCATACTCGCGGCAGAGACGGCGGGGTTGTCGCAAGCGCTCGTATGTTCTCTTGCCTGCGTCTCGGCGGTCGCTTCGATGGGTGGCAGCATGTTCGGTAGGGGTGACAATGGGCAGGGTGGGGAGATTGGGTGTCTCGACCTGTCCGCTCTTGTGCTGAAAGCTCCGTGAAGTAGCTTCGCTTGTTGCAAGTCGGTTGCATGCTTCGTGTGGACATTCAAACCCAATACCCATGTAAAAGATAAATATCGAGGAGGTCAACCGTGCCAATCCAAATCACACATTCATACGCAGGTGACGTGCGTACACACCTTGCGCCTAGAGAGTCGTGTCGGTTGATTTTTCCGTGGCGTGCCAGGACAGCGAAGTAGTGAACTGCCTCGAACATCAGCTCTTGCAGGCGATCGTAGTCTCGGGACTGCAAACCGCGAAAAGCAACACGGTGCGCAAGCTCAGCGACAAAGGGTTGACATTCCTTTCGGTCAAGTAGTTCGCTGGTGCACGGCGATCATAAGCAGATACAACGTGTATGGGGCGAGTATTAGTATTGCCCGGCTTGTGGAAGCATGCGTTTCCTGTGCTTTCACCGCGCCCTTCTTTTGGACTGTACGCCTTAAGCGGGTGCAGAAGAAGAATTTGATGTTGACTAATTTTGAAAACAAACGCAAGAGCACCAGAAATTGCATAACAGACACACCAGACCAGTCGGAAGGCCTCACGAAAAACAGAAATCGTTGATTCTCGCTCAGGGCGGCAGCAGAGGCTGCTCACAAGACATACAATTCACGCGTCTACCTCCACGCGCCTCCTTTGAAGTCAAGATAAAATTTCACACCATTCTAAATTCTAGTCAATAGTCAAAACGGAAGGCGCTCAAACAAGGTCAGTATTGAGGGTTACGTGGCGCATTCTATCGGCATCAGTAGAGGACATCATGAAGAGGCACATCAGCTAATGCTGTAAACCCGCAGGGTTTTACGGTCCGTGGTGGTGAGCACGGCTGTGACAGATGTTGGATGCCGCTTGGTTCAGGCGCAGATTTCGGGCCGTTTTTAGGGGCTGCTGCGGCCTTCGATATTTCAGCTCCAGCAGCAAACCCGAACGTGCCAGCACGCACGACGCCTCTTCATAGTGTCCTCTACTGATGACAATAGAATGCGCCACCTAACCATGGCGAGAAGGTTGTTTTCTTTCCTTGTATAGGATTGAAGTATGGGAAAAAAGAGCCAGCGTCACAACCCCGTTTCTGCACCCCCTTAATCACGCCTTCGCCACCAGTCATTTTTCTTGGTTGCCCTGACTAGAGGGCCTTATTCCTCGGTAGTCCTTGCAGGACAGCGGGGAGTGCCGATAGTTGACTACGCACTGCACACAGCCTTCTGCTGAACGCTGCATGAAGCACCCACTGCTGAGCCGTTTGCTTTTGAGGGCACATTTCGCAACGCAGCTCCCCCACGGCCACCTCCACTAACCTTGCGTGCCATCTCCATTGCCTCCATCACAAAGTCGGCTTTTATCTTGATGAGCGTTTCGTCCACTTCGGATGCTCCGCTCGCGTCACCAGCGGCGCGAAACTCAGCTCGCGCCGACTCTAGTAGCTGTGAGGTGGTGTTTAGGTCCCGCCGATGCAGGACGCGACTCTGAATCGCGAGAGAGCACTGTTTTAGATTACGAAGGGTGTAGCTCATCCAGAGGAAATGCGTTCAACCTGCTTCCGAAATCAAGGTGCTGAGTGTGGTATGCGCTCTGCTCAAGGTTGTAGAGGACGTCTGCTGCAGTTGAAGGTATTGGTGGGTACCAGACACCAGGCAAAGCCGAGCGTACGAAAGGAACGGAGGGAGTAACGGCCAATATGATGTTGTTACTGTCGACCCGAACGGACTTCACGTACCACTTGTGAAAGAAGGCAACGTCCTTTTACGGACGCTAGTCTTCGAGCCTTTGTTCTCCTTAACTCCTGGCGCTCAATGGTGGATGGGTCCACCTCTTTGGTACCGGCGCCGTTCTGTTGGTCCTCGTTCAGGCAAGCCGATCAATGGTATACGAGAAGATGTTGGACGGTATGCTAAGACGGCAGCGCATTTGGTTACTGTTGGCTTTTCCGTGGTCTTACAGTTTGCCATATGTTTAATGCATATGGGACACAAATAAAAAGCTATGCTTACGAAATCCTGTTACTCTTAAAGAACAAGAACAAAAGCAAACGTAACCTATCTGCATACATGTAGGTTACAAAAGGCTCGACAATCGCGAAGAAAACACGCAATAAAACACCCAATCATACACCCGTCCCACCGGCGGGGGGCATGGAAAAATATTGCAGTACACGACTTCGACCTTGTAGTGTCACCCGAACGATCGAATAAAACATGACAGAGCTGTACTGTGCTCTTCACTAAACCTAGTCCATGAGAAATGCTTATTGTCATGGAGGTTTCGTTTGGCCCTCTACCCCCCACAAGGTCTGTGGACTCACCCCACGATCCAGCGGACCCATCCATGGCTCTCGATTCGTCCTTGCGGAATCACCCCTGGCGCTTGTCTTGGTTTGATGTTCTCCTCTGCCCACCTTCGCAGTCCCTGTTGGAGTGCTGCAACCAATGATACCGCTACCTATCGTCTTATCGATCTCTACCGCCGTGCCGCTTGCTGTCGCCAACGCCCGTGCCCCATGTACAGCGTGACGACCTCTCGCACGCCGTAAAGGGGTTCCGGGCACAGACCCGTACCCGTAGGCCCTGATCGACGCCAGCGTGGATATTTGTGCATCCAGGTCTGCGGTATCAGCAAATTCTGGGGACGACGGGCGTGGATTTTCTGTTCCTGCTGTTTTTGCTCGTGTCCCCGTCGCAACGGCACCGCATCGTGGTGACCGAGCGGGGTCCGCCGGTGGTGCGGTTGCGACCCGCGGGAGCATGGCGCCCGGCGTGTCCGACGAGTTGTCATCGGCCGCCGGTCTACGACGTTGATGCCGTCTTCGCTTTCGGCCTTGCGGAGTTGCAGTAGTTGTTGCTAGGCTCATCGTACCCACTGGAACCAGGGTACAGCACGACACATGCGGAGGAGAGTTGCACTCCAGGGATGCGACGACGCGGCGGAAAAACGCGGGGCAACGTTTCGATATGTTACCATTCGGAAGTTTTGCGGTGTAGACTATGCGGCCCAATTACCGAGCTGTCCCGCTGGTCCCCGGCCGGCTCACACTGCGCTGCATCTCTCCTCTTCGAAACATTGACGTCACCTGCATAGAACAAAAGGAACCGCCGATGGCCCCTCACGAGCAGAGTCTTGGCGCGGTGGGTGTGCCCAATGGATTGGACCCAATGTGGTGAGTACTGCGAGAAGGAGACTTGTCAGCGAAAGATCGCACCGAACGGACAAGATCGCTGTCAACTGTCAACACTGCTGCTGTCCAAAATGGACCGAAGATTATAAAATCATCTAGCAAAATATATTCACAGTAGCGGTTAAACGATAAGCTAGACTGTGCCGGTCTAGAGCTGCGGTGTAGAGAGCTGTCGGAGTCTCGAATCGTGGGCCAAATACACCCAGCACCTCACGTACAATAGACTAGTCCTGTAGAGAATGTACGGCAGCCTACTGTTGTACAAGGACTCACGGTCGTAACTACCTCACACGCCTCCTCTTCCCGCCACTCTCTTAGCACTCTAGCTCACACTATACAGTGTGCACATACATTCGAACTCTTGCAAATGCTTTAAAAGCATGCATAGTCTACAGTCTACCGTCGTCAAAGCGAAATATTCAAACATTCAAATTTCTTGAAGCCGGCCAATACACCTGTAATCTCATGGGATTGGGTACAGATATGTTGTAGAATCCAACCGGTTGGTTCATTTCATAGATATATTTTTTAACTTTTTGAACCTCTGAAGAACACCTTCGCCAACAGAAATACAAGCAAAAGCGCAAGTTGCCCCATGCTTTTCATGCCAAGCTGTACTACCATATTGTCATGGTTGCCGGGCGCACTACATACATACCGGTATGTATGTATTTTATATTATTATTTATGGCATCGACCGCGCTAGCCGGCTGACCAATGAAAATACGTTAGTCTCAGTGCGGGCGAAAACCAACAACACTTCTAAATGCCATCAACTGGGACCCCGTGAGGAGGCGGCATGGGGGAGACTAACCTATTCTCCGGATCAAAGGCAGAAACGGTAGCAACAGAAGAAAACTGCACACGTCTACGAAGGCTGCTACCTTGCACTCGAGTTCGTTTTGGAGTGCTTTCACCGCCATCCTCCTTGCGTCCAACTCCATCGTTTTCATGGTCATTTTCATAGCAACTTCTCGACATTTCCTCTTGTAGCTCTGCTTCAATTGTGGTGGGGAAGGTCATGTGACTCGAAGCTCGTGCTCTCTTCCACGCCATTATCCCCTCCTCGACTGCTGCTTTGGTCTCTGTCTTGTCCTCCTAATAAGTATGTGCGTGCAGCCGAGAACCAAATCAAGCATCGCAATGTTCCGGGATAAAACAGAGCACCACAAACTGGGCGGCTCGAAAGAAACGGGGCACGCATACCGTTATATACAATGTGTGAACTACTCACAGATAAAGACGATCACGATCTTCATCGGGCCGATGCTATCTTCACGTCTTATTGCAACGACCGCCAGGTACGCTATGAGCAAGATGCGTCGACGCAAGTATAGCGATTGCGTCAACATTTGCTCCGACCTCTTGTCCAAGACTCCGCGAGATCAGGTACCCGGGCCGTGTGAAGCACTGGATTGACCGTACTGGACCCCCAAGTGTTTTACATTGCTTGTGCTACTTTGAGGCACTACCCTCAACCATAACAAGAGGGTGTAAAATATCCACGTAATCAGGAAGCGCATCCATTGGCTTCTGTCGTATTCAATACGTCGCGGTAGTTATCCACACAGAATATGAATTTCCACACGTATTCTATGGATAAACGAAGGTCTGAATCCACGTGCAGCTTGTTGTAGGGCTTCAACAGCGGGCAGTAGCCAGCACTCGAAGCTTACATGCAATACGTAGTGGCTCGTGCGCAGCTTCGTCTAATGTAAGACGTGGGCGGTTGCTCTCTCAGGCCATCTGGTACCTCAAGTGCCGTGCTCTGACGCTGGAACAGTACCTGGACGACACCGAAATGGAAGAGCAGGTGCGAAGAAATTTCGATACTTTTATTGATTTCTCCCCAACTAATTGTGTCCACCCACCATAGCAAGACTCCGCCCCACAACCTCTTCTCTCCTCTGCCGAGAAGAAGTGTGATCCGGGAAAACGCGTAAGGAACACCTTGCAGTACCCCCGCAGCCGTACTTACGGGAAGTTTGTTTGTTCTTGATCGCGTCCTTACATCTTTCTCGCTGTTCCGCTTTGTCAGTGTACTGTTAGAATCCTTATAGGATATTGCTGCGTCAGAAGAAGAATGCGTTTTGGTGGGCACCAAGGCATCGATGGTTATTCGCCTCCTCTGTTCTCGGAATACGACGTTTGCGTGCCATGTTTCCAAGGGTGCGGCCGAGCTCCTCATGGACGACAACGCTACAGCGGAGGCTCCTCGTCCCGGCACGTCCCTCAACCGTCCCATGACAAAGGGGGGGCACAACCAGAGCATGCGGCCGATGACTAGGTGACGTGGCGCCGCGTCGTTTACGGCCCTGGGGTGTTGTGCTGCTGTGGCGCCTGCCTTCGCGCAGGCATAGACCTTTTCGAAACAATCCACCGGACTTGCTACTCTGCGGGGAGTGATCATTGCCCCCATGTGGCGCGTTGGACATGACCTAGTGGAACGTTGATTGCTCTTGCAGTTGCACGCTGGAGATGTGTCTACGGTTTAGTCTGTTGGTGCACGTGGAAGGGTTAACTTGGTGTCGGCGACACGCAACCATTTCAAAATACTTCATCCTATCTTGTCCTCTTCTCCTCTCTTGAACCTACCCATCTTCCAAGAACCATATATGAAACACAACTAATAATCTAAACGTGTGGTTCCTCTCTGGATCTGCGCTCTGTTTTCTTTTGCCACAATGCGTTCTTCGTTTCCTTTTCCAGCACTGGCCGGCCGTTGACCGGGTTTCAGAGGCCCGGCATCACTGTTCGGCCGGTGAGTGGCCAGGCGATGGACCTGACAACCGCAATGACCGGCTCTAGGCCGGCAAGCTCTCGGCCCCTGACTTCCATGGGGAGGTGAGGACATGTTCGACAAGGAGATGGATGCTTGCTTGGCTTGAGCTGTAATCGCTGCTGCAGAGTTTACGAGTGCGACGACACCGGCAGCAAGCGTGGGTGGGAAGGTAGATCTGCCGCTGCCTGACTACAAGTAGTTGGCAGACTGGTTATATCATGCCGAAGTATAACGGGAGGTGGGATCTGGAAAATATTACGAGTGGGGGTACGACGGTAATTTCGTGCGATGTAGTCCAATGAGGACGCGTGACTGGGGTACACAACAGCTAGCTGAATGGTTCGACGAGGAACAGAACAATCCTGTGTGTGCAAAACCAGAACTTGCGTCTCGTGCCAAGCCCTGTGCGACCTACCAATTCTCCCACCGCAGGGAGGTTCGCCTGGGGACCGCTAGTATGGCCCTCTCTGCGGGTAGCGGGGAGGCGGGCGGGCTCTTCATCGACAGTTCGCGGCTGGACCTGCGACGCTACGCGCGCCGGCCCTCTCTGGCGATGGCGCTCGCCGACTACCTCGTCTTCGTAGAGAGGAATCCGCGAAAGGTGCCTCCTACTAGTGGCAAGAGAAAACGACACTGCTGCTGCTGCTACTGCTACTGCTGCTGCTGCTGCTGCTGCCTTCAAAAACATGCGCTTCTACCCGGTAGAATGCCTCAACTGGTAGATTTCGAAGGGATCAGTTGGACCCGGCAGAGCCTCGTCACAGCATAAATGGTAGCACCGCCGAAGCACGTGCAAGCTTGGCTTCTCGCGAGAGGGTTGTGGAAGAAATTTACAAGGGTTGCCGCGATATAAGTGAATATTTGACAAGCGCGCCGGGAGACACACCTGGAGGCGGCGTTCTGTGCAACTGGTGTACCATGTCGTGGATGTTACGGTGGAAAATTCTCTCACAGTCCCGCGCTTCTGATATGATAAACCACAGGTTCGGTGTCAACCTCCCGTTCATTCTGGCTTGGTTGGTCTAACATCCTGCGCGTGCGGCGTGTCCGTACAAAAGGTTCTGAACGTTTTTCTTTGCGCCTTCTTCTGCACCAGGCGCTAGACCTTGCGGCGGAGGCAACGACTTTGAAGGAGTTCAAGGACTGGTGGTGGAAGGCGAGGCTAGGAAAGTGCTACTACAAGCTTGGTGAGAGAGGATGATCTTCGCAGGCGGTCGGGAGCCCCCGTTTTCGTTTTTGTTTTAGGCCCTCTTGTACGCGCGAAAACGACGCATCAGATCGCCCGATGTCGAGATCGAGCGGAGTGTATGACACTACACTGGCGGGTTTTGCTCGAAGAATCACCATGGAGGTCCTCCACTCCTATCCCGATTTCTTAAAAGGGTCGCCCGTAGTACAGCGTCCATTCCATACTGTTGTCGAGTACTTTTGACATTCACCGCCCCCCGCCCCCCACTGAAATTATATTCAGGTATGCTTCGGGAGGCCGAGCGGCAGCTCAAATCTTCTCTCATGGACCAGGACATGGTTGTCACCTATCTCGACCTCGTCAAGGTACGGATCGGGGTGGGGGGGGTCCACGGCCCTCGGCGTTGTGCTTAAGAAGAACGGTGCTGGCATAGATTAGTCCATACTCCGTAGTACATCATACGAAAATATCTCTTTCCTCGAAAACGTGCATCGAAGGACGCGGTCGTGCCGAAGAACCACAACTTGTCCCCATTATACCCCTCACCCCTCACACGAGACGTTCCCTGCTCAGGTTTGCAGAATCCAATCCCCCCAGTTCGACCCGACCCTAGTTTACACTCTGTTTTCACAAGGACGCACTCATTTCCAGCGATCGATTGTTTCTTTATGTATACCCCCGCTCGTGACGTTAGGCATCAAACTGTGCCCTCCCCGAGTGCTCCAAGCAACTCGCTTCACTACGGCTGCGAACTAAAACAAGATCCGTTCAACATTCTGGTGCCCCCATCTGTTGGTGACGTATGCGCTCGACGACAGGTCTACACCAGGCTTGACCTACCGAACACTGCACTTGACCTCCTCCTCAAGGCCAGGTGATCGCTCTTGAGGTCATCTGTTGCTGGCGGGGACCGGGTAACCAACGCGTGCCTCCACGCTACATAGGGTTGGTCACTAACATCCATCGACGGCTCACGACAAAGACCTACCTTCCAAACCGCCAGTCGATTGGCCTGGCTTTCAGACGAGCCCAGCCGTGCTGTGTATAACTGATGTGCATCGGGAAAACGCACCGAAAGCATCTCGCCAACTCTGGCTCACGTTAACCTTGGAGTGGGTGATGGCTCCAGGTATTCCCAAATAGGAACGCAACAATGATCTTGAAAAGACAAGAACGATGCAACGAAGTCCCCCCCAACACTACATGTGATTATATGCACTAAACATACTATTTAGGAGAGGCTCCTTTTCCAGCTACCCCCTCCGTACAACCCTTTCAGGGCATGTCTATTTCCATTCCCCCGTCCGCTACGCGCAGCGAGCAGCACCCGAGAGAGTGCCGAATCCTGCTGGCCATCGCGAGGGTACATGATTTGCTCAACGACGGAGAAAACGCCTCTGTCTTCTATAAAAAGGTAAGTGCGAGCGAGAGGGCCAGCGAGCGGGCAAGAGAGAGAGAGAGAGAGAGAGTTGAGACAGACAGACAGGCAGACCGACCGACCGACAGACAGACAGACAGACAGACAGACAGACAGACAGACAGACAGACAGACAGACAGACAGACAGACAGACAGACAGAGAACACAATTTTGTCGAAAATACAAAATACGACTGTGTTCGACGGCGAGGGTGAGCATTCACAGCACCTGCGCACCTCGCACGAACTGTGCCCCTTTTACACCACCCTCCCAGAACATCCGCGCCCGTTGTCCTCTCGGGCCGCCTCTTCTTTGTTCGGAACATGGGGTTGCTTGAGCAGGTGCTTCGCCTGGACGCTTCCAACGTCGAGGCAATCGCAAGCCTGGCCGCCAATCATTTCTACGGAGGTAAGCACCATGGACAGGCGTGGTTGTTCGGGGGGGAGTAAGCAACATTGGGCGTGCTGTGACCAAGAGGACGTTTGGACTAAGTATGGCGGAGAGAGGCTCATGCAACACCATTTTTTGTGGAGGTTTCCAAGAACCATGGCTTCGGAAAAGTTCTTCAAGTAGCACCTGCCTGCAACTTTCTTCTTCTAAGACTGCCGTCCGGTCAACCATGCTACACAAAGACGGAATCGACCTGCCCAATTCCAAGTCTCAGTGGCTTGGACACACAAACTTTGAACGCTCGATCCCTTCCCAGGGTCGAAAACGAGTTTGTACGTCGGGTAGACGGTGTAGACGGTGCTCCGTCACGAAGGAGCCCTCCCCTATCTTTGAACGTATTGCATATTTCTCATACCAAACACCAAATACCCGAAGCAGACCAGCCGGAGGTGGCCCTGCGCTACTACCGAAGACTGCTCCAGATGGGGGCAAACAGCCCAGAGGTGTGGCAGAACTTGGGTCTCTGCCTCTTCTACGCCGCGCAGTACGACATGGCCCTCAAGTGTTTCGAGAGTGCGCTCGCAGCGGCCTCCGACGACACCGCGGCGGACGTGTGGTGGGTAGAAAGGGCAAGCGCACGTAAAGTCCTCGCAGCTTTAAACGAAGTTTGCGGTGACATGAGAAAATATTACGTCGCAGGTAGGTCTGCTTTCACATGGTAGTTTGCCACGTGCTAGATTGAAGAAGAGAAGGAGGGATGAAGGGGAGTAGGAGCCTTGACAAAATCTTTTGATCGCGGTCTACGCTGAAATCTCTCTGCGCCGACATTTCCCCCGGCAGGTACAATGTTGGTCACGTGGCAATCGGCATCGGAGACTTAGGGCTAGCGTACCAGGTGAAGAATAAATGGCCCCGACAAGAAAGGAGTACAGTCTGGCTCAATTGGCAGAGGCCCAATCGAAACAACGACCGAGGATCAGGATGAAATCGTGCCCCACAGATGGAGTCGTTACGATTGAAAAATTTTCGTGTTGTTATGATCAATATCGCACGCGAAACCGAAATCAAACGTTTCCCACTGTTGGTAACTGTTGACCGTTTCTCTTTCGCTTAATGGTTCGATTTTCGCTTGTCACCGGCTCTCGTCCGTCTCGCCCTCTAATGACTCCCAGGCCTTCAAGATCGCGATATCGGTGGATAGCAACCACGCGGAGTCGTACTGTAATCTAGCCGCTCTCGAGGTTCGAAAACAGGTGAGGCGCCAACGCCTGGTCGATCGAGTGTCGTTGGTGGTTGTTGTTGTCGTCGCAACCTTGTTTGCACTTCATGTAATCTATGCAAATACGAAATTTCTGCCCTTCGCGCAGGACCTTCACCAAAATCCGTGCTTGCTTATCGTTTGATAAGATAGACAAAGTTCTACGCAGTTGGGGGGTTCACACAACAGATATATATGATCTTCCTAAAAACCGTGAGAGTCTGAACCCAGAAAACGACACGAAACGCAGAAAGACACGAGGCAGACACTGGCCTTAGCGGAGAATGCTTAGTGCAACGTGATGGCGTCTGACACTTCGTTGACCCTCTCGGCTGCACACGGCTATGCGCCTGCATACGTCGAACACTTCGACGTACTCGTCTATACCCGAGATGTGTGTCGTGGGTGTGTTGTTTTGTGATGCATTATATGGACTCGTCGCTCGTCTGTTTCCCGGAATGCGTCTGCGCCGCTGTTGTTGTGCGCGCACTCACTTGCCGCCAATAACTTGATAAATCTTTCTGGACATTGCTTGCGTGTTCAGAACCCCGAAGTCGCAAGGTCAAACTTAAAGATGGCGCAAACACTGGCGCCGTACTTGTTCGAGCCCTTCTACAATGCTGGTGAGAAATATGTTCCGGTCACTGAGACGATGGGTGGAAAATAGACAAAGGTGGCACATGTGTACATTCTGATTGGGTACATCCATTGCTTGGATCGGCAGTTATATAAAGTGGTAGCCTACCAACTGCGGTTGTGTAGTTTGGACGTTGTGACGAAGAGACCGTCGTCAAACCGCTGCATACTCGAGATTGCTTGTTTACGCGTTGAGCTGGTTCACATCCTCTATCTTTTGCCCCCCTCACTTACACGTTCCACGCCGACTTCTGGCTTGGCAGCACTCTTGGCATATAGGAGCGGTGACCTACAAGAGGCGCACATGATGTGCGTGAAAGCTCTCGAGGTAAGCTCCAATCGTTCGAGTGTTTCGCGATCGTAGCGTGCTCTCTGTTGGTTGGTTGTTGGTTGGTTGTGCGAGAGAAAGGGGAAGCGAGTCACGCTGGGACCGCCAGTGGTTGGAGCGCACGATGGGCACGTCACCATCGCACAAAATATCCACGGTTCACGTTGTCACCATGCTCAATCCGCTCGACAATCACACACCCTCCCCCTCGATACTGCATGCAGGTATACCCAGAGCACGGGGATTCAAAACAACTGCTCAAGACTCTTCACGATCACTTTACCGTGCTCTAGAGAGGCGAAAGGCGTGTTTTGGTGTCATCTAAGGTGGGGTCTCATCTAAAGAGTGGGGATCACAATAATACCCGTCGGCCGTGCGAAATCGGGGGATCTGTGGCCAAAAAAGGGGATTTCGTGGGCGAGGCCGGATACTCCAGGTGGTCCGCAGACTGTACAAGAGGGCCTAGGTCAAAGGCATGCACGCGAGTGTGTCTCAAGATTGGTAGCGATGTGCTGGGGTGAGAGAAGGGGGGGGGGGGTCGCCCCGGGGGCGAGTCACCCCGCCGCCCCCCAGATATCGACAGGAAGCACCAGTGGAATAATACCAATGCCGTGTCCCTGGAAAAAGCGCAAGCTGACTGACGACGTACGGACATACCGCGCAAACGACGGACGAGCCGTCATACCGTACCGACATACACCGGCACGACACACCCGTATGTGAAAAAAAAAATGGATGGCTGCGTCTTGTACGGCTGGCACTGGATATTCCAACAACATGTTCGCATTGCGGGATCTTCAACAGAGGACACCCAACAACCCATCACTCCCTTGCAACTGATTGGGAGCATGTTGAAAAGGGGGAGCAGCAGGGCTGACTGGCAGATATTTCAGCTGCTGCGGGCTCAAAATACGTCAAATTTTGTAAGATCGAGTATAATAACTTCGTCAACATCCCATACGAAAACCGTGCCTCGCAGTTTCTAGCCTAACCTGCCGCCTTGCCTCTCTAAGTGAACAACTCCGATCGTAGTCCACAAACAAATCTCAATCTTCTGCGGTTACGGTTAACGCGAGAAGGTTTCAGCCTTCCGCCAATCCCTCAAGTATGTACTCATGAACACGCGCTCTGCACGTCTGCAATATAGATACGAAACGCGGGCTTTACACACACATAGAAGATCCGCGTTCCTACCAATGACACCAGAGGGTTTTCGAGGGTACCACCTAAAACGTACTTCATGATTATCAAACTTGCACCACCGGCATAATATTAACAAGAGGCCGAGGGGATGCATACCCCTGGGCATTTCCACACAAAGATAGAGGCTTTCTTTTATTTTTGGGAACCCGCAGAACAAGGAGAGGGGACAATCAGAGGGCGGCAAATCCAGGCCACAAAATCGATCGGAGCTTAGCTCCATCGGAAAGTCGAACAAACAATAGGCCCACCAAACAAGCCTGCAACAAAAGCCATGATTAGGTGCATTCGTTGCCCCTTCATGTGTGGGATAAAACTGTACGCCAGCTGTCAGCCGCCAAAACGATTGATTTCTGAGACTTTTCGAACAAGGATACCCCGAACATCTCCTCGCTTAAGTACAACGCTTGAGTTAAAAGCTCGCTCCATCTCCTCTACATCACGACCGTTTAAACTTCACGCTTGTTGGCGCTCGACGCCAGCGCGCCTTCAACTACCGCTGTTCTTTGCGACCCGCCGCCATCCGGGAGTCGTCCGACGTTTCACCGTACCGCGTCGTCGCGCCGCCTTCCGCCCCCCCCCTCCCGGCGTCCTTCGCCCCTCCTCGCACGCGACGGCCGCCGGATTCGCTGTAACCACCACCTCCTCCCCCTTGTCCTTCGAACCTTCGCGACGGCGATGTTGCCGCAGCGGGCGGCCGCCGCCGCGGCCTGGGTTTCCCTGACACCCGCTCCCACTGCTGCTGCTGCTGCTGCTGCTGCTGCTGGCCGTCGCTGCGACCGCGCCCCGCCGCTGACCTCTCTCCGGCGGCCACCGCCCTTCTTCGTTCGGCCCCCGAAAATCCCGACGATCCCACGCCCTCGTAGTAGGGTTCCTCGTCCTCGCTTTCTCCGAAGTAGGCACCGAAATCTGGTAGCACCGTCCCAGCACCGCCGTTCGGAAGGCCAGCTTCTCCTTCTCCCGCGTGTGCTGGCGGCGCCGAGAAGCCGGTTTCTCCTCCTCCTCCTCCTCCTCCTCGTGAGGGGTCGTCTTCCAGCGGCCGCGTCTGTGTCCACGAGTCGCGGTAGGTTATCGGGTCCAGCTCCTCGTCTTCGTCGGCGTCCCTCCGCTGCTGCTGCTGCCTCCTCCTCTTCAGGTCGCGGGACGCTAATAATCGCCGCATCACAACCTGGCATGCGTGAGTGTGTGCGTCCCCGGTGGGCGGAAGCAATCAACGACGGTCGCCGGAGCATAAGCATGCACACGAGAGAGTGAGGTACATGGCCGCTCGTCCTCCGATCCACAAAATGACCACTACCAACAGCAGCCGCCATCTAGACTCGTTCACAACTCGAAAACATTCTCGGAAATCGACAACAGTTTTCGGGGGCAAATCGTACCCGAGCATCTCACGGGGTGTCAAACCAAGGGCAAAAACACGAACACCATGAGACCATAGGTCAACTCTTAGGGCTTTACACCTGAACATTTGCGGACCCTTCGGGTCAAATTTATTTTCGTGTACCTTTTTGGGGTAAGTTAGCCTGTGACCACGGGAATCGACCGCGTCAAGTGTTAGTTAGGCTAGTACGGACAGAAGAAGGTACTGGGTAGAGATAACGGAACGGTTTTAAATGTGAAGACAACAACAACAACAACAACAACAACAATTGTTAGAAATCTGCTTGAAATTCGCATAGCTGTCAACAGAATACATGCGCCGAATACTTTCATACAAAGCACCCCTTGTATTTCCGATCGCCGGCAACCGACCCGAGCGTTAGTTAGACCGACCCACCTTGTCAAGGTAAGGGTACTCGCCCACCCACACGTTCGCGGCCGGGATGAAGGTGTCCGACACCCCCAGGATCTCCTCGAAACGCTCGTCCGGGCTCACCTGGTCACGAAAACAAAAAAACGCGCACACACCCCAAGAGCGCAGACCGAGCACCGACACACACAAAAGCACGAGCACACGTTTCCGCCAAGCTTGAGAGCCAGGCAACGTTCTGACTACCGTGTCTTCTTTTGCGAAACGACTGGCCGGGCTTCACAGGCATTCCTGGTCATTAGCGGCTTCTTCTATTGTGCTATAATGGCCGGGCTTCGTGCCACTGCTGTTGACCGTATAGGCTCGCCTTCCATATGCACAAATCCACACGGGGACGCATGTATGGCGCGGCGCACCCACCAATCGTGACGTGTGCGAGCAATATAACGATGCGTATTCTCCTCTCAGCGAACCGCACAACCATAGCCTCCGGTGTCCACATGCCCCCCCCCCCCCCCCCCTTCCCCCCGAGCATGAGTACACCCCTCGCCCGCTTATTCTGGCTCTCCGTATCTCTCACCAGGATTGCCTCGGCTGCCATGCCCGGCCGTACGCGGGCGTACTCCGCCCTCGTGCGCGTCCGAAACTTGAGCGCGCGGCCGTCCTCGTCTTCGATCACCATGCGTAGGAACACGGGCTGCCCGGTGACCGGGTGGTACTGTCACGAAAAGCAAGAAGAACCCGCCCCCGCAAGCGCGAGTAGCAAAGGTGGGTTGTGTGCATTGAGAATTATTACCGCGGCGGGAAGGAAACCAAGGTCATGCGGCTCACGGGCAGTCGTGTCGAAACGATAACCAACCGGAACATCACCTCACACGCTCTAGCATCTCCACGTGCACGCCCCCTACCGTCCCGTGTAGCCTCAAAGCGAATGCACGGCTGTACCACACAAAAGCAGGTGGCATGTAACCCTTGGGCTATTGCGCACTCTGGGCTTGAGGCGTACGTATCGAGCTTTGAAGTGGATAAATCAGATAAGAAGACGGGAAAAAAAAATGTTTATTAAACTTTCGCTAAAACCCTACGCTCGTTCCTCTACGCGCTTGCTCAGTACCACTTGCAGCCGACGCGGCACAACAAGCACGCGCGCACACACAAACACGCACCTCTTCAACCGCGCTAGCCACACGAGCACTGAAGATGGCAACGGAGTTGCCCCTCGCCCCGGGAAACGGAGCGATGCTCCCTTTAAGCGCCCGATTTCGTCGGAAGGAGGTCACGTTCGGCGCCAGCAGCCAGTAGAAGAGGAAGGACTGCTCGGTTGTTTTGATTGCAGACCGATCGGTCGATCGATCGTCGGCCGGCCGAGAAAGGGTCGGGAGAGGAGGGTTGAGTCGGTGCGGCTGCAGTGCCCGTGCCAAGTTGGTCGCGGTTCCCATTTGACACGCACGGAATAGCGGTGCTCTAAAAAGGAAGCCGAGGCAAGCTTGTTAACAACTGCCTACCCTGCCACCTACCGCCGCTGCTGCTGCTGCTGCTTGCTGCTGGCGCTACGCTACATGTACCCCGATACGAAATCCCGCCGCCTAAAAATAGCGGAGAAAAATCGTCACCTTTGGCGGTGGGTATGCATACGTCTCACCGTTCCGATCACGGTCATCGTCGCCACTCCCAAGAAAAAGCTGGCGAAGTAGCACGCCCACAGCCCTAGGAAGGCCACCGCGGCCACCTCGAAAAGCTTGCCCACCCGCTGGGACGTCGGAACCCCCCCAGTAGTGCGACCACTGGTCACGCGTGGCCAGGACAGGAAGGACCATGTGTCCGGCATCCCCGGAGAGGCGTGTCAAGCCGCACCGCAGTTCCGATCGACGACCCCTGCCCAACATGACCACGTTGCCAACAGGCAGAGAGACGGGGGGGGGGGGGGGGGGGGTACTGCGGTAAGCTACGCGGCAGCCGTGGGGGAGAACGGTAAGCACCAATCAACAATGCGGTTGACACCGCCGTACCGACGATGTGTGTGGTTTTTTATCGACGGGCTCAACGGTTGCCCAAGGAAAAGAGGCGTCGTCAGCCTTACAGTGAATCATGCCATATCTACGCCCCAATAACGCTTGTCCGGCAGGGGGGGCGTGGAAGCGACTAGAAACGACGGGCTCAGAGTGCAGCAGTACTTGCAAACGCGGCTGCAAGTCTACTACAACAGTGATGAAGTCCCAGACGCGAAGTATGACCGCTGCTGGCTCTGTTGTATTCGAGACTACTCTGCTGTCTACTCATGATTATATATCTACCTGCCACCGACGACCAGCATCCCCTTCAGACCTCAGAGGGTATCGTGGACCCACCTTCTCTTCCTCGTCGTCCCAACGATGCTACCATTGGGAATAGCTAGCGCGGATTTGCGCGCTGCTGCTCGACTGCTGCGAGGTAGCTGCTGCTGTTGTTGCTGAGAGAGGGCAACAAAGGCACTCGTTGAAGAAGGACAGAATGCCGGCAGCACCACTCGGCTTGCGCTGACAATGCCGGCCGTAGGTGGTGCCAGTGCCGTGCACGCCATCGACCTATCGTATCGCACCAGTCCTCTTACTGCTGTCGCTGCGCATGTCTCTTTGATGGATTGTTGTTGTAGAGGCAGTCTCGTCGCTCGGGGGCGGCGCTGATTGAATGTGGGTTTGCTAAAGATATTACTCGAATATTCCGCTGGAAGAATCCGAATAATTTCAGGAGGCGTTCGAGGCAAACCACCACATCTCGTAATTGTTCGCAGCAGACCCTACCGAGAAGGCACCTATGCGACAGGAGTGAGCGGGAGAAAGGTGGACATGCGGAGAAAAAACTCTAACGACAGCATATTTGTTCTCTATTTGCCGCGCTTCAGACCCACTGGCGATCCCCACTGGCGAGGGGGGGATGGTTCGACGACCAACAAAACGGGTGTGTGGACGGCACATGACCGACCCTTGACTATAGCCGTAGCACCTCTGCTGTGACGACCAGCGAGTTAATATAACGTGCGTGATGTGCCGCGCTGAATAGATTTTGGTAATGCGGTGTGTCCCCTTGTGTCAGCGAGGTACATTTTTTTAGGGGAGGCAGAAGAGAATCGAACAGATATCTTGAGGTACATGGAGCCGAAAAAAATGGCAGAGGCTCGTGACTATCGTGATTGCGCATAAATGGTACGCTGCACAGCGCCAGTGTGGACCAACCTTGTCTGCTTGGGGCAAAAGGGCAGGCAGGACGCTTCTCTACCGCTGATTAGCGCCCGTGCAACAGGTATCGAAACGGCTGCCGCCAATTTGTTGACGTCTGCTGCCTCTACATGACGTGAAAAACGGAGTGAGCGCCTCACTTTCGCTCCTGTACCGCACCAAGGCACAGGGAGGACATGGGCGTTCCAACCCATGTTGGCGGAAACGGGTATCGCAGTAAAACCGCAAACACATTGCGGGAAAAACACGACGCCCACAAATCACAGTGGAGTCCGCCACCGGGCGCATGCGTGATAGCACAGCGTTGCACGACATGGACATCCTCGCGAGTGGGGCAGTGACCAGAAATATCGGGAAACATGCCCATCGGTAGCACAACCGATCTCGCATGTCTCACAGGCTGCGAGACCAACGCCGCATCCAACAGGCGACATGTGCACACTCCGACGCACGCTAAAAAACGTTGAATTGATACACGCTCGGTCGCAGAGCAGAAAGAGACACTACGAAAACCCGCGCGTGCATGCGACCCCTTGCGTCCCTCAGCGCCAAAAAGGGCAAAACACAGAGAGCAAAGAGAGAAAAAGAGGTTCATCGCCAAGCAACAGCCCCCCCCCCTCCTCTCCCCTCTCCGTGTCACACCCCACCCGCTTCATCTTGTACATGAACCGCCGGTCTTTTCACCCTTTGCACGCTCCGTCCTCCGAAGAGGATCGTAGGAGTAAAAGGAAGGCAAGGCCCGCAAAGCTCAAGCAAGACACCCCCAACGAAAACAAAGAAGACGAAAACACATGCGTGCGTCAAACTAATCAAGCACACCGACGTGTTGACGTCCTTCCTTGCTCCTCTTCAAGAGGTTTCAATTTCTCTCTCATTTTTGCCCCCTTCTGAGATGAAAGGGACAAGAAGGAGAGAAGAAAGGAGACCGAGATGATCTACTCCTCCACGTTAGTGGCGCGCGTGTAGATGACCTGTGCGTGGTGCGCGTCGACCTTCCTGATGAGACCCTTCTCCTCGAGCTCGCGGATGGCAGCCCGTGCCAACGACCCGTTAACCTTCAGGCGTTCCACCAACCCCGACGCAGTGATGAGCTTCATCTGTTGGTTGGCGTGTTTCCGGGCGCAAATAAAAAGCGAGAGCGAGAGCGCAAGCGACAGCGGCGTCGGCGGAACGAGGGGGTCACAAACAGCAACGTGGGTGCATGCATGATGGTGCGCGTTGTGTGTCACCGTTTGGATGGGCCGTGGGGTTGTCCACTGTGCGATATATTCTTCAATTGCTACTGTAATATTTGTCCCGGAACAATAAACGGTCTCAACGATAGGGGACAGCACGCCGCATGAGGAGGTCAACAGACCGAAATGCATTCGTCAATCGCACGCCGCATGTACACCTTGACACACGGAATAAGAACCGCACATTCCCAGAGACAACAAGCACAAGCACCAGCAGCAGGAAGAGGGTCAACACAGCTCCCGCTGCAGTAGTAGTCGATCAAGAACGAGAGCTTGTAACATACCAGACTTCACCCGGTACGGAACCCCGTCATTTCCGACAGGTTACATAGCATGTAGTTTCCTTCTTCGGGAAACGCTTAGCGAACAACGACATCTACGTGGACAATATTGGCAAGTTGGGCATACGGTGCATGCCAGCGCAAGAAAAAAACGCTCCCAGGTCTGTCGACCTTCCTAGACAAAAGCGGTTTCCTCATACTCTTAAAAGACAACACCATCCCACACGTAACAAAAACTACCCCCGGGTGCCGACAACCCTTCAAAGCTTCGTGACTCCACACAAAAAAATGTGACCGCCACCGGGAGCCGAACTACGCCAGGTCATCCACGGCCAAAGCCCGACTCGTAGACCGCTTTTCTAATCCCTCAACGTTTCGGAGATCCGGACGCCCAGAGGAGGGACGTCGTCCCAGAGACGACACAATCCCAACCCTGGAAACAGGCGGTTCAGGCGGAGAGGAGGACGCTCGGCACGCCGAGAGGTCGAGAGGGGAGAGGCCCCGTACACTATGTAGAACAAGACCGACACCGACCCTCCGGGACCTGATGCCTCGGAGCAGGAGACAACGAGATACACACCAAAAAAATAAACAAACGGCTTTTTCGACGCGAGAAAACTCGGCCGCCCAACTGCATTGATGACAACCCAAGGGCCTTGCCCACCTTATGGCATTCCCCACCCAACGGTCGATGCCCTTGGTGTATCATCAATGCAGTTGGGCAACCGAGTTCCCTAGGGTGGAATAGTCGTTTTATTGTTTCATGTGTGTATCTCGTTGTCTCCTGCTCCGAGACATCAGAGGTCTCCGAGCGTCGGTATGGTCTCTAGTTCTACGTAGAATACGGGGCGTCTCCCCTATGGACCTTTTGGTGCGCCCAGTTTCTTCTTTCGCCTGTTGTCAACGGTGGCGTTGTCTCCACGACCGCGTCCCTCCTCTTGCACGAGTTGCTCTCCCCTCGGCGTCCGGATCTCCGAAACGTGACTCGCAAATGCGGGCATGTATACGGTATCAACTTTGTCTGAAACTAGACGACCTTACGAGGAGCCCTCTCACCTTGGGCACCTCAGCCAGGCAACGGGTGTAGGTGTCCTCGTTGAAGAGGACCTGGTTGGCCACCTTCTCCCTGACCTTTCCCTTGGACCACTTCTGCTCTCGTCACAACGACCCCATGGACACACACACACACACACAGCGGCAACACGACGATATCCAAGCACACCAAAGGGAAAAAGAGACGCTAATGTCAGCAACACGTGGGCCTTGGCAAGGGAGACGCGAACGAATGGTACATGAAAAAGCAGTAGCGGGAAGTTCACGGGGAACAAGTGGTGAGGGCGCCGAGCCAGAACACAGTTTCAAAAACTAAACCTCAGCGTCACGCCGTTAAACCTTTGGGAGGGTAACCGAAGTTCTGGCCGTGTGAAGAAAATATTGGGTAAACACCAGTCAGACAGGTTTGTACCCCAGGCAGTTCACCTTCAAGGGTATATATGCACAGGCGCAGCACTACTAGAGTCGTCTTTATGCGGCATGACCATGGCTGCTACGGAAGCCCAATTACGAAATGTTGGCGAAATGTGGAGAATTTTGTGTCCGCTGTCTTTCTGCAACAGAGGATGCTACACCCGGTGTGTCGTTGGTGTTTTATGGCTTGCAGATGTGCCTGAAAATTATATGTGCTCTTCCAACCACCTGTGTAGGAAGGGCACGCTCACCGTTACACTGGCCCAACCCGGATCTCTCTCACTCAACATGGTACAAGTACAATATTTATCTTTCGATACGACAGTTTGACTTGGTAACAGCAAGAGAAGGGTACGTGCAAACGGCGTGCATGGCCGTGCACTCCACCGAGAGATTGTATGACATGCCCCGATGCGCTATCGCCAGGGGAAAGAACACTGCAAGCACTGCAAACCATTGCGGTACAACGTGCACCGCTCGCTGGAGCTTTGGACACGGTGGCACGCCTGGTGCCATTGGCTGCAGTAGACACGCGACGCAGATGTCTGATATACCAGCATCCGCGTATCGCATGGCTCACTCATACACTACCACACTTTGTGGATCACTGAAGCTACAATACAGCCCTCAACCATACCAGAGCCCTGCCAGCGAACACAAAACCGAAGCACTGGATATACACAAAAGCACCGTAGCTCTATCCTCGTTATCCAATTACACACCAACACCACATTTTCTAGGCATCGTAAGAAAGGGGCATTGTGGGAACCAAGCCGCCGCATCTGTTCTGTCTTTCTACGTTAACCGTCCAGCTTCATACTGACCTTCTTGCGGCCCTTGCCGCCGGCCATGGCGGCCGCCATCTTCTGCTCCTTCGACTTCTGCTGCGTCTTCGGCGGCTGGTGATTCGTGAGACATTAGCAGTGAACAACAGTGAGAGACAGGGGGCGTAGCGGGGCGTGTGGAGGGTGAGAACGCGGTAAAGAGAGTGTACAGGCTCATACAGCAGCAGGCAGCAGCCCACACGACACGCCCCACGCTACCACCGGCGCGGTCGACGCGCTCCTCCTCTGTACATTGGGTGACTCCTGTAAGTGGGTGAAAGATTAAGATTGCTGAACCCAATGTTTGACTGAGAGTACAGCAGTATGCCTCACGTGTGGAACATCAGCAGAAAGACCAAATCCTCACCTCGGCCATGTGCCATTACACTCTGCAGGTCGGACAACCAAACGGAGTTATCAACGACGCCTTTCAACTCTCTTGTCTTTGAAGTAGACATCAGGACGCGACAACAAGCTCGAGCGTGAGTGGCCGTGGGGTTACATATTTGTGGGGCAAAGGGCGCTGCTCAGACCGGCGCCATCCTTGCAAATCAGTCGACCGCCGTCCTCACGCTTCGCAGTTTCCCGGCATCCCAGCTCCCGACAGCTGAATAACAGAGTACAAAGCAGACCGCAGCTCTCTGTGAAAACTCGTGGTTAGCTTTGGGTTTGCTGACACTGGACTTCGCTGCGGTGCCCTCTGCTGCTCGTGGGTGTGTTGCACACCAAACAACCCGGTTCGGGCCACACTCCCATTCTCCTGCTCATGATCCGAATCAAGCAGCCCATGCGGCGAGCACACAGGCGCTGAAACGCCATTCCACGAGCACTGTCTACACTACTCACCATGGTTGCGGAGTGGTGTCGTTGCCGACGAAGGGGAAGGGGTGTGCGTCGTCGAGGCCGCAGGAGCCACCCGCACCGCTGCGGCTATGACCCCTCTGAAATGGGACCCCCCCCCAATATCCGCTCCATCGAGCCCCCAACAGATCTCCGAAGATCTCTTAGGATTTGAAAGACCTCCGGCGGGTGCGAGCGTACGAGCTGCAAAGCTGCAAGGTAGACGCGAGGGAGACCTCTTCTCTTCGAGCCCACTTGTGCTTCACCCACGTCATCATATCATGTCATAAGATTGGGCGAAGGCACACACCCTGCTTAGGTAGTGTGGAGGAACGAAGAAGCAGCGACGAACCGCGATCTACTTTTGTGGTATCCTGCGGAGACGCCGTTGAGGCAACCCCGCCGTCAGAGAGGAAAGGCGTGTTTCGAAAGCCCACGCATATAGCGCGCGATGTCGCTGTTTCGAGCCCGAGAATGGTGGTCAACCAAGCTCGGGGAAGGAGAAGAGTTCGACAAAGGATCCATGGCCCTGGGTAATGTTGACAACGACAGTATGGGCGGCGTCAAGGTTGTGACGGGAAGCTTTCAGGGAGTGCTGAGGGTGCACCACCCCGTGCAGGCCGACTTCCGCATCGAGGACCTCCTGTTGGAGCAAGATCTTGGCACCCCGATAATCCAAGTGTCCGTTGGGCGATTCATTCCGTGAGTTTCATAGTGACAGACGGCGAGGAGGTGTGGTTCGCTAACACTATGTGGGAGGCACTCTACGCACAGCGAGTGTGCTGTAGCAGTCCGCGCCATGTTTCTGTAAATGGACCAAAGTCCCGAATATTGTAGTCTATCGACTACGCTCGTCGAAACTCGACTTTTGCTGGAAGTACATATCGGTCTTCGCGTTCATATTGGCAGAAAACGCGAGGTTAGAGAGTAGTGTGCATCACAAACTGCGCCTCTGCTTCCGCCACTCAAGTAGCGTAGCATGCAAAAAAAGTGTCTACACGTGCACATACACTACGCGGGGCTCTGCTTCCGTCACTCAAGCAGCATAGCATGCAAGTGTGTCTGCAAGTGCACATACAAAATCGTTAACGCGGATGTACACGGTGCCTTGTCAATGCGGAATCTGGGGGTGTCAGCTCTGCTCCGCAAATCAACGCTATCGCGGTGCTTCACCCTCGAAAGCTCGGGGTTTATTCCGTGGAAGCCGTGGGCGGGACCGGAGCAAAGGCGAGCTACTTTGACCTGGTCAAGGCGTATGAGCACGTGCTCGGGATCGAGGGAGGGGGGCACTTCACCTCCTGCAATATGACGCACGGAGGATTTGGGGGCGTGTCACGGGATCTGCTGTGTGTGCAGAGTATGGATGGTCGCCTGCAGGTATGGTGACTGTTGGTTCTGTTGAGACGAATAGTTTTGCAGATGTTGCCGGCACAATATTGGTGTCGTAAGCTAATACTAAGGTTTGTCAGTTGAGCCTGCCGTTGTGGAAACCCTAAAAATGACGCTGCTGGCCAAAACACGAGCTATGTGCATATCCTTGCATGTTTCGCAGTTGATACATGTCGCTTCTAATAGCTGATGTGCACCTGTTGCGCACGACTCGCGGGATGAACACAGTAGCGAAGAAATAACCCCACGAGTACCGTAAGCGTGTACCATATATCTCAACACTTTTTCTTCCATAGTCTCATCTTCTCTGCTCCACGGTTCCGTAGCCTCTGTGTTCCTCTGGGGTAGACCACCTCTACCCGCGCCGCGTCTTCATAGAATCCTATCCGCCTCTCGCGTTCTGTAAAGATCTTTGAACAGGACGCGCACGCCTTCACACGGCGATTGAATGGCATATTGGTCCCTGGACCGTTGTGCTACGTGGCCAAAATCGACGCGTTTGTGGTCGGCAACAGCGAGATGGGTGTTGACTGCTACAAGTATCAGGTAAATGCACGGGTTTCGTGTACAGGTCCTTGACTAGGTTTTGCGAGCTAGGGGTATGGTGGAAAGTAATGGGGTGGACATTGACTGGTAGTGGACACGAAAGTCAACCAACCAACAAAAACAGCTGTGAGACACCAGCAGTTGGCGGCTGCTCTTCATCCAGAGCAACAGGTGTCATTTGGTCTATTTGCTCTGGTTGACATCCCAGCAGCTGGCGTTTTTGCGCCGCGTGCGTTCGGCCATGTACGTTGCCGCCGATCGAATCTCTCTCGCTCTCCAGTGTTCTCTGACGCATCCTTGATATCCTTCCAGTCCATCATCGAAAAAAGGAGCTGCGCTTGTCAATCCTCACACACATACTTCCTACTACAATTGAATATCGAACTTGCGAACACGCAGGCGCTAGCCGCCAGCCAGGAGGACCGAGAGAAAGGGAGAAGTGAAGGCATCTCCGCTGCCCGCGGGCTGCAGGCGTACTGGTCTTGCCAGCTGGGAGAAGCCGTCCTGGACGTGTTCGTCGCCAAGTTTAGCCGCTCGCTGGGACCCGGGTGCGTCGATATCGTCGTCGTGGGCGAACGCACCCTCTTCACGCTGCGCGAGCAGGGAACCGTGCGGCTGCAGAAGGTTCTCGGTTACCAGCCGGCGTGCGCGTGCAAGTACGTGGTCGTTGCCGGCCCCGGAGAGGAGGGCGCGGGGCTGACGGGCACGACGGTGAGGGGGATCGACGAGGGGTTTGCCACCGTCGTCGAAGAGGAGAACCTCGTCATCGCCGCAGATACTGACCAGCTGATGGTGTACAAAGTGAGTTGAGCGACAGAGCGGCGGCGTCGTGTGCAAGAACACTGAACTCATGCCGCGCAGCACTCAGTTTACGGCCTTCGAACGGGCCGTAGAGAGGGTGGGTCATGTAACGGCGGGGCGAACGTAACAACTGCAACGTTACAATTCTGCAATATATTCTAGGTCGATTCCAAGGAAACGATATCCCTGAGTTCACCTGTGTACTCTACCGGTGCAACAGCTACACCGCCTTGCTGATCCCCCCATGCGGCACATCGTCGGTCTATACCCAGCGAAGCAGAAGCCCGCCGTATTGTGACGCGCCGTCTTGTCTTTCCTCTGTTCCGCTTCTTCACGGCGGTTTGCTTGCCGTTTGTAGGACCTGCAGCTAGTGTGGCAGGCGACGGTGAGACGTGCCCCCGTGGCGCTCACCGTGGCTAAGTTTGGCGCCGTGCCCGGCATCGTGTGCAGCCTAGACGATACCGGGGTCCTGAGCGCTTGCTATCAGGGGACTGACCCTCCCACGTCGGCCGTAGTGGCTGCCGAGAGGAAGGACATTGACTACGACCAGATAAATCAGGAGCACCGGAAGCTGCTGCAGGTGGGTGCCATGCTAAACTTGACGAGGGGGGGATCTTCGGCGCAGACGCAGACCGCGGGCTGGGTGGGTCATTTTTCGGCAACCACGCCGTGTCGAGGCCCGTGAGGCAACGTCTACCTTTCACACCAGTTCGTTCTGCGACACCCTTTCATCCGCTTCGCCATTCGATTCCGCGTGTCGTGTTCTCCGCAGATCATCAGGCGGAGTCAGACCGACTCGGCGCGGCCACCAGCGGGCAAGCTAACCCTCCACGCGCAGGTGCCGCGGTTTCTAGACGACGCGAGAAGACAAGGACAGCAGCAGCAGCAGAGCCGGCGGGACGGTGATGGAAGGGCGGCGGGGGGCTTGTACGACGAAGACGCCCGACGGGGCTCCTACGACGGATCTTTGCGGTCCTTGCCGCCTTTGTCGGTGGCCGCCGCGGAGGGGCGCCAGGAGAAGCGGCATCAGGCTGGCGTCGTCTCGGTGACTGTGAACTTCGTGGTAACGTATTCGGGTCCCGGCGAGGTCCGAGATGCCACGCTGAATATCGTCCCACCACCGGGGTTCTCTGCAGAACCATCGTCGGTCCTGCTGCCTCCGGTCTGGGGAAGCAACGGGGGCGGAAGCAGAGATGCCGGAAGAGGAGGAGGAGGGGGGGGGGGAGGTAGCGGGAACGAGCCCATCGTGGTAGCAGTAGTTCTGAGCGCGGAGCGAGGGACGCAGCGGTTACCGTCGACTCTGGCCGGAGAGGCGTCGGTGGTGTACACCAGACAGGGGACGGGCGGGGACGGGCGGTGCGAACCGATGTCGGCGCGGTGCGCTCTGCTGCTCCCGCTCGCCTTGGCCGGGGAGGTGGTGGAACCGGTCCCCAGGAAAGGCGACGGCAACGCACACAAGTTCACGTTCAGCACCACTCGGCCAGCCGTGCCGCTTAGCACTTTGTTCGAGGACATGGCAACTTCGTCGCCGCCAAGAGGCGACGTTGGCGATGGTGCTTCACCGTCACCTCCGACCAATCGCGGTGCGAATTCTCTGGAAGACTCGAAATCGAATGGAGCTGGGGGGGGAACTCCGGCGGCGAGTTTCGGAGACAGCGGCGGGGAGGCATTGGTTCCCTGTAGCATTGGCAAGGAGAGCACGGCGTTCTCTCTGCGCTACTGGGCCGTCGGCGCCGGCGCCGAGGGAGGAGGCCAGGACGTAAGCGTGACGGTTTCGAAGAACTCTGGAAGGTATCGGGTACAGAGCGAGTCCCTGCCAGCCGTCTGCGTGATGGCGACAGAGGTGGTGAGGAGGCTCAGGGAGTACTTCGGCGACCCTGCCGGGGGTCGAAATCGAGGCGGCGAAGAACGCCCAGCGGCAGACGAGGGCAAAACAGGCCCGCATACGGGTGAGAAAATGATATGGGGCAGCCTGTTTTTCCTATCTGCTGGTGACCGCGCATCGTCGCTCTTGAAACATTCTACAGCTCCTACTCCGACTAGAGACAGGCACCTTCGGCATTTGGGGACTCGTTTGCGTGTTGGTCCGTGCTCAACAAGAAGCGCCGGCCGTATCCTCTTCCTGGTTCTTGTTGTCGGTCACCCCCTGTCTTGTACGATAGCGATCGAGGTGGTGGTGGTGGGAGGGGCTCTCGGGGTCCATATCACCCCCCCAAACGTACCGAGAAACAACGTTCGATTATCTGCTTCTTCGCTAAGAGCCAGCCTCTCTCTCTATCAACGAACACAGTGTAGGGCAAAACGCACATCTCGCCTGTATGAGAATACCCTCACTCTGTTACGTAAAGGTCCCTGAAGTGGTGAATACCCGTACACCAGCGGAGGTAATTTCGCTCTTGTTGCAATGTGGCGAGGAATTGCCAAGCGTGGCTGACGTTAGTCGGCCTTGCTAGGTTGAAAGGTGAGAGTGAGCCTCAGCGCCAGCTTCCACCCTCCGCCTGGTCACAGCAGACGGAGGGTCTTTTCTTTGTAAACATCTTCAGACCCCAGGAACCTAGTTCGTTGGGTCTCGGATCTACGGTTGTATGTGCGTTCCCTACCACTGTGTAGGAAGATACCTATATACCCTGCTTTCCACATGTAGGGATAATCAAACTTGATGTCGGATGCTTGCCGTCATTTCACACTGATCGCAGCAAACCGCCTTAAGCTGGCACCCCATGCCCACATCTACGTACACCGCGCTCATTCCGGAGCAGATCCGTCCCGTCTCCGAATCGAGTACTCGGATGCCCTTCCCCTGCAAGAGTTCTACGCCATAATCGACGAGCACTACGATCGTAGAAGAGACCTCCAGGACGCTTCGGAGAGCCTGAATTGCGCCGCCCACCAGTACAGGGTGGTAGAAAAGCGCCTTCTTTCGCGATTCAAGGATCGGAACCCCGCTCCGCTCGACAGCCTGGACGTCGTGTCGGAGGAGACCTACCAGCGTCTGGTCGAGCTCTGCGATGGCGTGGAGAGAGCGCAGGATCGACTGGCGGTCAGCGCCGCAAGACTTGGGTGTGCGGTGAGGCTGGTGGCACTCCTCGCACAGCACCGGTTTCAACTACCGTGCAAAGACCATACGCTCCTACTGGCGCACCTTTACCCCGACGTGACCAACACAGAAGAACAGGTACGTATATGTGGACCAGGGTGCGCTTGTCTACATACATACATAGATCCATGTGCAATTGTACACGTCAGCAGGGCGTCCTCGAGTGGGCGCTGTTGATGCTCTACTTGTGTTTGTCGGTATAACCGTGGCGATTTCGTAAAGATCCGAACGCTTCCATTGCTTCCTACGACCTCCGCTCTGCTCCCCACCGTATTACAGTAGTTTTCTCCCGACTCGATCGACAAGAAAATCGGTCACCACATACGATGTAGATACCAGCCCTGTTTCACTACTAACAACAGCAAGTAGCGTACCATTGTAATAATGGCCATCACCTATCTCTGCAAAACGCCCTCACCCCTTCCTTTCATGTGTCTTTAGTATAACAACACGCGCACTGTAATCAATCTGTGTATGTGTCTTTCGGATCCATTGGACAGCAGGGCTGGGAAGAGAGCGTCCACGCAGCGGTAACGCACCTCCTGCGAACCTCCCTCGCCAAAGTTGCGAAGGATGCTGCCCCGCCATCGGCAGGGCAGACGCCGCCTCTCTCAATGCCAGCGGATACGGTGAAGCTCAAGAAGCACCTATCGATCGTGTTCGACCGATTGAACAAGGGAGCCCGACTCGTTGTTCTACCCTCCTCGTCACGTCCTTCGAGCCCTAGATCGTCGTCGGCACCTGATAGCCAGACGCCTGTTTTGTTGGCGTCGTCACCCCGGCGGGGTGCTTCGCCGCCGTCGCGAGGAGCACCAGAGCGCGGCTACAAATAGGAGAGCACAAACGGCCGCGGGGCGTGGATCGACCAATGTTGGCGCCGACTTTGTTTCTGCGACATGGAAAAATGCACGTCGCGAAGAACCCAAGTCTCGGCTTTGTTTGGTATCGAACATAACAATGACATGACTTCCTTGCAACAAGCAGCAGTTTGTTGTTTGGTGTGGTTTCAAAGTATCGCACCGACGTCCGCTCGGCACACGACACAATATCTAAGGTACAGGATTCTTCTGTAGGATCCATTGATGGTACATACGATCTTTAGTATCTCACAGCAGGCTCAAGAAGATCACGATCAATTAATACTACATGATTACCCCCGCGGCAGAAATATATGTCTCAGACTCTTTTCTATGATAGAGATGGTTTCGTTGTGTCATATTAAGAAAAAAAAAATATATATATATATATATACACCCCCCATGGGATCCCGCTGGTCGCCGGCCCCCCACAGCTCTGTCTGTTTCTGGCGCTGGTGCGGGATGTCTGGTGCTATTGCGTGACTCTGGCCTCTGGAGCCCTCGCACAACCTCGAGACGTCGAGAGAGACAGCATCATCGACCAGGATGCCACGTGCTCAATCAGCACCAAACTTCTTCGTGGTGTTGGTGGTGGCCGCCTTGAGTACCGCCCGGGCGTTCGTTGTCCATTCACCGCCTTCAAGTAGCAGTTGCCCCTTCAACAGTCAACGGTAAGGGCCGCACATGCTGTTATGTACTGTCGCTGCTGTCTTGTTGTCGTGGTTGTACAAGGTGTAGCTTGCTGCATTGCTGCTGCACCTGGTACGATGTTGATGCATGAGTGAGCGTGGAGGTTGTGGTCTACTGCAGGACTGCAGTGCAGGGTACGCGGTAAACAGTCCTTGCTGTTGTTGAGCGAACGTACGAGTGCGTTGTGCACGTACGTTGTGTCCAGCATGCTTCAGCAACTTGGCTATCTCCCCGGCGCCTAGGTGTCTTGATATGCCTTGCACCCAAGAGACTCCACAGGACGGCTGTCTCGTAAAGTTTGAGCCGCTGCCTCTGTTGCCATTTCTTTTATGCCATTGACATGGCAAAAGATTTTGCCCGCAAGTGTTTCGTTTGAACAGTAACAACCTTGCCCAGCTGCCTCATCACCTGCTGTGGTCACCAGGTAGACATTCACACTGATGCGGTCGCCTGCATACTGATGGCAAGCGACCCAGTGGCCAAACCGACTGACTGCTCGCTGCAGTGACGTGATTCTTTAGACAAGATACATTCGGCAGAAACGCAAACAATCATACGATCGTCCTCCGTTTCTCCCTGTCGTCCTTGAATCACTCTACCGCCGTGTGGCTCTATGCCTATTGGCGACCAGATAGAGAAGGGAAGATGGAGGACGAAATGCATCGTTAGTGGTGGGGTAAGAACAGCAAGGCCGCCCACGTCCCCTCTCCGGGTTGTTACAATACATTGCGCGATGAATATATACTGTACCAAACGAGTCCGAGACTTGTTGTAAGCAGATCAACCTACACTTTGCGAAGTAATCGGGATTCGCTTCCTTTTCATTGGTCGACCGGTTTGCGCGGTTTATCCTCAAATCTGTGGGGTGTGAGGTGTTTCAACACCCGAAGCAGGTGTGTCACCCAGCCAAACAGGTTTTCCTTTTACAGCACAACCGCCGTATTTCTGCATCGTGTATGTGAATGCACTTCGCTGTTTTGACGCTGCTGCTATGATTTTCCTCCTTCATCAGGTATGTACGTATGCATAGCGCACACAAAAATCCTCCACCGTCCTCTCTTCTGTTCCTTTGTACCGCAGCAGCAGCAGCAGCACAACCATGACAGCCCACGGACACCACCTCCACCATGGCAAGACGCCCGGCGGCAACTCTTCTCCAATTAATTCGGCCACCGGCAAGGCCGCGCCAACATCTCCGCCGGCCACCTCCTCCTCGACCGACGGCAAGGGTAGCAGCAGCAACCGAAAACGTCGAAGACGACGTCGTGGGCTGTTGATTGGGCCGGCTGTGTGGGCGGCCTTCAAGGAGGAGCAGAAGGTGGCTTACCAAATTAGTCTGCGCCCTTCTCAATACAGCAGTCTAGTCTAGTAAAGCTTCCCGACAGCAGTAGTTTAAGTTAGCACTCTCGCGTAACAACGGAAGGCAAGGCAAGCACCGCCGGGGGGAAGGCGGGACGTAGAGAAACACGTTCCTGTGTTGTTCTTCCCTGTGTGACACCGGCTGATGCGTCAAATTGTACGGCACCGAATGCCGGTGTTAGAGTGAATGAGAACGAATTCAAGAAAATGTTGGATATAGAGCACACTTTTGTCCTCAGCGGGGATGTGAGTCGCACCACATGGTATAATAGAACAAGACACGCACGCCACAGGGCGAGACCGGCCCCGTCGACACCATGACTGCGGTCAGGCCGTCGCCACATCCACCCGTGGTATGCCGTTGAGCCGTACCACACGCCACGTACACCACCCAAACCAGACGCGTTGGTGCTTCGCCGTCTTGTGTGTCCTGGACATTGGGGAGAAAGGTGCGGCGTATTAATCCCCTTCTCTCTCTATCTCTCTGTCTCTCTCTGATTTCCTCTTCTCTTTTGTCTCTCTTCACTCTTGCTCCGGATGGCCAGGGTGTTACCCGCACGCTCCTCGGCTTCGACGACGATAACGCCTTCCGAAAGGAGGCTGACGACACAGCAGCACCACCGCCAGAGGGAGCTGGCGAAGACAGTGGAGTCGAGAACGAAACCATGGAAGAAGAACTGCGGCGGCGGCGGCGGCGACTGCAGGAGGAGCAGCGACGGCAGAGACCGGTCCCTAGAACGACGCTCGGAACGTTCATGGTGGAGACTCGCAGCCGGAGCCCCGACATGGAGGCCATGGTTCCCATAATGAAGTCCGTCGGAAAGACTTGCACCGCCGTGTCCCGTCTCGTTCGACGCGCTCAGATCGAAGGCATGGCCGGCCTCCACCAAGACGGCGGCGGCGGCGGCGCAGCCGGTGCCGGTTCGGAGTCGGAGTCGGTGAACGTCCAGGGGGAGGTCCAGAAAGAGCTGGACGTGCTGTCCAACAGCATCTTCCTGACGGGCTTCTGCCAGCCGGGCGGCATGTCGTGCGTCGCCAGCGAGGAGGAGGAGACCCCCCGGATGTGCGCCGCGGTGGTGGGAGACGAGAAGCACGGGTGAGCGAGATTGTTTCGGGGCGCAACAGTAAGGGATACGGGTTGAGTGCGGTTTGGGCCGGTTGCGAGGGGTGCGTAGCGGGAGGTGCGAAATGTGAGCATGGAGCGCGTTAGCGGCGGGGCACGTCGAGATGGTTAGCGCCCCAGACGAAGTCAATGTCGAAAAGGAGGCTACCACTGCCCTGCACGTATTACACACACACCTCACCCGGGAAACAAAAACTTGTTTTTTTTTTCAACGGCACACATTTAAATACTTGTCGCCAATGATGACGATCTGCCAGCCAATACGCCAATACTTCCTCTGACTGTACAGCAGTTTCTACCTGTCATCAACATTTCCGTTCGCAAGCACAACCCCCCCCCCCCCCCCCCCCCCCCCCCCCCATGGAAGGGGGAAAATTCCCCGGGGTTTCAACCCCTTGAAGGGTCCCCCCAAAATCAAGGCGGGGTGGCTTTGGGGACCAACTTTTGGAATCCCCCGGGCCCAAGGGACGCCCCCCAGGGAAAAAAAGGGGGGCCCCCCAAAAACGTGCTCCCCGGGGGGAGGCGGGGTGGGGGGGGAAAATGTCTTTTCCGGGCCTCCAC